TTAAAGTTCCTCTGCCAAGCAGTGCTTCTACTGACAGAAGGTTTTGGAAACTCCATTAAATCACTTTGGGACTCTGCTATTTATCTTTCACAGCAACCTGCTCAGAGAACGCAGCAGTGGATGGCAGCACAAAGGCCTCAGAAGGAGAGGTTCTGCCAGGCTGTTTTTGGCATATTACAGTGCACCGAGTCAGTGCTGCCTTCCAAAGAGAGAACTGCACTCTCACAGGTATAAATGAGGAGGCAGAGGCCTGCTAGAAATCTCACTCTAGGCTTTTTGATGTGTTAAATGCCTCCTTCTCCTGGGCTGGCTCTAAGAAACACAAAAGGACAATAAGGGGAAAAGAATTTATAAGTGGTGGTTTGGGCAAATAAATTGGGTGAACTCTATTAGTCCCTTAATAACGTGGCTGATCTTTGGTTTGCTGTTCAAAACACTCCTTCAAGGAAGCCTTAAAAATTCACACCTTTGTCACTGCCTTGTTTTTGGGGAGGAATAGCAGTAGCTCAGAAGCTTAAACCCAGACCTTGGCCACTGCAGAGCACTCATCCTCAGCCATGCCTTCCCCTTTAAAGGAGTAAAACGATCTGGTTGTGCACGGGCTGAGAAGGGGTTGGTTTGTTTTGTTGGTTTTTTTTTTTAATAAGAAAAATAGTTGGCAGCAACATGAGCAAAGCTGAAAGTATTTTCATCTGTTTTGTTTTGTAATGTTTAATGTTTTGTTTTCTACTTTGCGGATTATCCAAAGGAATCGCTGAAAACAAAGGTCTCCCATTCTGGAAAGGGAAATCAATCCACAGTTGGGTTAAGACGACTAATCAGAATTGGTCAAATAAGGAAACCAAAACCAGATTGAAAAATGAAAATATCTGTGTTTTCATAGGAATAAAAAAAATACAGAAAAGTTCAACTTCTAATCAAGAGTTGTTTGCAAAATAGTTCCCGGCTGGGGAAAGTAACCAGGGCTCTTCCATAAAAATATTTTGGAACTTAATTTTTATTTTCTTAATGGTAGCTTGGATTTTAGAACTTACTTGTGGTCTTCCAATGATTCTGGTTGTGTAAGTGCAAAGTACGTGTTGTAATTTGGAGGCTGTGGTGCTCTCCTGCTGTATGAATGGCTGCAGAAGAGAGCAGATCGAAAGAACACCGTTTAGAAGCAAATTAAAAAAGAATAAATTGGTAGTTTGAGGAGAAAAGAGACGGGAAAGGAGTGTCTTCTCGCCTCCTCTTTCTAACAAGTATTTTAAGGAGATAATATCTTATAATTACTTAGTTTTAGAAGCAATGAGAAGCCTTAACTGAGAGGCCAGAGCAGCTCAGCACTGGACAAGCAAAGACAGTTTATCTCCGGCCAGAATAATTCACAATCCCATTTTCAAGGACAACAGGAAGGTACGAAACTCAGACAAGACTTGCATGCACTGAAGCCAGCAGGAATGCAACTCGGGTTAGTGACAGTGCAGGGTTATTCCTGCAGAGCACGGGCAGGAAGGGGGAGGTCTCACCTCGGTGAGGTCTGCTGGTCAGCTCGGCTCTCAGATGCCTTCCAGGGCTGGGGGCTGAGCGCAGCGACCCTCCGTCCATTCACGACCTCGGTGTCCCCATGTGAAACAGGAAACCTTGGAAAAGTAGAAGTGTGGCTGTAATTAGGATTAATCTATTTTTAGCAAGCTGTCTGCTGCCCTGTCCCTGCTCCAGCTGAGATGTTTAATTCTATCTAGCTTGACCCTTTCTGTGGCTGTACTCAGGATTGATACAGAAATTCTCTTTCAAAGCTCCACTTTGGGTATGTTTGCTTTTGTTTTGGTCGGGCAGGGTGTTTTTACAAATCAGCCTTCTGTTTTATCTTTATTATTTTTTCCTGTACAATAGCTGAAGAAATCCGCTAAGCACTGAAACGACACACAGATTGCTATACAAAAACAGTTGTACAACTTTTACTCTCATTATTATTCCTTTTACTACGTAGTTTGGAAACGTAGTCATGGAGCAGGAATGTATCGTACTCTGCACTGCACAAACAGCATAAAAGGAAATTTTCCCCTTAGCAGCTGTATGGAGTGAAAACATGTCGTGGTATTGCAACAATTTGTCCTAAACAGCACCGTGGCAAGATGTTAAGATGCACATGAGAACCAGCTCTACCCAGGTCCTCAGCAAAATGCTGTTCTCCGCCCCAAAATCCAGCAATTTGCACAGGGAAATGCTCTATTTCATATGTAAAGGGGGAGGGGGTAATTTCCTCTGCCCCCTACCTGTCCCCTCACCGTGTATTTCGGTGACTCATGAAGCTTCAAAGTGCTGAGTGCGGAGAACGGCTATTTCTGTGCTTCCACTGCAATCCCTGCTACCTCCAACTGTGCTGTCAGTGCACCTCAGCCATGCAGAGCACCCCCGCGGGCTCTATTCTTAGCAGCTAATAGCTGAAATAATTACTTTTGTCTCAGCACTGTTGGCTCCTTGGATTTGGAAGTGAGCAAAACCCACAGCTCGGGAGGGTCGGGACTGCTGCAAGGCAGTGAGCTGAGCTGGGGATGGGGGATGCTGATGCCCCAAACCTGACTTCATCACAGGGCATCCACTGTGCTTGGAAGCAGCCTCTCTGTTCCCGTGGCGCCATCCCTTTGAAAAGGATCTCAGCTCTTCCAGCTGGGATTTTCTTAGGCTTCAAAGGACAAACGCCGGACTGCGGCTTTTCAAAGGGACGGCCAGGTTTGTCACCTGCAGGTTTCCATTTTGGTGCCATCCTTATTGCACAGAAAATGCAAAGCTTCGATGCAAATCCCACTGCCCAACACCGTTACACCCTTGGCAGTTGCTGGGATCTAACCCACACCTCTAGCCTTTGATCTCAATGGCAGCTATTCCATCTCCTTCCCTTGAAACCCCCAAACCCTGAAAGGACGATGAGAACCCACCCAACAGCTGAACAGTGCCTGCAATACAGCGAGAACAGAATGAACTTTATAAAAAGCCAATTCTTTGCCCTGCACACCTGGGTAGGTGCAAAAAACAAGCTCAGAAGTGCTCCAGAAGGGGTTTGTACTGCTATTTATACGCCTACCTGCTCTGTGGTTGGGTTGGGACCGCAGTGTGCACACGCTGGGCTGGCAAAGATGAGTGTCACAGAGATGGTGGTTGAGTTCATCACAGCCAGGAATCACTGCAAACACACCAGAAGCCATTCCTCTCATATTCACTAATGAAAATCATCTGGATAGCAATAAACCTTTCAAGAAAAGCAGAACAAAACAAAACAACGTGCTAAACCTAAATGTTTGACTCGGTAACTTTCCTATTACTGTTGCAGCAGAAGGAAATTCAGCACACTGTACTGTGTAGAACATTCCCCCATGGACCCAGCTGGGGGTCCCGACATCCAGACTGTCTCTCTGATAGGACAGCACTGTGGGACCACAACCCATCTGTCATTGCCTACGTCCACGTGAAAACAGAAGCAAAACTTTAAAGTTTTATTTCTGCTTTGCTTTGAAAAACGAAAGAAAGTACCTCCTCTAAATGATTTCCTATCAATTTCCTTTAAAAGCCACACTGTTCCGGCAGCTTCTGTTTCAGATGGCTGTTAAGTCTCTCTAATTGACTTCAGAAAGGACTACAATTAAGCAAGAGGCACAGCTGGAGTAAAATTTAGGATTTAGGAACTCCCAAATTTCCATCTCAGCTTTGACCCTGAATCCACATGCAATCTGAGCTTCATTTGATTCAGTCTTCCCATACCCAAAACTGCATTAATTTCAAATACAATGCAGGATGCCACGTCAGCACACCTGAGAAACATCACGAAACATCACCGCTTGGTGTTCAGGACATTTGGTTGGCAAACTGAAGACCTTTGTGCTAAGCACTGTTACTCAGTGTGACATTAACTTGCCCACATTCTGACTGCCTGCTCCCAGGGTGACGCGTTGAGACGTCATTCACGTGGACGCTGAGGTCGGGCAATTACACACATTTACAGCTGCACAGACTTGCTGAGCCTTGGGCAGGAATTTGTTTGGCATTGCTGAGGCCTTTGGCTTATTTGATCTCAGCCTTTTAGTTAAACAGGAACATGCCCTGATTTTAACAATCGCAGCTTCCTGCAGTTGGGAGGAAGGTGTGGCTGATGGCATTTAAAGTGGAACTGGAGCCAAGCCTTCACCAGAGGGAAGTTGAAGCGCTGCGCAGCACCGCTGGGGCTCTGCTCATCATTAAAAAGACCAAGGACCTTTCTCCAGGGACAGCCAAAGTTATTTTATCACCCACAACACCACAAGGCATTGGATGACATTTGCAAGTGTTAGATTTTCATAACTTCACCCTCCGTATGTTATTGCTATTAAGGCCATTGTAGCGTGACAGCAGAAAATAACACAGAAGATGCCAAAGAACTGAGGATGCAGCTCTACGTTCCGTTGGCGTACAAACAACAGCAAGCCTGCACTTCTGCTCGCTGATGAATTGCTTTCCAGTCCTTTCCCAATCACCTGTCCCACTTTAGAATGGACACAGCCACTGTAACACACACAGCCAGACCCCTCTGGCTGCCTCCCACCTCTGCCACAGGCTCTTTCCAGCTGCCAAGCTCCCTTTTTAGTGCTGGACATTGCTTGCTCACAGTCTTTACAAAACCAAAATTCTGATGATTAAAAAAAGAATAATAATAAGGTGGTACCATGTACGTCCATAGGCTCCACTTAAAACAGGAGCCCTGATTTCTACCATGGAATGATAGGGTTTGTTTTCAGCTTACTTCAGCTCACAGGCAACGCCATATCCCAACCAAGCTTTCCACCACTGTGCGTTTTTAGCTGCGTACCTGAGTGCTTCGCAGGGCACAGCGGCTTTGATCCTTCATGGGAGCTGAAGTGCCTCCACAGAGTAAATACTTTATGATCAGGTAAAGAGAGAAATGTCTCACGGCTGGTCATTTTCAAACGAAAGCAACCCATTAAATAAACACTGCCTTTCCCTTGAAAGCAACTAAAAGCATGTAATTTGAAATAAACCAAAGCTCCATTTTATTTTCTTAATATACCAGCGTTGCTGGGAGCCAAGCATGCCCATCAGCTGTCCCAACTTCTCAGGCTCTGTCCATCCCACTGCCATGCTCAGTGCCTGGGGGCTGCAGGGTGGTCTGAACAGGGCTGGCACCCGTGGGCACTGCAGATCAGATGGGCTGCAGGCAGACACAGCAATGGGGAGCACAGAAATCCTCTCTGCCTCTGTGCTGGTTGAGCTTCTGAGATAACTCAGGAGTAACGGAAACTGACTGCGCAACCTTGCACAAAGTGCTGGCCTACTTCAGAGCATCACTGCTGAGTGACTCATTTAAGTAGCCAAAGCACTCTTACAATTAACTGAAACAGTTAACGCTTGCAGCTTTGGCCACAGAGCAGATCTGTAAGGCTTGAAATCCCATGCGTTTGGTCGTGTAAGAAACCCCATCTTGCAGCATTTCGTTGATCAAGCTCTTGGTCACAGGGAGGTCTGCATCAGATACAACAAGCCTTGTGCTCCCTGTACTGCTGACAATTCAGTTCACAAGGGCCAGCTCCTCACCCCACGCTGCCCTCCCACATCCCCAGCTCCTATCTTTTTTCCATGGTAGAACTGTATCTGAGAAACCAAGAGCTCACAATTCTTCTCATTTATGTCTGTGTGTAACAGGTGTCATTTTCAGTGTAGTACAGACAAATCCCAAAATAGCTCAGGCTCTTCAGATGCTGTAAAGAGAAAAAAAAAAATAGTGGTTACTTCAGCCCTGGTTGTAGTGAAAAGCCCAAAGCTCACAGCCAGCTCCAGAGCTCAGCACTAAAATGGCAGATGCCTCTGCGTAGTGATCTCTCCTGATTCCGAGGTTTTCAAACGGGCTGCTGGCTCTGCTGTACATGCAGTCTGACGCATGAACTCCCTCATGCAGGGCTGGCTTTCCATTAGCTCCGCTTTGATTCCCAGATGCTCCATCTACCACTGATCCTCCTCCACATTTTCCGGTTTCGAGGCTCCGAGACAGGAGCAGCGCTTCCTCTGCCTGGTGCTGAAGTTGACTGCACTGGAACTAACACAAGGCTGAGGGCTATGGGAGAGGAGAGCCACTCAGCAGCAGCACTTTGCTTGCCTGGCTGTGCCTGCTGTGCTGCAATATGCAGCTGCTGACGAACCTTTTTGACAGAGATGATTGGATTCTGGAGACTCCCAGAATGCAGCTATTAGTTCCCCTGCCTACACTGAGCATTCTGAATCTGTGTGTGCAGCAACACTTATTAATACTGTTCAGATTAAGTAGTTCCTAGCACTTTCAGTACCTTATCCTACACACTGCTTCTGCTCAGTGGCTGAACCACAGTCAGATCAATGTCTTGCAACAAGCATAACATGATCACGTGGATCCAGCAGCATTTCTGTGCTTTTATGTCCAGAAGTCCCGCATCCATTCCTATGAGTGATTCCTTTTAAGTTGCTTTGTGCTACAAGGTAATGTTGACTGAGTATTCACAGGATGTAGGCCCAGATCCCTTTACTTCAGGGCAGCAAGCAGTGGTTCCTGACACCGAAACAGTTAATCGAGAAGCACTAACTCTCTACTGGAACGTGTGTGTGTGTGTGTTTTTGTTTCTTAGAGCCAAGAAGATTTGCTTTGGTTTTTTTAAAGCAGAAACCACCACAAAGTTGGCTGTGGTTTCAGCTGCGCTCATTTGAGATTTCTGTTGCTGACTACCAATCCTAAAAGAGTTAACCCAGCAAGCATGACTCAGAAGCAGAGAGGGAGATGCGAGGCTGCGAGATTCGGAAGGCAGCACAGAAGCACAGGTGAGGAACATAATAATCACCAAAAAAAGGTGCAGCGTCCAGGAGCGAGGCTCCCTCGGTGTGCCTGGCCCTGGCACTGCTGGCACGGGCTCCCTGGAAGGCTGCAGTTCCGCTGTTATAACACAGGGAGCAGGCTGGAGAATTTAGAGCTGCGTCACAGAGCTCAGCGAGAGAGCGAGAGAGCAAGCTCCGTCGATAGGTCTACCAGCAACAGCCCTGCTGCAGCAAGAGGGGAGAGAAGCAGCCAGAGAGGGAGAGAGGGCTCAAGAAAGAGAAGTAATACCAACACCAGGGACGGAGCTCCTGTCACCAGACGGTGTCATTTAGAGAACGTATCTGGGCTCGGTTGGCGTAGGAGGCTTCGCCCATTGACGATGCTGGAGACCCGGCGCACTTAATCCCGCGGGGAGGGAGAGTGGGCAGACGCCGAAAGGGTTAACGGAAAGGAAATTTCTGGAACCTTCTATTCTGCGGCGCTACACAGCAAGCGGAGGGCTGAACGCTGCGCAGCTGGTGCACGGGCAGAGCTCCTCGGTCCGGTTCGTCTTTCCCACGTACGTACCCTTTGATCAGGATGGGGCTGGAGCTGCATCTACGTTTTGTAATGCTTTGCAGGGCGTCCCCTTCCCCCATCGTCCCTAAGTTCAGCTCCCCAAGTGCCTTCATTATTATTTCGGCTGGGTATGATTGCTCTGCTCTGCGTCAGAGCTGTTTTCTCAATGGAACGTCGGCACAGGTTGTACGAATGCCACTCTTGCCAGCATTGCTGTAATGCAGAGGAGGGCAGCAGTCGTGGGAGAGAGATGACAACTTTGCAGACTGCTGTTTTCGTGTTTTGCTCAGGCTTTTTATTCCCTGCCGTCCCCCCGAGGGCTGGCGTGGAGGCAGGGCTGGGTGCAGGGGTTAACAGCCACCCCGTGAGCTGGGATCAGGGCTTTGTCACTGCGTAGTTCAGAAAGTGGCAAACGGTGACGCAGTGATCATTGCAGGGCACATCGGCCAGTTTTTAAAAGCATTGGGGACAGGTACACGGTGCCTTCCAGACGCTTCCACACCAGCTGAAAGGGGTTAAGGATGAGTCGAGACGGGAAGCTAGCATTTAGGGATTAAATGTCATCATTTTGGCGTTGGAAAGTTGTTTACCTTGCTCTCTCCGTGTCTCCATGTTGGCAGCCTTCCAGCTCACATGTGATAGTCTTCCCTGTACTGCTGCATCATTAACTAAGTGGCTCAGCCGGCTCCCGATTGGCCGGGGAGGGCTCTCGGCCCAAACACGCCGTCTGATTGGCGGAGGAGGCGATGGCAGGTGAAAAGCCTTCTCGGATTGGCCGAGAGCCTGGTGTCAAATCCGAATGTTGGCTGCGCTCGTCTCAAAGTGCCGGGGGCTCCCGGCCCGGTCCGGCCCTGCGGTGCGGTCTGTCTGCTGCCCCGGGTTCGGTCCCCGGGTTCGGTCCCCGCCTCCTGCCTGCCCCGCGCCGGCGCCGGGAAGGTTTCGCTTTGCTGTGCCGTTGTCACGATGACGTGTCAGAGCTGCCAAGCTCCACCACGGAAAGAGCTTGGCTTCGGGGCTTTTATTTCTTCCTTTCCTTCCTTCTTTTCCTCTTCCTTAGGCAGTGGTTAAGCACGAGCTGCACTGCGAGCTGCTCGGGGCACCTGGAAACGATGCAGAAGGAAGGGCAGAGTTAGGACGTGGGCAGGAAGGAGGACAGGACAGGGAGGGAAGGACGGACAGAGTGTGGGCAGGCAGCTGTGCCAGAGTGGCCAAGGAGATGCCGAGAGGAGAATGCTTCATTCCCTGCACCAGTTACTGTGCTGTTTTGTCACCTCTCTTCTCAAGTGCCCATCAGTGAAGATGTGCGGGGAAGTTCTGAGGACACAGCTGGCTCTGAACTCAATCCTTCTGGCTGTGGAAGTCACCCGATTAAGCACAGAGCAGTAACTTTGCTTTCTTGTACAGCAGGGCACGTTATCCCATAGCCCTTCATCACACCAAGGCTTAACCAAGTTTAAGGATGTGGTAGCATAAGCATTTAATCTATATTCGTCACTCACTGACATACCAAGCGTCAGGACCGGTTGTTTAGCAACAACCTCTGGGTTTAGATCCAGCTTGAGCACTGCACTGCTACGGTCACAGCAGCGCCTCTCCTCTGGTTGTCAGGCTGAAGGCAGGGGCTGTGCTGGCACACTGCATCTGCCCAGGTTGGGGCTGCCGGCTGATACAGGCCGTGAGCGCTGCGGTTTTATGCCCGACCATTTCTTTGCGCAGTAACCCAGAGGGGAGGACGCCATTTCCAACAGCAGTGTGGTGGCAAGAGCAGGGAGGGAAGAAGCAAACAGACAGTAGGTGCCACTCCCCAGTTTGTTCCTGTTCCCCATCTCTACCTTCCTTGCCTCCTCTCCTTTCCTGCCGGATTCCAGGGGGGGTTCAGCTCGTGCTGCAGTCATCACAGCCCCTCCTGACTCACTGAGCCCATCGCTGTCTGGAGCATCCTTGCCTCCTGCAGCGCCAGTTCCGCAGAGCAGGGGAGCAACTGGAATAGCAGCAGCAATGGTGGTCCCTACAGCAAGATGGACAGGCATAAATACACACATCTGTGGGAACAGTGCAAGGCAGCCGCGGAGGAAATTCTGTCCAGCCAGCAGCTATACTAAGAACTGATTCTTTTTTACGTGGGAGAACAGTGGGTTAAGCCTATCTGAAGGGAGAACCCTCCATGTTTTTCCCTCATCACAGCAGGGGGATGGAGGACCCCATTACTTTGCAAAGGTAGTGTATCTTAATGGCATTTCTCAGTGCTTGGGAAGAAGGTGCAACTTGCCGCCACTATAGTAAGGGTATGCATGCTCTTGAGTAGCTGTGTTCAGTGTAAGGATGCATTTATTTTTGCTCCTATCTTTTTGATAGTTTGCAACTAAGTGCAGGCAGGAAAAGTAGACAGAGAGAGAGGAGTTAGTTCAATGTTAAACTTAGTCTGTAAATAGCATTAGTCAGGAATTGAGGTTACTAGCAGCAGGTGGAATCTGTGAGGCTTGCAAGAAACAAGGCTAAGAAGGGGACAGGGCATATTTCTGTAGGACAGTGGTATTTTGTGCATGTGAATGCTATATGTTAGCTGTACATGGCTAGCTGCTCCACAATGGTTTCCTGTGCATTGCCTCAGAAGGTCTTGCTAAAGCTGTCTATCTTTTCTCCCTCTGACACTTGGGTAAACTGACGTGTTTCTCAATATTTTGGTTTCCCTTCTTTTTAAAGCAGGGTTTATTGCACTCTCAGCCTTAGTGCGGCATTGTGACGCAGCGTTCAGCAGTGCATTGGGTCTGCTGGCAAAATACGTGCCATTTTCTTTTGAGTTCAGACCGTTCAAAGCCTGCAAAATTTGGGACAGTTAAGAATCGCAAAGGCTCATGACATAAACGTAAAAGCATTACCAGCTCATTCTTCTGTGATCCTGAAAGAAGGCTGTCTGAACGATGAGACAGCCATGATATCTTTCTGCACTTGTTTTGCCGATGGTCATGTTACATCTGTGACGCAGTCCGATTTTGCTGTTGGTTGCTGTCTCTGCTCGGTGGGGTTGAGCTGATGAGGGCACAAGCTAGAATCATGTTAGAAGCATTAATTTAACATCGATGCTTAAGTTCGCAACCATACCTGACATGGCAGGGATACTGGCACCCACTGATTTTACCACCCACAAACGGTGAAGGAATTCAGATGAACACAACAGCACCCCTAGCCATTTTGTTGCTCACAGAGTAGGCTCTGAGCCTGCAGTGCTGCTGCTGCTGTTAATTTCCATGTCATACAAATACAGCGTCGGGCTCTGTGTCAGGAGCTTTACTGATGCTGTGAGAAGCTTACAGTCTATGAGGAAATGTTTTTCTTATTTGGGAAAACTCATTAGAACGTCCAGATGCCAAGTATTCCTTCCTCACTTCTCTTACAAATCACTTCCAGACCTATCCAGAAAATTCACTGTCGCCTTGTATTTTTTTTTTTTTTTTTTATAAGGACATTTTCTTACAGTTTAATATGGGCGTAGCGGGGGGGTTAGGTTGAGATTAAAGCTGCATTAGTTAAGCATGTCTAGTACTGGTGCCAACGGAGGGAGCTGCATGCAAGAGAGGCCCGAGTCACCCATATTCTCTGTATACCTACCTATTTGAGAGCTAGGGCTGGGACCATGCTCTTGTTATGGTGCAAGAAGGGAACACCCTGCCCTGTACTGACCCACCCAGTTTGGTGCAAAGTAGGCAGAAGAAATGGCCAACATGGGAATCTCACAAAATGGTTTCAACTGCACTCTGAGATGCAAGTGCCGTTTATACTGGCACAGCTCCGAGAGGTACAATAGCTGCCCGCTGCAAGGTCATTCCTGACTCATTGTCAGGTCCTGGAACTCCCAGTCCACATTTCTTGCAACAGTTGCAGTGCTTGAGCTCCGAACCTGGTGGCGAGGCGTGAAAGTGAAGGTGAAGCTACTGCAGTAGGGGGACAGTTGAGTTTAGAAGCGTAGGTGCAAAATACGCCAGATCTCAGCAGAGTATTAAAACCCTGATCTGCAATTTGCTTCTCGAGTAAGCTACAAAAACTTGCTCAAAAACTTTGTTCTGGCTCTCTCTCCCCTTCTTTCCTTCGGACTGCTGGGAGACAGGAGTGATGTATTTTGAAGGACTAGGCATCAACTTACACTCTGTTCCAAAGGGGAAAAAAAAAAGAGCGCATATATTTGCATTTCTGTTCCTGTAGTCATTAGGAGGCAGACTCCACAGCGGTGTCTGTCACACTGCTGCTACCTCTCGTGCTTTCAGTTTCAAGCACCTCAGCTCTAAGGCTGCTTCACCCCCTGCCAGATTTCCACCTTTTTCTGAGGCATTTCTACCTGTCTATGTCAATGGTATTTTCAGTGGGCTACTCAGGGCAACATCAATAGGCATACTTTATACCCTGCTCTAGTCTTCTCGGCTCCATAGGCAGCACTGAGTACTTAATGCCTCAAGGATCTTCAGCAAAATAACTTATTTTGTCCCCATGTTCACAGTAACAGTTTGGTTGGCTTCTTTTAAACTGCTGAGGAATGTGGGGGTCCAGCAGAGCCAGCCCAGGCCAAGCTCCACCATAAGTAGATCCTTCCTGCTTGCAGTTCCATGAGCCCACCTCCAGCAATCCTGTCCTGGGCCACTTCTTGCTCTGACCGTGCTTCCAGCCTGCCTTAGCCTGCAGCATTACTCTCCAGTTTCCAAAGGAAAAGAACCTGGCTGCTAATCCTGATGCCAGTGACGACTCTTCGCCTACAGGGAGGCATATGCGATAGCTTGTCTGCTAAAAACTGAGCCAACACAGTGTGATTCAGACCTTAAGCTTTCCAAGGAAGAGAGCTATTTCTGAGTTAAGCACATCTCTTCAGCTCCCCACACAAACAATCTTTATCCAGTGCAAATGGTGCACACGACGTGTCCACCAGCATGCTGTTCTGCATTCGGTTCTGCAGCTCTGATGCAGAGCAGCAGTGGCTCTCAAACATAGGGATGTTTCTGTGATAGAAAGGATGATGAGAATGTTGGGAACAGGCAAAAAGCAAACTGCCTGAGGGAGTTGGGTTAGAGATTTTCTCCAGCTTTTTTGCCAGGTCCTTCTATTGTGAGTGGTGTTAGAATGTGGCAGAGTACATATGTGGCTTAAGGGCAGGCTGCACTTGAGTTAAAAAATGGCAGCAGCTGTTCCCTTATGTTCACCACTTCTACAAGACATCATTTTGTCTCTTCAACGACAAAGAAAAATTGGGCTTCCCTTCTTGACATTACCTGAAGTATTTGGATCTGTAGTGCTAGAGAAACACCGTGTTCCTGAATAGACTACACGAATCACAATAATCTCCCTGTGACTTCTTTCGAGACGTGCGATAACACTGTATATTCTGAGGTGATGCTTAGGTACAGGAGTTAGGAACAGAAAATTACTTTCCTGGTTTCAGCTGCTTTAGTGGAGGCTTTTTTTGATGTGGTTAGCTGTGTGATGTGCTGTTCAAACAAGCTGTGCATAGCTACATTTGATGAGTTTGAACTGTTATTCCTTCCTACTGCTTCTCCATGACCGAGGTCATGCAACTGCAAGGCTTTTCTGCCTTGTGTGAATTTGCCTCACCGTTCTTTGAATCATCTGAAATCCTCAATAGGATTCAGCAGCTCAGTGCTTCCTGTGCCCTCCAAGCAGGCTGTGGCTTTGCAAAGGAACTCTCACAAAAGTAAAGGGGGAAGAGAACTGTATGACTGCACACAGGTCAAAACAATTTCAGATTAGCAGATGGGAAGCAGAAGATCAGAAATTGTAATGCTAATGGCTTGCACCCCTACAGTCATCACCATGCTAATGTTCCCTTCAGTTCAGAATAGCTTTAGGACAAGTAAATCAGGAGAATAGCAAATAAGTGCTAAGTGCAACACAAAGTTTTGGGATTAAAAGCAGACAAAAAACCAAGCAGGTCTTGCAAATAAATCACAGTTATATTAGTAGTATTGCACTGTGAAGAACCATCTCCTACACCTAAGGGGTTTCTTAGACATTTTTAAGCCTCTTTTATTAGATCCAAACAGAAAAAAATACAACCATTACATGAGGGTTGCTACAGCCCATCACATCAGCTGATGCATCCGAGCTGATTCTAGTGTTATTTAGCCCTCAAGACAAGGTTAGCTGCATCCAAACCACCAATACAACACCTATGCTGACTGCCAGGCCAGGGCTCAGCCCTGTTCAGGAAAACTTTGGTAGGCACCAAAACCACGGTAGGACAAAGTCCAGAACTCACTCAAAGCACCAACAGAGAACCACACACAAATGTGCTCGAGTGAAACCACCCTGCAAAGAGGAAAGGCAAAGATGCAGCTCTGACCTGAACACAAACCCAATTCCAACCATCAGCAATGCTGCATATCACAGGGCATGCTCTGAATAATCTGGAAAAAGATTGTTTGCTGTTGCACTGTATGTAAAAACTGATCAGTGACCCAAGCAGACCTGGATTTCCCATTGCTCCCATAGGCTGTGAGGGACTAGAAATCCCACAGACTGTAGTACTGTACACCACAGCATGCCATGGTGCAATGTTCAAGCTCCCTCTTTTCTTTTTGCTGGTGCAGCACAGGCAGCATGAGTTTGTAGACTCAGAGCACCTGTTTTTCACTTTATTATTTCCAGCACAATTCTTAAGCTGCAAGAGTGGAACTAAAGGAACAAACCGTTCATTCAGGAATGTGACCTGAAGTTTTTTCTTCTGGTCCTAATGAAGGATAAAGTCTCCATTATGCTCTGAGCTCACGAGGGAGGTGCATGTTTGTGCTGCCCCGAATAGCAGCAGCATCTCTAGGGCTGTCTTCTAGTCACAAGCATCAAACCCACAAAGCAGTGCAGCACCTACCTGCCTGCACCCAGCCTTGGTCAGTGCTGCAGCTGCAGAAGGCACTGCACACTAATGATTAGCCTAGACTGCAAGTTAGGGCACATTTGTCCATACCTGACCCACGCAACTCCGCCGAGTAACAAAGCTGCACAACAAACAGATGCAGTTACACGCTCCCCTGAGCTGAGGAAGCTTATTTTTTTTTTGAAAGCTTAGAAGTTCACTCATTTCAATTTCCCTTACAGGTCACCACTTGCACTGTCACACCCCTCTGTCCTGCACCTGGCCTGGTCTGACTCATCTCTTGACTGAGGGTTGCCTCTCTGCCTCAGCTCTGCATGCAGAACAGGGATATTTCCTGCAGGGGAGACCAGAAATGGATGATCCAAGAATTTAATTCTGGCATTTCAAAATGGAGAGAAAAAAAAAAAAAAATGCTCACTGCAGAATGCCCAGAAACTGCCCTTATATATATAGGCAGTTGTGAGAAATCAGGTCTGCAGCACTGACTTGCCACGTTCCTGCAGACTACATTAAAGGTCCTCAGCTAGGGAGGAGGTTCCCTTTCATGGGGCAGACAGGGATTTCTTGCCTTTTTTTGCCTTGTCTAGAGGATATAAAGCAGCATGGAGTCCTGAAAGGCTTAGAGAGGTTCCTCTGAAGGAAGCTATAGCACACCGCTGCTGCTGCTAAAATACATCAGAAAAGGAAAAAAGAATAATAACACCGTACTTTCTTTGCTATTACTTACAAAAACTCTGGAATACTTTGACAAAGCCAACTCTAACTGATCATATTTGCTTGTCTCTGCACGTGTCCCCATACACACACATCCAACACACCCAGCAAATGCTTGAGACAAACACTGGTTTTGCATACATGCATGCTATGCATATCACATGGTCCTGAGCTGCTCTCTTTTTCTCCTTCCTCCTGCACGCTGCCTGCCCCAGCACGCTACTGGGTTTGGAAAGAAAAGAACACAATGTCACAGATGGATCCTTCCTGTAAGGTGTATCTGCAGCTTGGCAGCAAGGGCTGACACCTCCCAGCTGCATGCAGGGAAAGGGAGCTTGGTGAGGCCCAGGGAGATCTGCAGGAGGGACAGCATCACCTTAATCACGCCCAAAAGGAAATTTGTTTTTAATCAAACTATAAATAATGAGTGAGCCACTGGTCTTTAACTGCTGCATGCTATTTCTGGAAGTTTTGGCTGCTATGGGAGGTGCAGAGGGGAAGGGGTCAGAGGCACTCGCCATCTTCCTCTGCCTCACATCTCCAGCGATGCTCTCACTTACAGCAGCGCAAACATAAGTGACATTTCCAGCAACTTTTAAAAACCTTACTATACCTTTCTTCCTCCTGTTAAGGCATTAAATGGCACAAATGGCACAAGGTGTTCAATATTGAAAAAAAACAAAACCAAAACCAGCCACAAAGGGACCCTCACTTTGAGCCCGTGTCCACAGGATGCTGCAGTGGTCCTTGCAGCGCCACAGCCAACCTCTGGCAGCAGTACCTTGCAGCCCAGCTTCTCAGTAGTAAACCTTTATGCTGATAATATAGGATGCCTCATAAATAACTGTGCCAGCAAGATGGACACTGGGGAGGGAACCTGCTTTCCACTTTTCACTCACCCTGCTGCCCCAGTTAATGGATTTAGAAACTACAGTAAATATCCAGACTGTAATCTAGTACAGCTCCTTCCCCTTCCTCCACCCCCCCTTTCTTGGAAGGACATGCTTCTTTCCTTGAGCTTTCCTCCGCTATCTGTGGGTGTGCATTAGAAAATGTAGATACTGAAGCAGATTCTTGGTGTGGTTACAAAACTGATGCTAAGAGTTGCCAAAACCCGGGGGTATCAGTAAGTAAAACTCACAACTCTGCTTCTGCTGACCTCGATCCCACCTTAAACCAGCTTCTGTGTCAGCACAGGTTAGAGACAGCGGCCGGGGTCTGACAGTTGGCAAATTGCACGTGTGTAGTGGTTGGCAGGCCTGCAGCCAGCCATCTCTTCCCACACGTTTGCTGCAGGGTAACCACCACGGCTGCAGCACAGCACTGTTCGCACCCCTTCCATTCCCAATAGCCGTCAGCCGCTCATTTTCACGCTCTCCCACCTTCCCAGCAACTTTTGTTGAACCATTTACAGTTATATTTTCAAACGCTCCCTTTTTAGGTTTCATTCTGGCCCACAACTCAAAGTCATTTCCACGTAATTCGTTCTCATTAGAAGTTCCTTTTTGCTGACAGGATTTCAGTCTTCTCACGAAGCCCTGCCCTCTCTGCTCTATAAGAGCACCCTATTTACAAACCACGTGAGAGCTGACCCATCGTGACAGTCACATTTCCCTCCCCTGTCACCAAGGGCACCCAACTGCTGTGTGTCCACCTGTCCTGTGTTGGCGCCGAGATCAGTCAGTGATGGAAAGCCACAATGCTGCCCCAGGGCAGGGGATACAGACTGACTGTCTGAATGGGATGGTAGATTGCTTCTGGATGGCACAAACTTCTTTTTCCCCCCCCCCCTCACCTCCAAAATCAGCACCACTGAAAACAGATGTTTTTCACCACCTGCTGCTAAGAGCTTTACTACTCTACCTGGCGAGCAAAGGAAACAACAGTCCCTGCTGAGCATTGGGCTTCTACAGCACATGTCTCATTTCTCCTACAGGAGCCTCAGCTGTCCATGAGATGCTCAAAATCACATCAATAAAGTAACTAACCCGACAGTCACCGTCTCGCTTTCTAATAACATCAAATAAATTAATTTTTCTCCAGGTACGGTGGAGATGAAGGACTTTCCCCTCTCAGCCTGCAGCCACATGCAAGATCTGTCTTCCTCTGGAAGCTGGTTTCACATGGTGGCTTAGATTTTCCCACTTTGTATCTAGCACCATTTGAAATCAGTGTTCTAGGAGCAAGAATTACAGCGTGGGAGAAGATCAAGCAGCTGCTAACTTCACTGACAGCCTATCCTCTTTAAACCAGCACTTTCCCCCATCATTTCTTTTTCTGCCAGCCATCCGTTCTGTAATGCCATCTGATTTCTAGACACTATACAGTCACTGTATGCACCCACTGGAAGTTAGGGGCACAACAGGAAAATCTTCCTTCCAATGTATTGCTACTTAATAAACAATGGCTGCCGAGTTCGAGTTGTTCAGAGTAAAATCATCCAAAAGTTGCATGGAAACCAGCAATGTGCTTCTTACACCCTGACAGGCAAAGAGTACATTTCTCCTCCTACCCAGTCACTAAGAAGCTAGCATTTAATTTACTAACTTGGAGCAAATGTACCTTATCTGTGTGCTCTGGGATCTTCTCATTGTAGCATTACCATCCTGTAGCTTCCAAGGACTTGTTCTGCAAACACAGAAGCTCCCCCTGACAGTTTGATCTCAACAGTCAACAAACCCACACGTGCCTTCAATAATAGTGATGAAATCACTCTGATGCACACAGAATCCACTCCTTTTCCTAAAGTTACTTTCTTTGGAGCTTATTGCTGCTCCCTTCCAGTAATGTTTTGCTAGACATTTATATTTCTGCATCCAAACCACAAAAATGAAGCCAAACTAAACTACTTTTGCCTGATCTCGCTGCTGTCAAACACGTTTACATACACAGAAAGGGCGATTGCTGAGGATGAAGCACTCAATAGAGCACTGAATAGTCTTCTTTAAAGAATGCATAGCTGTCATCTGCAAGAGGATCTTCTCTGAGCCAGAAAAATGTCTCTTACACAGGCTGACCGATTTCTCTTGGTGTTCAGAGTCTCAGTTTCTGTCTAGCACCATTTGAAATCGGTTATGATGTAGGGGGAAAAGCAACAATAATGGAAAACTTCATTCCCCCCAGCCCCAGAGTCCTTATAAATAAACACCAGCAGAAGCACGGCCTTGTTTCACAAACATCCTGCGTGCTCTCCTGTTCTCTGAGCCGAAGTTACACCTCTGACCGACCATCCTGCAGCACAGGAGGACACTCAGCACCATGGGACGCTTAAGGGGAAAGCGGAGCATCTGCTCTGACACCCAGCTGAGGTCCCTCACCTCGAGCAAGTCAGGACTCACGCACAGCAGCACAGCCAGCCTCCCTCCTGCCCGCTGTATCCCATTTGTTTGCCTTAAAACTGTTATTTACTCACAGCTTCTTCTTTCAAATAAAATTGTGTGCTACTTGGGATCAGGCTCTGTCTCAGGTAGACAGATGACGTGGTTCCCTGCCGGACAACATCCAATCTCTTTGAGTCTCATTTCAGTCCCAGCTCCCTTTGCACATCACACACCCTACGCTCAGCAGTCAGCACTAATGCTGATTTTGGTAATGTGGACAACTACCAACCACTGACACACCAGCAGATGGCAACAACACGATGCTTTCATCACAGCCAGCCTCTCTGCTAGCACCACGTTCAAGTGCTCCAGTCTATAGCAGATAATAACAATCATGAATTACAAAATAAAGCACACTAGCTACTTTTCTAGCCCTTCCTCTGACAGGTTGCACCTTGAGGCAGCTGACTACACATTTCTGTGCAGAAACAAGAGTATGTTTGGAGCACAAACCTCACACCTGACTTTTCATGTACCCAACTCACGTTCTCCTCTAGGAAAACAGAACACAGCCGTCCACCACACAACAAATGAAAGACAAACACTTACTGCCAAATAATATCTTTATTTGTAATAATACAAGCCACCACTCATCTTTACATTCATAAAAATATAAAAATAAAGCCAGATTTATACAGTCATTTCACTCAAGCTTTCGGTCTATTTCAGTATATCGCGAGATATTGGAAATGCCACACACAAGCCAGCTAATGAGCAACACTCAATTCTCAGTATATTATATTTTCACAGTATTTACAAGCAATTGGCAAACTAAGCATCAGCTATTGGAGAGGCTGTGAACAGCAAGCACTTCTGCACAGCCAGAACCCCTTCTTCAGGACTGGAGACTGTTAGGAGCGCTCAAAAACAACCGCTGGGAGCATCCCAACGAAACCCCAACTAATTCTGTGCTGTTGAAACAACCCGTTCCCAATAGCAGTGCCAATCCAGCCCAGTCAATGCCTCGGCCACCTGATGCCAGGTGACTTGCTCCTTCTGGGAAAACGGGTGCATAGAAGCTGCCTGCATGTTGGCAGCAAACCCACAAAGCCAAGACCCGTCCTCGCTCAGCTCAGCTAAACTCATATGAAAACATTTCATTCTGAAAAGCAACATAACTGTCTCTGAAATGGACATCAAGATTCAAAGTAAAAATCATAATAACATCAGACATCCCAAGGACGGGCACACAGATTCTCAGCAGGTTTTGGTTGATTTCCTTCTGTCAACAGGCCAATAAATACAAACGCAGGAGATACCCCTGCTAGGGAAACCTTCACTTCCCCAGTGCAACAAGACCACTACAGCTCCTTTGGGATTATACCAAAGGTCTTTTTTTCCCTCCTGAAGGCATTATAAAAGCTAAAACTCTGATTCAAAGGCACATTTTAATTCATCAGATATACAGAATCAACTTTGGCAAACAAGAAAGCAGCAGATACAAGATCTAAATTGCAACTATTTCAAACAGACGCAGCCTCACATTGCACCAATCTCTTTAAGAAGAACAAAGACTTAAAACATTTCAGAACATTAGAGATAACATTTACACCACCTCAACTGCAAAAGCAATTGAGAAATTGAGTGCTAACATTGGACCATCTTCTGTAAGTGCTCCGGCCGACAGACAGCGATGTGTGCTGCAGGAAGAGCCTCTAAGTCCATGTTAGATACACAGAGGAGACAGTGAATGACCCAGAGCAAAACAGCAGACAATTCTGATCTTTTTTTTATCCTCCTAGTCCCTATTACAGTTAACCAATAGCATAAAGCACAGGGTGAGGTATGTTAGGTTTCCGTAGGCGAATAAGCGCGCTCATTTTCGTTTCTGATAGGCACATCCAACTGCAAATTCCCTCCCACCCTCAGAAAGAGTCATTCATGCTTTACAGCTCGTGTATTTGGCAGTATGTGGAGTGCTGTCACTCTTCCTACAAACAGAAAAATAAGTCAAATCAGGGATTTCACATTTAAATAGCTCTTACATTTATTCTGGAAGCACATCCTCAGATGTAGCGTTGAATCACCAGGTGAAATCATGGAACTAACTCACTTGTCTGCTTCCTCCTAAGCAACCAATACACTTAGTGAGATTTTGGCTCCAGTTTCAGGCTCTGGAGTGCAAAGAACGACCCAAGGATTAGGAAAGGATTTGATCCAAGTGGACCACTTCAAGTGATGAAGAAACCATGCCAGAATATTATCAGCAGCTGAGCACAGACAGAGCAGTTACAGGATTCCTACCTCACTTGGAGGCTACACTGTGAGCAACCCATGTGTTTTATATGCACTCTGATGGTTAGTATGTATTTTATAGCCAGAAGCCAAGCATTAGTGAAAATTTGATTCTGTAGCTCACTGTGGAAAGCGTGCAGTACTTAAACACAAGAGGGTAATAAATTTAGGATCACAGCCATGACCACTGAAACCCACATCCATTTTCAAACTCTTGAATAGCACAGCTTTTCCTTCACAGCAACCTAACAAGCAAACCAAAGCCAACAAACATCTGCACCATTACTTGAGGTCCCCGAGGAGTTTTAGATGCGCTATAAAGCCTTGGGAGCTTTATCAGAATGTCATCTCCCTTATTTCCAATCCTCCCTTTTGCTCACGACAGGGAGAATTCCCAACTCCTCTCCCCACAAGTAAGGCCAACCAACCCAGAAAACTGATGCCAGAAAACTAATTCTCAATTAGGAGCACCTTATTTCAGAGACAAAGATGCTATTCATTAACACACACTTACGGAATCAACTTAATTCCATATATGCCTTCTCAAGCTTATCAAAAATACTCAGAAGTCACTCATTATTTAATAACTAAATAAAATACAGGACTGTCCCTTCGAAAAGGATTCAAGTCAGAATAAGAAACCTAACGTTTCAGTCATTACCTTTACAGAATTTGTGCCATGGGGAAAAGCAACACAGATACAAGTTTGCAAAAAACATTTCTTGTGCAAATTCAAACCACTAAGAACAGTAACAACAAAATACTGACGAGGAAGAGTCAAGTCGATCTCTTCTGTCTTACATCTGCCCTGCAGCAACACGGCTCAAAGAGCCAGATTTTGGAAAGAGCTCATTGCAGAAAAGACACGTAATTTGGTTTCCTCTGAAGGGAGGAAACGAATGAATGCTTCTTACTGCTTTTTCTATAGGAAACTGAGGTTCACTGGATTCCATACTTCTAAAATTCAGGGTAAACCATAAAGAAAAGACACTTAAGCTTAATGCAAATGCCCAAATGAAGTGGGAAGGGTATACCTTTTCAAGATTCAATTAATTCATTTGTGCAGTTCTTCCATCTCAGCTGGTGTATTTGTTTTTAAAATACATGTTTTCTTGCAACTCTCATCAACTGTATACGAGCTGAACAGCAAAAGGGGAAAAAGGTCTAATTGAATATCCTATGAAACCGACAGACTGAACACAGAAGCAGCAAAGGGCAAGACACAGCTTTTGCTGTACGCTGAAGACAAACACAGCCAAGGTACAATATGAGATACTGGAAGCAGAGTGGTTCAGAAAGGCTCAGCTGTTTCAGGAATCCAGAAAACGAGTGAGCTCTGGGCCCTAGCAGAAGGAGATTAGATTGGGCTTTCAGACAAGAACGGGATTTAACAGTCAGGCGCTCACAGCAATGAAGCTGAAGGAAAGCACAGGGCGCAGTGAGATGGCATGGGATTTTCAGGAATACAGCATTATTTTGTTCTGCTTTTTGATGCATTTCCATTAGATCCCTTCTTCTTTTTCTACACTGAGCAGTTTCCTCACAGATGAAGGCAGGAAGTGCTGCCATAGTAGTACTAGACTGCATCAGGGTTATCCAGGTCGCAAATCATCCCAGCGCTGGACGAAAAGCAATTAATCAAAAGCACTGCATTACTTTGCAGCACAGCCCCAGCCACTAGGTCACTGAAAAGATGCCATGGTCCCCATGGGGAAGATAATTCCACTAAAACATCACTGGGTGTGAGCTAGCTTCAGGCTCGTCCCAAGTAGCACCACATGTACTTCACTACAAATCTGAACTACAGGAGTATTTCCTCTGGTTATTCTTACTGAAAGCATCCCTTTGTCTCATAAACCCCACATTTATTCAGTTTTTTTATTAAATCTACTGAAATTTAAGTGAGCTTTGGTGAGGTGTATATCATAACACTGTTCCACCTGACCTGCCCTAAGCTTTCAGTATTTTGTCTGTTACAAAGTGCTTCTCCAAGAAAGCAGTATTTTCTTCTGAGAAGGTTAAAAACAACAAGACATCACTACAAGAAGCAATGCACAAAGCATTTAATCCTCCTGCCAATTCCCTACCAAAAAAGCATATATAACCAGTTACTCTGAAAAGTTCAAAATGCAACACATGCTTCATAAAGAAACAAAATCCACTATTTGTGCACCCAATCTTACACAGTCTGTAATGTAAAGATAACAAACACTGCTACTGCAAACGACAGAACTGAAGTCTACCTATACATCATACGTTCTAGTAGCAATGCCTGCTATTTGTTCAAAGACCACACGACCATTTAGGTCAATATAATTACAAGGAGAAGGCTCAATTAAGTCCACAGTGTTTTATCCAAGCTGTTTCTAGACCAAAACACAGCATAGTCTCGTTTCCCTTCACTACTATTGCTACATTTCATGCAGAAGCAAGGAAGCTCACTTGCAAGGCTTCCAGATGACCTAAACCACTCCGGCTTTTAAAGCCTAAGGAGACTTTCCTTAGCGATACCAGGTGCTTATTCAAGCAAAAAAAACCCACAACAACTGAAATAAAGCAGGTGAAGCCAAAATAAACCTGTAGTACCACTGGTTTAAGATACAAAATGGCAGGTTTTGGAGCAGATGTGAACACTGCTAAGTGTACTTTTCTTAAAAACAAGCCTAAGGACAGTGCTTCTCCATCCTTTAAAATGGCAGGAATGATAGTTAGCATCTTATTTAAGTAACAGATAAGGAAACAGTCAAATATGCTGTTAGGTACTTCAGCTGCTAAGCTCACATACAGACATCACACAATTGAAAAAAGAAAAGGCAGATAAAGCTTAAGCAACTACATGTGTTAGCACTGCTTTTGCTGTCACACAGAAATTGCCAGTAAAAAAGGCTTACTTACCCTTCCTGTGAAATGAATTTCTTAAAGATCCAGAAGGCTGCCAGGAACACCACAACTGCCACGATCACTTGAGGAAGAATTAAAAAGAAGCCTTAGAGTGATAGTAAACAGCTCATAAGAAACATTCCCTCAAAAATTAACGCTGTCTACACCCAGAATCCTACACAGCATCCTCCTCTTCCAATGCTCAAAGATTCACATGGTTTAATTCCCAATTACATATTTGATACTCAAGACTCTTCAGCAGAGTTCAGCTCAAGAACAGACATCACCATGATGGCAAAACACCACCAGCTCAGGACTATCACCGCAGCTCACAACACTCATTGCTTTTTTGGAATGAACTTATAAAGAAGTGGTGGTAGAAAGCTTGATTTGAGGAGCAGACAAGCATTTTCAAAGCAAGCAGAACTGCAGACACAGCTCCTATTAGTCCCAGGTAATGACCACAATATCAACTGCACATAAAAAACAAACACCACGTCGTACATCATTCAGGAATGATATGATACTTACCACAGATGATGGCAATGATATAAGCACCTAAAAACAGAGTAGATGAGCATTATGAGGACTGCATGCTTCTTAACCAAAAGCACCATATAAGTACTCATGAGGGTGTCTCAAATGAATCAAACACTTGTCAAGATGACCCTTGCAGCAGGTCAGCTTTGCACAGCAATTTTAAGTATGCCAATTATTAAAAGCATGTTTACCCAAATCTATCTTCCTTACACCAAAATAAAGATAGAAGTTTGCAATAAGGGACTTCTGAATATAAAAGCACATCCCCAAGTAGTAAATATTCTATGTGTATTTTTATTCTATTGGAAATGCTTGCAGTTTATACTTACTTAACTTGCAGATTGGCACTTCTGGACTCCATCTGCCTTCTCCAATATACTCAATACGAGCTGCACCATGCAATGTGTAGCCTGCATAACATTCAATTGTAACTGAATCCCCTATGGAATATACAGATTTTTTCCCTTCAATTATTCTACCATGGCTGATGACTGGAGAGGAATCAGAAGGTTCAGGACCACCTAAAAAGGAAATATTTTGGAAGTGAGGAAAAAAAAAAAAAAAAAAGAAGTCTGAGAACAGAGCTGATACGTGGCACAGATTAAAGAAGTTGCCATCAAGAAGTCCCTACATTCGTGTAAATATCAGAAGCTCAGTTCATCATTAAGACATTACATGCAAAGGCTTCCTGCTGCCCAGAGGCAGCAAAAATGTATGCTGATGGACGTGCTTCAGATGCATGAGCAGAAACACACACCTCAGCTTCACTGGGATACAGAGCTGCATCAGAGTAATGATGAAATCTTTCTGTTCATATTACCAGTGATCACATCATGCAAAGGAGAAAAAAAAAAAATGAAGCCTGTCACCTACAAAGGCAGAATGTTCAGAAAGACCTGTTGTGGGAGTGCTTTCAACACAGCTCTCGAGTTGTGTTCATTTCCACACATAAAACTAAGACTAAAGGAGGACTCCAGCATGGCACAAAACTGCAGTTCCTCAAATCCCAACCCATGGCACTCACAGCCTATTAACGTAACCTGTGACCAGCTGGGCACGCTGACAGGCCTCTGACCTTCAGGGCTCAAGCACTACATCAGACATTTCCAACTTGTCACTTGATTTTCCTAATTATGAATTCTACTCACAGGCACAGTTTGGTTCAGAACTCCACGTGTTTTGTCCTTGGCACGTTACTGTGACCTCTGTACCACCATCAGGAAAAGCACAGTGAGGAATGCACCTTATCTGAACAGACTCTCCTCTTAAGTACACAGATTTTGGTGGAACTACTTCTCCATGGGAGATCTTTGGGGCACCACACGAATCTTCACTAACTAAAACATAAATTTAAAAGCAAATGCAGCAATAAGAAGTTTTAAATGTTTTATAATTCATTAGCTCTCTAAGCACACACTGCTTTTGTATAATACAACGCTATTAGTATACCTGAATTGTTAGAGCTTCTCCTCTACCTTTACCATAATTTTAAGTATAAATGTTTTCTATGGAAGATTTAAAAGCAGCATCACTCCAGGAGTGTAGCATGATGATACAGCACCTGAGATGTCTGTACTCTTTGGTTTATTGTTTTTCATACGAATCATTCTCGGGTGCCTTATAGACTCATCCATTATGAAGCACTCAAGCACATCCTTTGCAGAAGTAGCTCTCATTCTTGAGAATATCATTAGAACATACATACATGAAATTCTGACTGTATTCTTCAGTCACATTCCCTGCACCTCCAGCACAGTGGGAGGAGGAAGACTGCAGAAAATGCTCTTCAATGGCCCCTGGGAATTAGGCCTAATAACAATTTGCTTGGTCAAAAACCTACAAAGCATTCTGATGCCTGGAAAGCTAGAGTTGAAGAGCTAGGCATGAGCACAGATTCAGACACATCATGATTCTGAGTACACAAGAAGGACCCTACTGATCTCTTCATTATGCACAACCCTTGTACATTCTATCAAGACTCCAAAATGCACATCTATCATCCTCATTTCTTCATGATATCACTTGAACAAAGGATGCCATTACAACCACATCTACACCCGTGCCCCAGCTTCTATGTCTAAAATTCAACTCATTCTCATTCAAACACTGCTAGGAGTGAGGTCACACGAACACCTGGAACAGCTGTCATGATGAGGCTCAATATCAACTTCCTTAGCTTCTGACTTTCAACTACAGTGTGATTGCTTTAAATTATAGCTAAGATTTAACAACACTCTCAACATACAAGAAAAGTTGGATTCCTATATAAAAACTTACCTTTTTTACAAGTTGGTATTGATGGATACCAGGTGCTGTTTTCTTGACAAGTAATTACATCGTTCCCAAACAAGACATAGTCTGGATCACATTCAAACATAACTGTGCTCCCATAGGTATAGTGAGATGCAAACCCAGATAATTTTCTTCCATTTTCTACATCTGGGTTTTCACAGATGACCACTGAAATACATAAGAGGAAAAGCAGCTTTGAAACATTTGTTAACAGTATCTTCACAGCAGTCGCAGCACTTTTAATACTTGTAACAAAGTTTCTTAATTCCTCGAACTGTTTGGACTGGGTTGCCCAAGAAGCCTGCTCTCTCCAATGCCCAGATTGTCTATGATTTAAGCCATTGACTTGCAACAGTATACAGTCAACTAAAAGCGCGTCCCACTTCCAACCCACCTAATTCTTCCTACACAGCAGCAGAATTTCAGACAACTCAATTATTTCGGTTAGCATTCAAGTGACAAGAAGAAAGCATCCAGTTTTTCTCCCTACAAACACAAAACACCACCACATGCTTGCTAAACTTTATGCTTATTTCTGCACTAGCATGGTGGTTGTTCACGCATGCTTTTATTAGGTACTCCAGCTCAGTTCCTTCACTTTGTCCTTGCCACTTCTACCAACTGTGTGCTCCTATTTTAAGTATTAATTTAAGTTCTAAGCCAGCCTGTATATCATACTCCAATATCCACAATGCAGCTGATCTGAGGTGCGCTGCAATTTTATCAGTTTACACCAGCAGAAGACAAAGTTCCTCCTCCCCTGTAGGGAAATCCATCCCCTCAGCTCCCCAGTTCCAAAAGAGGCAGATATTGAAATCTGAGTCCTATAAGAGTTATTTATACTTGAGAAACAAACAACCTTTACATTGTGGAGGTGGTCCACTCCAAACACCATTTGAGTTCTCATCAACTGTGCAGAAAATAGAAGGTGAACCAACCAGCGAGAAGGGATCTTCTCCTTTCTGGACATCATTACAGCTATAGGTTACTGCTGTTTGATAAACATAGTTGTCTGCTTCAGTGTAGTGCCCGTTGGCTATACTTGGAGGAGGAGCACAAGGAACCTCTAGAATGAAATCATAAAAGTTAGCTAAGAGAATTTTGCTCCCAGAAGTAAAAAGCTTTGATTTTCAAGTCACTGCACTTAAAAATCCAACACAGAGCTGTAACTTGTCTTAGCTCTACCTGAGAAAGACCTGTGGTCATTTGTAGCAAGAATAGGTAGACTTTAATAGCTATTAACTTACTACAGCAGTAACTGACACTTTTCAGTGCCGATTCCTCAGGCACATCCCCAGTAGCTCAAGAAAAAAATTTAAGTGTTGCCCCATTTTACCATCATTTCTTTCACCAGTGAATGTGCAGCACACAGCTATATGATAAAATAAACTACCACTGTCTGAGTACAAAGCATAAATACAGCAGTACTTTACTTACTGTCACAGACAGGAAGACCTCCATTCCAGTCAACGCCTTTATCTTTAATTACACAGGAAATTTGACTATTTCCATATAACCTGTACCTAGACAGATGAAAACATTCAAAGAGGTGAAACCTAATAACATTCATTTCTCCAGGAAGCAGCTAGAAATGTAGTTTACACAGTTCTGTTCTGTGACTACGTAGACACAACACACCATGCTTCTCTCATGGTGAGAATGTTATCTTCAGAGCTATTTTGTTAATAGACTCAACTCTGAGAATGAGAGAAGCAAATGAGACATCACTAAAGAAAAAGACAGAACCTCTCCCTTTACAGACATGCACCTAATACCATCAAGTCACCAATGTTAAAGAAAACCTGAAGAGAAAGAAAAAAAAAAATCCTGTGAGGGGTTTTAATGCTTTTGAGTTGATGTGCTACACACAAACAGGCTGCTACACAATGTAATAATGAAGTGCAATGAATATACACTTAATTCCTGTGCCACAGGGACAGTAAACAAAGAAATTGTTAGAGGTAACACAGGCAAAATTTTGCTAAACACTTTATTATATACACCTAATTTGATGCGAGTAAAACCAGGGAATCAAACCAAATTTTGCTGTGATTTGTCCTGCTATAACTCAAGAACCTCAGTTCGGGTTTGGTTCAAATCAGGTCTAAATAGGAAAAAAAAAAACCCCACCAAAAAACCAACACTTACCCTTTTTCACAAGAAAAAGTAGCTGCTGAACCAAATGTAAGATCTGTCACATTAACAAAGCCATGTTCTAATTCTCCAGGATGAATACATCTTTTTGCTGGGGAAAGGGAAGAAAAAAAAAAAAAACAAAAAAAACAAGCCTATATCTTTGTAGCTACATACAAAGACACACTGCCCTTAACGTCACTAGAACTTTTCAAGCTTCATTTTAAATTATGCAGAAAATTAATCTCACTCAAAACCAACTGAAATTGTTAAACAACAAAGGAAAAACAAATTAAAATAAAAAAAAAAAAAAGCAAGAGGTCTGTAATGCTATGATGAGATGGTAAGAGCAGAGTGGCAAAACCTCTGGCTACAGCAAATGAGAACGAGTCCAAATCAGCAGCCATGAATACAGAAATGAAGAAGAGCTGCTTACCTTTGGAAAGCCTCAGGCAGGCAGGGATCTCCAGCATGGCATCTCCAGGGATGCCCTCACCCCCACTACCAACCCCTAAATGAGGTTTGGGAGGAGTTGGATCCTGACTCCACCTCTTCCAGTCACTCAGGTGCACTGCATGCACCTGAGCTCCCCTGGGCTGGCCCTGCCTTCCCACCAGGTGCTCAATCACTGCTTCAGGCCATAACTTAACATTTCCACTACAAGGCCACACACACACATTACCTGTACAGAACGTCTCTATTTGTGACCACATCAAGTTTTTGCCACACGTTCGATCAACAGGCATCCCAGGGATCCTCATATAGCCAGGGCGACAGGTGTAACTCACACTGGTTCCAACAGGAAAGCTGCTCATTGTGCTGAAGTCCTCCATGAGCTCTGCATACTGAACGTTGTCTGGAAGTGTGCAGGATTCTGCGGGAGCGTGGGGAAGGAAGGAAACAATATTTATCAGCACGAGGAGATACAAGCGGAGGCAAAGCAAGGGCAGTGCAGTCGGTTTGAAGGATGTTAATGCAAACAAATCATAGGAGAGACCTTAAAGCCCATGGGGTGCCCAACCAGACCGCACTGCCCAGAGCCCCATGCAGTCTGGGCACCTGCACAAAGTAATGAAGTTCTTGAAAGCCAGCACTGTTTTTACAGTCCTTAAGGTTTTGGGTTTCCAGTTCCCACCCTGATCACACCCAGCACCCACTCCACACTGGTGCAGGTTCACTGCTGCTCTGCTCGGTTGCTCTTTAGCGTTCTACCTCAAAAACACACCACTTTCTAGTTCCTATTTTTTTCTGTTTTTGATTAAGTTTATGACACAATCCGCGCAGAGTACCGTTCCTCTTCACCTTACAGCAGCAAAAGCAAACAACGAACACAAAGGAGCTCCTCCCCTCGCGCAAAACAACACCACACACACCAAAAAAAAAAAAAAAAAAAGCCCCCAAACCCGTAATATAACAGCCAACTTCCGTCCTCCCAGCGCCACAACGACTCAACCCCGCGCTGTGGCCGTTCCCTTTGTCTCCTCGATCCCCACAGGCCGCCCGCTCTCCTCCCGCCGCCGCTGCAGCTCCCCGCCCGCTCCCCGCCTCCACCGGGCACGCGAAGCCCCCTCACCTTCCCCCACCCTACAGATCACCGCTCTCGTCGCTCACCCTGCGCCCGAGCCGCGCAGAGCCCCGCCAACAACACCGCGATCCCGAGCGCGCCCGCCGCCATGCCCGCGGCTCCGCGTCCCTCTCTCGGGCGACGGCGCGCCGAGCGCTGCGCATGTGCGCTGCGCATCCCTCCGCTCTGTGAAACGGAGGCCGCCATTTTGTGCCCGGCCCCCTCGTTAGGGCGGAGCGGCCACCGGGCTGAGGGCAGCGCGTGAGAACGGCGGCTCCGAGCTCGTGGAGCGGGCTTTTTGTTAGGCAGGGCCCGCCCAGCCTCTTTCCGGCTGACGGAACGGCTTCAAAGCCCGGTCTGTGGTGCAGCCCAGGCGAACAAAGGCTGATTGAAAAAAAAAGCAAATAAAATATCAGACGGCTGCGTGGGGACTTTTGTGCTTTCCTCAGAAAGACGGGCTGCTCGCGTTGCGCTGTTAAAGTAATAACGCGGATCTATCGAAGTGGGCGCAAAAAGAGACACAGAGCTGCCGTCCTGCCTTCAGGCTTTATTACAGCAGCGCTGCGGTTCTCCCTCAGCTCAGGGTTTGCAGACAGGAGCAGGTGCAGTGCGGGACGTCCTCTGATGGGCTTCTGTACAGCAGGAGCTTCATTCGGCCTTTACAGTGCTTTAATGAATGGAGCAGGAGGAGCATGAAGGTTGATTTGGGTCGAAGTGCTTTCTTGGTTCAGTCCTAACGTGGGGGAACGCCTCGAATGCCAGTTATGGGCAGCACCGGGCTCAGCCTGGGGAGAAAGCAATTAACAGTGTTAAAATTAGCTTTCCTCAAGCTTTCATACCAGTGTTTATCATATCATTGCTTAGGAAGGGAGGAGGGCCTGCTCTCTTGGGTAATGCTTTTTTGTTTTTCAAAGAGGAAATGATTGCAAAGCTGCCTTTGCCGGAGAACGAAAGATAAGTTGACAGCTGAGGTTGTACGGTCTTGTACCAGAAGTTTGGGTGGAAAGAGTTTTCAGCTGGAAGGATTACAGTGGGACAACTCACATTCCTAGCTGTAGCAGATATTTCGTGTTAATGCATACCTGCCATGCAAGACGTGAACATTTCTGTTCTGCCATCTAATCCAGAGAGGTTTTGTGGTTGTAGTTTTCATACGTGCGGTAGAAGCTGCATGAAAAAGCACAGTGAACTGTGTCAGTCCATAATGAACGCTCAGATTTCCCCTTAGGAAGAATCTTGGAAGTGAAGCAAAACACAACCACACAATTGACTCCAAGTTGATGCACTCAGTACAGATGGCAACTTAAAGCTCAAAATACCAAACTGAAAGACCTAGCCTCCTCATTCTGGGGTTTTGACTGTATAGAAGTCATAACTGGGCAAAGAAAAATGTGAATGGATACCCAACAGGATGTCTCACCCTTCCTTCTGCTTAGAGATAATTTTCCAGCCGATGGTCACACCCAGGAGAAGCAGAACGACTGCAGCTGCAATTCCTGAGAGGAAAGAGAGCGTATTATTTGCACTGTGTGTTTTAAAACCCATCGGCACGAGATAATAAGCATATCTTCGAGGAAGAAGAGGAAAATAGTGCCACTGAGGCTATGAAGCCAAAGATCTGGCCACAGAAATTCTTCTGAGCTGCTTACCTAGCCCTACTGAACCAGACCTGGGTGAAGCTGAAAGAAGAGATAAGCAATAATCAGTAAACAGTTCTAAAATAAAATACGGTGTTCCTCAACGGTTTTTAGTCACTTCATTCATAAAGCTTTTACTGCTTAGGCTGACAGTGCAGAATTTTAAAAAGATGTACCATTATTTATATGTATATATATTTAATAGAAAGTCACTTACATGTTTGAAAGGGAAATTAACAGCAATGATAGCGTTACCAGGAAAACAGAAGCCCTGAACTGCAGAAAGACTGTGGAAAATAGTGTCTGAACTAACCTGATAAAAATAGCTATTTTTGTTTGTTATTTTCTACTGCCATGGTAAAATCAGCTTTAAACAGACCTAAGAGGCCTTGGGAGCACATCGTACAGACAGTTTGCAGACAAGAATGAAACTCTGCACTTGCATTTTTCTCTTTGTTCTTTGCTTGATTTATATTTCACTTACTGAGTTTACAGGCTGGCACAGGAGGGTCCCAGCTGAAGTCCTCCTGGCACTGAATCTGACTGAGGCCTTCCAACGTGTACCCATCATCACATTCAAGAGTGATGTTAGTCCCAATTCTGTATGTTTTTCCAGACGCAGTTTTCTTAACACCTTGAACTTCTGGGAATACACAACTGATCTCTGAAATTAGAAGTAACAAAGAAGGAACGTTAAGTGTGAGGGAATGTAAGATATGGAAAGTAGAAGCGTGGGTTATTTAAGGCATTGTTCTTGAGTTCTTTTTGAATAATTCCCAAATGTGATTCGTTTCTCTGTGGCTACAAAAGGAGCTTTGTGTCTTCTGCCACCATGTAGGGGTTTATACGAGTTAGCTTCTTCCCACTGGTTACCACCATGAGAACAGTTGTAGCCTGGAAGGAGCACTGCCAGAGAAAGAGATTTTCCGTTGCTGGGCTAGCAAGACATTTGAGAAGAGTGGTGTATCAGGTCTGTTTGATCACCTTTTACTATTCTAGGATTCTAGAGGAGAAAATTGTCAGTGGAGACCAGAGTAAGTAACACCAGCATGTAAAGTCTGGCCATTATATTATGGCTTATTTATTTTTACAACCACACATAATAGTTTCTAAGGACAACACAAGAACATGAGAATGTTGGATAACAGGGAGAATTCTTTTGTGACTCTGTTTCTTTTAAATAGCTGCTGGCTTATTTATGTAAGTATTTGGTGTGTTATTTCCTCGTATTGTTATCCAGGTGCATTTCTATTGAGTCACCGATGTTGTACAGTTCCACCAAGGAAATGCCCTGTGAATTCATTCTGCTGAACACCCAGTTTTCCATGCGGGAACACCCACACTAGAAATCCTGCTGCATTCGTGAAAGGGCCATGAGTCACATTTGCCTGATGACTGAAATTGACCGTGTGCTACGCAGAAGTGCCAAGTCACAGAAGTAGAGACACTTCCCATGAAAGGAGTAGTAAGACTCACATGTAAACTACAGGTAATCCATCAGAGAAAAGTCATCAGATGTAATCACTTCCTGCTTCCTGCTAGTGATAACAGGGAATGGAAAGGGAAAGAGAGAATGTTTCTACTCCTCAAGGAGAAAAAGCTTTTAAGGGAGAAATGTTAATATGCAGCTAATTCATACCAACAAAGGCAGAGATGCAGAACATGTGGGAATTAAAACTGCCTTCCCGAATTTCCTCCACCGTACTCATATCCTTCTACCTGGTATCATAAAGTAGATCCCATCTTACTTCTTTATCAGGATTTTATACTCTTCCAGTTATATACAAATAAAGGCCAATTAGTAATTGACACCACTAGCTGTGATGTGGAAGTGGTTCCCAAGCCAAATAAATGGGTGGAATTCAATGTTAGCAGCAGCAGAATGTTTTGCTGCTTAGATTTTGGCCCACATATCTCACACACACACACCTTTGCATTGAGGAGGAGGATGGCTCCAGGTTCCTGACGCTGTGCAGGAGATGAAAGCATCCCCACTGAGTGAATAGCCAGAATCACAGCTGTAGGACACAGATGTTCCATAGAAAAAAGTGTCTGAAGTGTTGCCTTGGAGCTTCCCATTGGTGATAGCTGGAGGGTGGAGACACTTCACAACTGGAAGTCAGGGAGAGACAGATGACAGTGTTGAAGTAAGAATCCTCACAGACAGCCAGAGAACAGCTAAGGCCCTGTACTCTTGCAGCCTTGCTCTTTCCCTTTCCATTTCTTCATCTAGTTTCAACAGTTGATTCTGTAGCTCTGTAACTCCACCAGGTTTTGTGAACATGGATAAGCTTTATCTTGTTCTCATCACCCATTTCGTAGTAAAGGACTCAGATGTAGTCCTTATATAAATCTTGCCCTCAGGCACATTATGTATTAAACTTTCTTCTTAGCTCTCTGCAACAAAGACACACCTTGGCAGACAGGAAAAGGATGGCTCCAGGCTCCGGACTCTGTACAGTAAATGGATGCCATCCCAACGAGGGAGAAGCCAGTCTCACAGCTGTAGTTCACAGATGTTCCAGGTTGGAAAACTGCTTTTCCCAGGCCACTGTGACCCCCGTGGAGAATATCTGGGGGCTTGGAACAGTGCAGCACTAAGGAGAGAGAAGTACAGATTAGAAAGCACTCTTGGAGGCAAGAGGAGAACCTCCAAGCATCTGCGCATGGCTGTGTGCCCACCTCCACACCACTGACACTAATGCACAGAGCCCACTGCCCAACCTCATGCACCCACATTACCCTACAGCATCTGACTTGATGTCACACCAATTTCTTCTGACACAAAGGAGCGCTGCCCAGCATCATCTTCCCTGATGCATTGGATAAGAAGAGTGATTAGCTGGTGTATATAATGAGAACTGCACATTTGTAAGACCGTTTTACAGCAGTATCCATACAGGTCCCTTACATCTGACAAAACCAGGCTGAGCTTAGTTTTAAGTTCATTTTGAGAAAGTGAGGCATCAGTTATACTGCAGTGATAAGACTGGGAAAAATTAAGGTAGATGGATCTTTAGGTTTAAAAACTAGGATTCCTCTTGCCCCCTAAACATCCTGCCATGTGCTACAAATAGTGCAAGGTCAGAAGGGACAGGTGTAAGGATGGGTGAGATGCACTCACCTCGGTCACAGGCAGGGAGTGGAGGAAACCATGTGCCCCCAGATTGGCACTGGGACTTGTGGAGGACTTCTGAGATATTATCAGAGTTGCATTCAATTGTGATGATGTCTCCAGGCATGTAGAGAGATTCTGATCCAATAGCTTGTCCATGCCCAACTCCTGGGCTCACGCAGCCAGCTGTGGAATTGAGGGCAGAAAGAACTATTTACCCTGAAAACTTGTGCAGGACAGATAAGGACATTTGGCCACAGAGAATGCATTTTTTCCTTAGGTGGATTTTGCTCAAGAAACAGCTTGTTTCACCAACTCTTTAGCTACGTATCAGCACGTGCTAAACACGTTCAGAAAGATGAGAATCAGTGACAAGAGTGTGAACATACCCTCACACCGAGGTAGGGGACGGCTCCAGACCCCATGCGGTGTGCAGCGGATGGACTTATTGCCAATGAGAAAGAAGCCAGGTTTGCAGTGGTAATGCACGATTGCACCTACACCAAAAGCATCTGAGAGTCTACTGTGTTCCCCATTGATGATGCTTGGGGGAGATGGACACTTTACCACTGAAAGAGGAGAGGAGAGAGGTAAGAAGGTGAAGCTAAATTATGGAAAAACAATTGTGTAAGAAAGGAGTAAAATGGATAACTACTCCTCTTCCCCTCAAGAAAAAGGGCCGGGTGGGAGGAGCAGTTAAGGATTGATAAGTCTTGCCTCCCATGTAACACCTACCTAGACTCGTTGCAGCAGCAGGATGATAATTGCATCTAGATGCAGCATTAAGAGTTGAAAATACACATTTGGTTGCATACACGCAATGCACAAATTTACCTTCCTTTCCTATCATCCTTCCTTTATATTTCCAGCAAATAAGTCCCTCTTCTCTGATAGTCAGCATCCTGCCATACAGCTACCGAGTTTCTGTCTATCAGAAATTGAAGCACTTGTGGACTACAGACTGCAACAAGCAGGGAAGAAAAGCACAAATCCCACTTACTGCACTGCCCTCAACCTGGCTTAGCGCCTGTGTGAGGAAAGAATCATAGGTGAAAGGAACACCTTCTGCTTTCTCCTTACAGCAGTCAGAGCAGGCAGGAAAGGGAAAGCCAGATGTGGCTTCAGAGAGCAGGCAGCAGCAACCAGGAGTATCTTGCAGTGTTACTCACCCTGCTCACAGACGGGCACGGGAGGATCCCATGTTTTGTCAGCTTTGCACTGGGCTGTGGGATGCCCTTTCAGCACGAACCCTTCGTGGCACTGAAAGCTGACAGTATCCTTGTATCTGTAGCGCTGTTTGGGAATGGATACTCTCCCATTCTGGATCTGTGGCACTGGACAAACCACCTCTGGAAAAGAAATTCATCATCTTAAAGAGGCAGCAAGCATGTGCTGTAGTTGATGCCCAGATAAAGCCCATCCTGGCCACTGCTCCAGGGCAGACTCTCAGCAGAGCTGTGCAGGCAGAACTCAGCGACTCACAGAAGAATAATTTCAAGAATGAAGGGCTTTTTAGTGTCTTCATGTACCACGGGATTATCACAGTTTTTAATATGTAAACATAATTTTGTGCCTATAAACAAAATAATGCACATACATTCCAAGTAAACATGTCAAGTGTTGTAGAAATCAAGTTTTGTTAGGCATTCTCACAACTGTTTTACTGCACCGAGCTCATGGTTTCCAAGGCAGTTCCATCTGAAGGAATAACCACATCTTAATTGCCATGACCAACCCTTGCAAGAGAGTCTTGTGGCTTGGATAACAGTGCAGTGGAAGATCTCAGCCCAGCTCTGCTCATGCGAGAGACATTTCTTCCTTTGTCTATTGTGGTTGTGAAACAAAAGGAACAAATCCTGGCAGGCATCTGACAACTCCTCCTTCCACATAATTCTGAAAGATCAAAAGCTGGCAACTGGAAAATTTGTAGAAGAAACCAAACAAGCATGCAAAACAAAACAACCTCAGAGGAATACTCTTTGAAAGTCTTATTCACCAACGCTCTATTTATTTTAAGGAAATGCCACTTTTTGATTTTCAGGACTTAATATGGCAATTCTAGACCAGATTTAGTTGCGACCTACTTACTCTGACAAGTGGGAGGATCACCACTCCATGCAATATCTGCTCCAGAAAGCTCACAGCGCCGCAGGGACTGACCAACCAGCCGGTACCTGCAGTTACACAGAAGCAATAGCAGCTGATAGCAAGGCGTGCAAGGCGCTTTGCACTACCCCAGAGCTTCAAGAACACTCTCTTGCTTCTGGATAATTCTCTTGGTGGGATATGTGGGGATGAAAAGAACCAGGTTCCTCCTTCCTGGGCCAAAAGTACCAATCCTGGCTTACTGGCATGAGCTGAGCAGTGTGCTGTGCCCCCTCGCTTTACATTGCCCAACACAAGCTCAGTAAATGGATCAGCAGAGGCAGCGTGGGACTCACCCTTCTTCACATGTGTAGTTCACGATGGACCTGAACAGGAGATCTGTCAGAACAACAACTCTGCCATTCTGTGGTGCTTCAGGATAATTGCATTCTTTCCCTGGGAAAGAACAAGGCTAAGTTTAAACTCTTCTCTTGCAGTTTTACAATGTGCTACGAGAAAACATCTGAAGGATCTGTCCACATACAAACACCAGCAAAAATTTTTATAAAAGACCAACAGCTGTCCAAACTATGTGACTAGTGAAGCCATGTAAGAAGCATTTTTTGTACCAAAGAATTCCTTTAGAAACCCATGTGTTTAAATTTAGACGCATTTCCAAAACCGGCACCAAACGGATGGAGCTATTCACTTTTGCAGAACGCTCGCACATCAGACCACGTGTGGTTTTTGAGGCACGTCAGAACTGGCTGCACTGTGGGGTGTCTCATGAATCCCGGGCGGCAGGCGTAGCGCACCGTGCTCCCAACAGGAAAGGCTGTCGTGTTCTGGTGCTCCTTGGCCAGCTCAGCATAGCTGAGTATTGGAGGAACACCGCAGCTACCTGCCGGGAGGAGAACACAGAGAGATTTTGTCCATCAGCATCTCCACAGGTTCCCAAGCAGCCTGGCTCCAGCCGTTGCCCCTCCACTTTACCTTCACACTGAGGAGCGGGCAGGCTCCAGTTTCCAGACTCGGTGCAGTAAATGGATGCCTCCCCCAGCAGGCTGTAGCCAGGATCACAGCTGTAGTTCACAGCCATTCCAGGAAGGAAAACTTCCACATCCTGGCTGTCGTGATTGCCTCCGTCAATATTTGGAGGCGAAGGACACTGTAACACTAATAAGAAAAGGAAAGGGTCTGAAAAAGAGCACAAATGGGATAATGTGCAGGAAGGATGCATGCACAGTGCCACCAAAGTGAGTACAGCATCCAGTGTGTGCTGGAAGCAAGCTGATGTGCAGCCCAGGCTCTGTGCAGTGGCAGTTTGCTGGCTCCAGTAGCAGCTATGCAGGGAATGAAGGGCTCTGGAGATTTTAATCCTGACCCATTTGCTCTTCTATTCCTGACAAAGGCTGCTGCAGCCCTCTGCCCTTGGTTCTTGCTGAAACACCACGGTGTCCTCCCTTTTGTAGAGCTGATGGCATAGACAGCTCACCTTCACAGCGGGGCTGAGGGCTGCTCCAGCTTGCATTGCCAGTGCAGTACAGAGCTGCTGTTCCAGTAAGAGAATAGCCAGGGTCACAGCTGTAATTTACAGACATTCCAGGGATAAACTCCACGTCCATGCCATCATGCTGGCCATGGTCAATCACTGGTGGGAAAGGACACAGCTGCCCTGCAGGGAAGGAAGGTGTTTGGTTTGGTTTTTTTTTTCTGTTTACTGTTCCCAATTACTATTAGAGAACTCAGTCGCTGCAAATTCAACATCTCCTGTAATCCCTTTGTGTCCAATGGCATATCCACAATGACAAAGACACCTTCACACCGAGGGGCAGGGTCACTCCACACTCCAGCAGCAGCACAATTCAGCACTGCTCTAAGGAGCACATAGCCAGGATCACAGGCATGGACAACAGACAAACACTGCCATGCCTTGGCCTCTGTGGCTCCCATTGGCAATGCCTGGGGGCTGAGAGCACTGCACATCTGGGGAAAGAGGGCAAAGCCGTCCATCCGTACAAAAAAAAAAAAAAAAGAAGTATGGAAAAATGAAAGAATCCATGCAGGATTCCAACCCTGCTCGTAACAGAGGGGTTGGAACTAGATGATCTTTGAGGTCCTTTCCAACTCAAGCCATTCTATGACTCCATGAAGCTGTACCTCCACAGTGTGGTGCTGGTCCGCTCCAGGCACCGCGCTCCCCATCCACTGTGGTGCAAAAGATGGTGGCTGTCCCAGCCAGCACGTGGCCAGGCTCACACATGTATGTGACCACAGCTGCATAGGGAAAGGCATCCATCAAATGCCCGCTGTGTGTTCCATGCTGGATGTCGGGAGGTGGGTCACAAACGATACCTGTGTGGGATGCACATGTGGGGTTTTAGTATCATTGCTGCTGCAGTGCTGGGGACTGCAGGATCGTTCACTTCCAGGAAGGGATGAATGTGGGTGAACCCATCCCTGTGGTCATGCTGTCCCAAGTAAAGCACTGCTCTGAATCTCCTTGTGCTGTGCTCAGCTCCCACCATGTGCACTTACTCTGGCAGACAGGAACGACCCCAGTCCACGTCACTCGCATCCCGGAGCCTGAAATCACGCAGTGTCGCTGAGAAGCTCCAACTAGCCTGTACCTGGGGTTAAACAACAGCGCTCCTGTTATGGTGGGACTCTCTTTGGAGGTTGCATCTCCCACAGCCACCAATTACCTCCCTGCTTGCCACCACATACTGCCATTTTAACCATTTTGAAGGTACGGATCTGAGCTCACTTGGCCCTGGGTCTCCTCAGTGGGCGCAGCAGCACAGTTTGACCAGGACTCACCCTTCATCGCAAGTGTAATTCACAGTTGATCCAAAGAGGAGATCTGTTGTAACAATAACTCTGCCATTTTCTGGTTCTCCTGGATGATCACACCTTCTCCCTGGACAGAACAAGAGGTGTTTTTCAGCTTAACTCAGCATGAAAGGAAAAGTGGCATTGGAATTCTAAGGATCTGACCAAATCCCCAGGGTAGAGAACCAAAAAAAAAATCCACCAAGCTATAGGGCTTCCTTTGTCACACTGTGATTTAAATGACAAAGAAGCATCTGTAAAACTTACGTCTGCAAAACTTCTTAGCTTCAGACCACGTCTGATTTTCAAGGCATGTAATAGTGGGTGGTATCTGTGAATGTCTGGCGTATCCTGGCTGGCAGGTGTATTTCACTGTGGTCCCAACTGGAAACTCAGTCCAATTCTTATACTCCTTGTTTAGCTCAGCAAACTGTAACAGTGTTGGTGTCCCACATCCAACTGCAGGAAAAAAAAAGCACGTGAGGAATTAGGCTGGTAGTGAAACGCAGCTGAGAAGCAAGAGCACTGGTAGATTCGACTACAAAACCTGGGGGTGGTAGCATCTCTTCTATCCTGTGTTCTGACATTTATCTACATGAATAACTCTTAGTGTGGAAGGATGCATGCATGAAATTTATGTGGTCTTTAAAAACCCTTAATTTAGCCAGTTTTATACTTGCACACTCCTCCACACATCCTTGGGGACTGGCTGTTGGCCTTAGGGTGCAGGAATCTGCAGGCTCAGATACGAGAGAGCGTTGTGCTGGAATTGAAGTTCATCCCCAAAATTTCCACAGCGTAGCTTGGGGGTGCATGCCATGCCATGCTGTACTGTGCCTACCCCTCACCTGCACAGCGTGGGTACGGGAGGCTCCAGCTCCCTTCCAGGCACTGGACAGAGGGGTCCCCAAGCAGGGAGAAGCCGGGCTGGCAGCTGTAGTTCACAGACATTCCACTGGTGAAGTTGGTCCCGAGCTCGGCATCGTGTATGCCATGGGCAATGGTGGGTGGTGGAGGGCAAGGCAGCGCTAGCAGGGTGTGAGGAGAGAATGAAATTGGAGTGATTTTGCATGATGCAAAAGCAACGGATCCCTGTGTGTCCTTGTCCCCATACAGGGCTGCCCAGTTCCTGTCTTCCCGCAGAGCCAGCAGCAGCTGTGCCCATTCTCACCTGGCTCGCAGCTGGGGATAAAGGGGACCCAGCGGCCATCAGAATGGCACTTGGGCTCCTGGCTGCCCCGCAGCACGTAGCCTGGGTGGCACCGGATGGTGATGATGGTCCCGGGCCGGTAGACAGCTTGCTGCCCTTCAGCCACTTCTCCGTGCTTAATGCTAGGGCTCATGCAGGTGACCACTGGGAGCAAAGAGCAGCAAAGCCTGAGCTGGGGAAGTGGCTGCCAGAGCCAGGCTTCCCCCTGTGTTTTTATGAGGTCAAAATTCAGTGAGCATCCACATGAAAAGGAGTGCACGGACTTGAAATCCTTTAAATCCCTGCCCACCCTCTCCCCCATGCTCCTCTGTGCATGCAGCCCGTGGGCCAGAGCCTTTCCGCTCACCTTCGCACCGCGGGTAAGGGATGCTCCACATTCCAGATGTCAAACAAGTCACTGCTGTTTTCCCCGTGAGGACGTACCCAGGGTCACATCTGTACCTCACAGAGGTTCCGGGGACAAACATTTTCACATCCTCACTGCTGTACTGACCGTGTGTGATATTTGGAGGGGAAGGACACTGCAGCACTACAGGAAGGGGAAAAATCAAACGTGGTGAAGGTCTACATCCCAGGTCTACACCCTGTGTGATGAGGCTGCATTGCTATTTCTTTCTTCCCCGTTAGCTGTTCCCAGGTATCTAAAGGTGCCAAAGTTTGGATATGATTCCGCCCAGCCCACACCCGTCTCCTGCCTCCATTTCTGTCCTGCCACCCAATGGGACCCTTAGGGTCCCTCTACCTCCAATGTGACGTAGTTGCACCTGCTGGGGTGGATTCAGAAGTCACCCACCCGCTTACACTTACTCTTTTCACAGGTGGGAACAGGAGGATCCCATGTGCCCCCAAACTGGCACTGAGACTCATGAGAGCCCTTTAAGGCGTAACCAAAATTGCATTCAAAGACAGCGATGGCCTCAGGCATATAGACGGACTCTGGCCCAGTCACTCTTCCATTCTCAATCTCGGGTCTTCTGCAGCCTATTGCTGGAAGTGAAGATTATAGGGCATATTTGGGACACAAAGCCAAGCCAGGGTGGTAACTGCAATCAAGCCTGGCCATCAACACCATGGGTGTGTCAACAATATTGATTCATATTCTTGCCCCCCAAAATCTGAAATCTCATTATCCCATTGTGCTCGAGAGACTCTCCATATTTTGGCCCCCTTTGGCTGTTCCTCTGTGGGGATTTGGTGAGTAATGATTAAACCCAGAGCCAAGTGGAAAGAAGTGACCCAGGGGCCAAGCAGCCGACACAGACATACCTTCACAGCGTGGCCGGGGCTGGCTCCAGGTTCCTGCAGCAGTGCAGGTGATGGATGCATTCCCAGTGAGCAAATAGCCATCCTTACAGCTGTACTGAACGGCCACACCAGGCAGGAACGTGTCTGAGGGCTGGCTGCTGTGCTTCCCATTGGCGATGCTTGGAGGGGGAGGACACTGCATATCTGCAGAAGGGAGGGAGAGAATATTATTTAATATGTAAAAGAAAATAACTCAACCTTCAGAAACCGAAGGAGGAAGACAATGAACCCCATTAATAAATATCTGCCTCCCACCATCCTTGCAGCACTCACCTCCGCAGCGCGGCGGCAGCCCGCTCCATGCACCACGCTCCCCATCCACCGTGGTGCAGAAGATGGAGGCTGTCCCAGCCAAAACACGGCCTGGCTCACACGTGTAGGTGACCACGGCCGCGTAGGGGAAGGCATCCATCGATCCCCCACTGTGAGTCCCATGTGGGATGTCTGGGGGTGGGTCACAGACAATACCTGGGAATACACAAGTGAGGTTTTAGCACTGTTGCTGCAGTACTGGGGTCTGGGACCCTTCATTTCCAGGAAGGAATGGATGAAGGTGAACTCATCCCAGCAATTCAGCTCTTTGAGCAAAATAACCCAAATTATCCTGAGATGATGTGTGGGAAGGCAAACTTGTACCTTGGGTCAGTCATTTCCTCGCTATCCTGCTAAAGGTGGGGGCACAGTTCTTATTGCCCTCTCCATAACCGCTGTGACTCACACAGAGAGAACCTGACCAAACATTTCTACTCACGAGCAGTGAGGAATTCTTGCTAAAGGAACAGGAAGTTTAAAACATGAACAGCGTTCCCAGTTTGGACCAAGATAAAAGGCCTTTGAAAACAATTTCAGAAATATCCAAAACGAAACAAAGCATAAGAAATAAGAAACATGAAATATTTCACAGATAGAGTGACCCAAGAAATCTTTTGTAATGGCACCTTTGCCTTGAAAGATTCTCCCCTTCCTCTGTACACCCCAAGGAAGCAATCTCCAAGGGCCCCCTCCCATCCCACTTACGATGGCAGGTGGGAGCATCCCCGCTCCATGCAACGCGTGTGCCAGACACCTCGCATGTCCTCTGCGAACGCCCGACCAGCTTGTATCTGCATCACACAGAAGCACCAGTAATGACATGAAGAGACTCCAGACTTCTTCACAAGCCTTATTAATAGCAGCCAAGACTTCTGACTTTATGAGGTTCCTCCACGTAAAGTCATTTTGCCACTTAATTTCTGCGTTACTCTCAAATGACAGCTGAGCTCAGCTGGCCACAAACTCACCCCTCGTCACACGTGTAATTCACTTTGGACCCAAGGAGGAGATCAGTCAGGACCATGGCTCTGCCATTCTGTGGGTCATCAGGGTTTGCACATTGCTTCCCTGCGAGAGGACACAGCTGCTGTTAGCACTGCACATCAGCATTGAGCACCAAATCCCCTGGGGACGCTCAAACAGACAGCGTGCTGCCCCAAAGGAACAAACCCACAAAACCAGAAGGCTTTGCACTCCAGAAGTATGAATTTCCCAATGGCACATGCAGGACGTACTTTTGCAGAACTCCAGTGCCACAGACCAGCTCTGATTCCCAAGGCACGTGATGGTCGGTGACATCCCCACGTGCCAGGCATAGCCGGGCTGGCACATGTACTCCACAGTCCCACCCACAGGAAAGGCAGTCTGGTTCCTGTAGGGCTCCTTCAGCTCAGCAAACACCAACCTGGGGGGTGCCCTGCAGCCAGCTGTCGGGGACACAAGCCAACAACTTATCAAAGGGTCAGGGGACACTGGGGGAGGATGGCACCCGCAGTGCTGGCCGGCCACTTGCCCTGCTCGCAGATGGGCACCGGGGGCTGCCAGGTGTTGTTCTGCTGACACTGCACCACTCTGGGGCCACGGATGACGTAGCCTGGCTCGCACTCGAAGGTGACATTGTCCTTGTGTGTGTAGGTGCTCCGAGGAGCTGGCACTATCCTCCCATTCTGGATCTGTGGGGCAGAGCACCCTGCTTCTGGAAGGGAAGAGATGTCCTCAGAGCTTGCACAGCTGTGCACTGCAAAGCACTTGCATCTGCGATCACTTTCAAGTTGCAAGCCTGAAGGTAATCTTCCTATTGATGGTGCACTGCCTGACAGTGCAGGGGAGACCCCAGCTGGAAGGTGAGGCTGGGAGTGCTGCAGATGGTGTGTGCTTCTACAGCATCCTGCCTGCACCTTCCCCAAGGCAGCAATTCTTGCCCAAAGCAGCAAATCCTGCACCAAAGCAACAAACCCCACTCCGAAGCAACAATTCCCACGCCAAAGCAGCAAACACTGCCTCAGCAGGCACCCAGACAACACATGCAACCATCTGGAGGTCTCCTCGCCTTTCCAAACAGAAAATGGTTGGGCTGCTGCACTCAAGCACTCCCACCTGCTCCCTCTGAGCCCTACCTCCACACAGTGGGGGGGGTCCACTCCACACCCCGTTTTTCCCATCTTGGGTGGTGCAGAAGATGGAAGCATTCCCATGCATTGGGTAACCGGGCTCGCAGCTGTAGGTGACCGAGGTGCCGTAGTGGAACTCATCCAGCAGCCGCCCTGTGTGCTTCCCATGGGGAATGTTGGGGGGGGGCTCACAGGGGATACCTGCAATGGGGCACAGCAAACCTTCTGCATTCAACACAGCACTGAAGTACTCAAAACCCCACAGTCTGGGGGGCGTACACACTTGGTCTACAGGTAAAACGACTGAAATTCCTCTTGTGGAGGAAGCTTCTACGTGCTGTATCCTTTCTACTGTTCAAGAAGTAAAATAACCACCCAACAACCTCAAGTCTTCTGTGCAAAATCTATACCAGCACTGCTGAGAAATCACTGCCCGTGACTCCTCACTTTCAATAATCCATTTCTCTCTGAGATTTTATACTTCTTCCCAGAATATTTCTTTATGACATCAAACCCTTCTGATATTTCCATGCCCGTGGAGCAGGGATAGCTCTGACTGAGAGATTTGGGAGCTGCTGCTGGGACACAAATCCCAGCACCATGCAGACCCCGAGCTGGGATCTACTCACGCTGGCAGGTGGGAATGTCACCGGACCATGCAACGCGTCCCCCATGGATCTCACATCGCCGGCTGGACTTCCCGATCAGCCTGTGCCTGGAGGTAGAAGGGCTCACATTCACTCCAATCACTTTGCTTTGAGTTGTCACCCCCTGCAGTGGGTTCAGCAAGTGGAGCCCTGGCACTGCGGGAGAAATTCCCCTCTGAGCTCAGCACCTGTCTACCTTTTTTCACAGCAAAAGATTGGGAAAACCCCATGTGCTCATATAGGTACAGAGCTCTATGCCTGGGCTTCTTTATGCATTGAGAATGAATGGATGAAAAGGAGGAAAAGAGGGAGGCTTACCTAACACATCTGGCCTTGACCTTTTAAGGAGCAGACCTGAACTCTGCACTTACCCTTCTTCACAGCTGTAGACCACTATTGACCCAAAGAAGAGGTCTGCCAGGGCTGTAATCCGGCCATTCTCGGGTTCCCCGGGGTGATTGCATTGTTTCCCTGGAGGAGAGAGAATCTCCCTGTAGGCTTCTCCCTATGACAGCCCAAGAGATGCAACTGCTATTCCAGTAATCCTCCCACATTTCCAATTACCCCCAAAATGGGTTTCAAGTAACATAAGTTTACATGGCTTTACTAGTCACATAGGATTGGAACACCAGGATCACGTTAAGGTTTTTGCAGCATGGACAGAACCCAGCACCTATTTCTTTCTGGAACAACACCACCAAATCAAGGAGCTATTCACTTTTACAGAACTCGAGTGCTTCTGACCACACTCCGCTCTGCAGGCATGTAATAGTGGGTGACATTCCTGGGTGCTTAGCAAATCCGGGCCGACAAGTGTATCCCACAGTCTTCCCAACAGAGAAATCAATCTCATTTCTGTGCTCCTCATTGAGCTCAGCAAAGGTCAGCCTGGTGGGAAGCCCACAGCCACCTACCAAGAGAAAACAGGCAGAGTTAGGCAGGACAGGAGCACTGGGTGAAAGCAGAGAGAGAACACCGTTACCAGGAAGGATGTTTATTTTGCCTTGAACATTTGGTTATTTGGCCTGATGTAGTCACTACTAAGCAAACACAGAACCACAGAATCATCTTTTTTTTCCCAAAGGATTCCAGATTTCAGGCTCCTGTTCCCAACAGATAACTAAATCTTCTGCTTTCTTACAGGATTTAACGCTTTATTTAACAGCTGGGTTAGGGGCTAACAAGCAACCACCCACCCCAGGCAGCTCCGGAATCATTACCTGAGCTCTCAGCCCTTCTGGGCAGCACGGAGCTGTGGAGTGGATCACAGAGGGGCGCTGGGGGGTCCCAGCTGCCGTTCTTCTGGCACAGGGCTTGGGCACTGCCCCGCAAGCTGTAGCCTTCCTGGCACTGAAACGTCACCATTTGCCCCGGTGCATAGATGAGTCCATGATCATCAACTACCCACCCATCCTGTATATCTGGCTTTAAGCAGACGGTTGCTGGAAGAGAAGGTGTGAAGAAATGATGAGCAAAAGGAGTAAAAATAAGCAAATAAAAACCCCAAACCCACGGGCTGCTAATAGTGCAACAGCAAAAATCTACACGGCGTTGTCTCCGAACATCCCTAGCCCTGCTTTGATAACAGAAGGGTTTGAAATTAATTTCCACCATGCAGCACTTCACGTGGGATTAATTCTAAGGACCTGAGGGCTGTGGGGGGGAGGTCTGCCCACAGTGAGCACGGATGCACCTTCACAGCGTGGGCTGGGCTGGCTCCAGGTCCCTGATGCTCTGCAAACCACATGTGCATTCCCAACCAGGTAGAAGCTGGGATCACAGGTGTACGACACAGACATTCCCGTGGTGAAAAAGCCTTCACCGTGCCGGTTGTGATCTCCATTGCTGATCTTTGGAGGCATGGGGCAAGGGCGAACTGCAAAGAGGAGACAGGGAGATGAGAGAAGAGTGTGCAGAGGGACGGGTGGCTGTGATGGACATGGGGATGTGTAGCAATCCTGCCGGGTCCTCCTGCGCCCTGCACACACTCACCCTGCTCACAGCTGAGCACCGGTGGGTCCCAGTTCCCCCCAGGCTGGCACCGAGCCCAATGGCCGCCCTCTGCAGCATACCCAGCATCGCAGTCAAACCGCAGCGTCTCCCCAGCCTCAAAGGTGTCCTTCAATGCCTGCACCTTCCCGTTGTGCACTGTGGGACTCTGGCAGCCGATGGCTGTGGGAACACAGATATGGTTGTCAGTGCAGGGCCACATCCTGCGGCTACAGAGCCCACAGGGCGGCCTCCACCCACCTTGGCAGCGGGGCAGGGGCCGGCTCCAGCGCCCGACTTCTGAGCAGCTGATGGAGACGTTCCCCAGCAGCTCAAAGCCATCCTTGCAGCTGTAGTACACAACGGTGCCGTGTGGGAACCTGGCAGAGGAGAGGCTGCTGTGCCGCCCATTGGCGATGTTCGGGGGCTGAGGACACGTCACTTCTGCAGGGGAATTGGAAAAGCCGTGAGGGACGTGGGACAAGCGGTGCTGTGGGGATGTGCAGCTCAAAGCAGCTCAGCAGTCAGCATGGAAAAGGTGAAGGTGGGGCAGAGATTTGGTACCCCATGTCCTGCACATCTCTGTGTCCCTCCTGCCCACTGCAGCTGCCCAGGCTTTCCTTTCAGAACAAGGAAATTTGAGCTGATTTAATGAAGCCCAATCAGCCTCATCCTGAATCTGCCTCTGCAGACCCAGTGTGTTATCTCAGTCTGGCCTGGTGGCTCTCAGCATCATGGCCAGGCACTGGGTTCAGTAACACAGGTCTTAGTCCAGAAATGAAGACTGCAAATATAGCATGGCTTAGGCTCACGTTGGCACTATGAATGACCATTTTTAGCTTTGAATTTTCATAGAAATATTCTGAGTTTAAGGCCTACTTTCATTCAGAAACAATGGCACTAAAATGCTTCGTCATATCATTAATTACTTAGAGAATTAGTACAGAAAACTCTGCTCTAACTGGAGGAAGCAGCGTTCCCTGCTGGGCTGTGCCTGGAGCACTCCACATGGCTGAGCCCCAACTGCACTGCCCAGCACTGGGCAGGATGGAGCCGTGCTGCTACAGGCAATGCTAGAGGTACAGAACCTGTAGCTTCAGAAACACTTAGCTCAGGGTTCATGGGTATAAGCTCATCCTCTGCATGTAATAAAACTGAATACTTAACTTCAGGAGAATTGAATCCCTTTCTGAAGGGCTCAGTGCCATGGCCAGGAGCTGTGTCGTGCCATGCTGGCCACAGAGCGAGGTGACAGCGTGCAGACAGGGTGACCTTCACACATGTGTACCTTCACAGTGTGGGCTGGGCTGGCTCCATTTCCCTGATGCTTTGCAAAAGACACGTTCAACGTTCCCAGCCAAGTAGTAGCCGACATTACAAGTGTACGTCACGTACATCCCCATGGTGAACTCTGCTCTGCCATGGCCGTCATGATCTCCATTGCTGATCTTTGGAGGCATGGGGCACGGCTGAACTGCAAAGAGGAGATGGAATGAGAGAGGAACACGACGGGGATGAGTGGCTGTGATGGACATGGGGATGTGTAGCAACCCTGCCGGGTCCTCCTGCGCCCTGCACACACTCACCCCGCTCACAGCTGAGCACCGGTGGGTCCCAGTTCCCCCCAGGCTGGCACCGAGCCCAATGGCCGCCCTCTGCAGCATACCCAGCATCGCAGTCAAACCGCAGCGTCTCCCCAGCCTCAAAGGTGTCCTTCAATGCCTGCACCTTCCCGTTGTGCACTGTGGGACTCTGGCAGCCGATGGCTGTGGGAACACAGATATGGTTGTCAGTGCAGGGCCACATCCTGCAGCTACAGAGCCCACAGGGCGGCCTCCACCCACCTTGGCAGCGGGGCAGGGGCCGGCTCCAGCGCCCGACTTCTGAGCAGCTGATGGAGACGTTCCCCAGCAGCTCGAAGCCATCCTTGCAGCTGTAGTACACAATTGCTCCTGGGAGAAATTTGTTCGTGGATTGGCCGCTGTGCCGCCCATTGGCAATGTTCGGGGCCTGAGGACACATCACCTCTGCAGGGGGAGATGAAATTGCACTGGGAGTCACTATTTTGTACACAGGGTTGATGGTCAGGATGACAGCCTGACTGCTGCTCAGTCTGTGTTTTGTTAAATTAGAACAGCACGAGATCACAATCGCATTGCATCTGGGGGAAATCACTCCTAACAGAGGCACTCCTTCCCCTCTGTCAATAGGGAAACAGCACATCACAGCTCGGGCAGAGCACACTCGTGAGCAGAGAAGCAGCACAAGTGGGAAACTCTGATTACTTCCCATTCCGGGAGGAAGATGGAAACATCCCATGTGTGGCCATAAGCAGAAGTCCAGAAATCCCCCCAGGGAGGCAGATGGTGCAACCCCCCCTGGCTGCAGCCTTTGGTTGCACAGCAGCACAGCACCAGCGTTAGCTTCTCCACATCCCCTGAGAGTCCTGGCTGCTGCCAACTCCATTCCCCATTCCCAGCCCGTCTTTCCAGAGCTGCTTCCCTCCCTCCCGCTTCGGGAAGAGCAGCAGGGACATCCTGGCTTTGCTTTCTCAGCAATATGAGAGGACACGGAGGGAGCTCTGCCCTGCAGCAGCCCCACTCACACACACACAACACTTGCCCTTTTTGCATGCTGGCAAAGGTGGGCTCCAGCTGAAGTCAGCTTGGCAGATACTCGTGAAGGAGCCTTGCAAGGTGTAGCCCGTGTTGCAGGTGAATCTTACTGAGTTCCCGGGCCGGTAGATGTAGCGAAAAGGAGTGCTCCTCCCATTCTCAATGTGTGGCACTGCGCATCGGTGCTGTCTGACTGGAAAGAGAGACAACAGCAACGTTCAGCCACACGGCCCTCAGATCTGCAGTGCTGTGCCAGCGCTGCCCAACCAGCCTGCAAACCCAAATCAGCAGGGCGAGCAGCTCTGATGGCAAAGGCAAGCCAAGCTCCTGTGGGTTTGGGCCGTGCTTTCCAGGCACCTCAGGCTGTCAGATCAACAGCAGAGCTCGGCCTGTTTGCTCTGCCCCATCCCAATTCACTTCTATTTATCACAGCAAGTTTCAACTTGACAAATCCCAAACACGAGCTATTATTGCCACAGGCTTCTTGAGTAATACTTCATTCATGCCCTGCTTTACTTTGGCAGCTCAAACATGCAGGTTGAGCCCCTTGTTCTGAGAAGTTATGAAAGACTCTGTGCCCCATCTCCTGGTGCTGCCCCATGAAACGTTCCTCCTCACTGCTGCAGGAGCTCAGCTCCAAGTTCCCATCCAGAATGAACCTGCAGGGCCCAAGCACTCTCAGCCAAGTGCCAAGGGAAGGTGCTGGTGTACAGCTTTTACTCTGGCACCAGCCAGCCCCAGATCTCTCCTGCCCCACAGAGAACAGGAGAAAGGCTTTGGCCAAGACGACAGATGCTTTTTTATAGAATCACAGAAGCATCCAATCATTAAGGCTGGAAAAGACCTCTGAGATCCCTAAGTCCAACCCATCCCACCTTGCTCTCTGACCACATCCCTCGGAGCCACATCCCCACAGTTCTGGGTGCCTCCTACCACCTCCCTGGGCAACCTGTGCCTCTGCATCACCACTCTTTTGGAGAAGAAATTTCTCCCAACATCCAACCTGACCCTTCCTTGGTGCAACAGAGGTCATCACCTCTGTGATGCTCAGGATCTGGCATGCCCACATCCCCCTGTTCCCAGGGATCTGCCTGCCCTGCACTGGGAAAAGCCAGAGGAGCACAGAGGAGCAGCGAGGAGGCAGAGGAGGGGTGTGGAAGGAAGGTGAAGGTCCTGCCTTACCTTGCTGCCCACTCACAGCAGCCAGGAGCAGAGCGGAGCAGCCCAGGATGCTGAGGGTGAAGGTGAGCACCATGCTCTGGTCCCAGTGCTGACTGCAGATCCCAGGGGAAGCGATGCAGATATGGGGGTCCTGGTTCCCCATGCCTGAGGAAGGATCGCAGCTGTGGGGGTTTCCCAGGGCTGGGGGACAGGAACCTGTGGGCTCCTGCACAGGGTGTGGGCAGCCACAAGCCTGGGCTGTGCAGCCCCAGTGACGTTCTGCTGATGGTATTTTGGTCCCTCCATGCAAGGGAGGATGGCCCTTGGGACCTGCTTTGGGACATGAGGTATCTGTGACAGAGAATGCGTGAGGGGCTTTCAGCCAGATGGAGTCATTGCAGAGCATCATCACTGGTTATGGGAAGTGGCCAGGGTTCTTCCTCAGCAGCCATTGCCAGCTAAGCCTGCCTGGCTACGGGAAGGGAAGGGCAGAGTAGAACACTTCCACCTCCTCCACACACTGGGCTGGGGCAGCTGGATACACTCTGTCCCTGGGGGGCAATGGGGCAATGCTCTGCAGCTGGAGACTGACCATCAGGGCTCCAGGACCCCCCCAGCAGTGCTGCATGGCAGAGAATGTTCTGAGCCCAGAGGAGGCAATGGGCAAACAGCACTCAGGTTATCCTTATCCCTTTTACTGGCAGCTTTCATGACGCACGTGGTCACTTCAAGATGAAGTTCAATCATTTGGGAAATGAACTCTGGACTATGCAACAGAAACAATGATGCTGAGGTTAAAATAAAGCAGAACACAGCAGTAAGGCACTGAGCTTTCCATTTGTGTTCTGATCCTTACAACAATACATTTTTCACATATATACAACCAGATTTTCACACGCATCTCTCTATATACTTGTCTGTATGTGAAATGCGTATTTATGAATGAAAAACAACCTGCAACTTCTGGTTTTGTAAGACTTACTTCTGAAAACAGTGCTTTGCTTTGCCAGAGGGTCAGCTGGGCAGGACAGAGCCCTGCTGTAAGGGGAACACTCTGAGTCTATTTACAAGAAAGTTCAGGTGCTCGTGGAAGTGGCTCTCTGTGCTTTTTCCACTTAACAGATGCGCGTTCCGGTTAACAGGAAGGCACAAATAAAAATGCAGAAACAAATAAGTGCATGATAAGCATTCTGAATGCTTCCATTTTCCAGCTGTAGATCGTGAAGCTGAGAAGGATCGTGAAGAACCCAGAGCTGCAATCTTCAGACACAGCCCTGAGCCTCCATGTTTTGCTTAACAGAGGCACAGGGTCTGAAGGCATCAGCCGCACACGCATTTCAAAGCTGTCAGTATTGCATTCCACATAACTGGGATCCCCATGAAGCCTTCAGCTCCTGCCCTCACCTCCAAGATGTCAGCTTGCTCCTTGCCCTGCTCCCCAGGGATGAGTAAATAATAAAGGCTCTGCTCGGTGTCTCTCTGTGCCAACCTCAGGTGCAATATCAGCTGCAAGTCCTTCTGGATGCAACCTCAGATGCAGCAGGCGCTCTGGGCACCCCAGGCAAGCAGAGCAAGAAGCCCAGCCCTGCTTTCCCCCCCACCAGCACAGCAGCCCTGATGTCTCACAGCTGGGCAGCTTGAGCAGAAAGCGAAAATCAGCAAGTGACTTTGTGCATCTGGGTGGCAGCTCACTGCAGGCTGTGCATGGCCCTGGGGCAGGAAGGAAGGGCAGCTCTGGGTGGTTGGAGAGAAGCACTGATACCAAGCAGGGAGGTGGCAAACACTTTCACACGGTTTCTGAACCTAATTTTAGCACAAACAGGAAGAGTCAGAACAGTTATTTGTCACAAGGTGTTTATATTTACATTCTCTCCAGTAAAATTACCCATCTATAAGGTTTGTTTTGTCCACACTGGCCTTGAAGAAAATGCTACAGTGTGCTTCTATGCAAACATTGTCAGTGCTTTCAGTGTCACAGTATTTGGCTCACATTATTAATTCAAGTATGTACCACTCATACAGGAACAGTCACGCATCAGGACACTTCAGAGAGCTGTGAGCCCTAATGGGAACAAGGCTCAGCATTACCTCAGTGGGGCTGAAAATCAGACCACAGAGGTACCCAAAGTGCCCAATTTCCTCGAGTCCACAGCAGTGCAGTTCAGAAACCTTTGGTATCACTGCCACTTCCCATAGAAATAACCACACTCACATCTGAACTGCTGGCACAGCCACACTGCTGTTGTGTCCAGCACAACGCCAGCTAAAAAGTGCAACTGCTTGTCTGGGGGGCATGAGGGCTCAACATCATCTTCATCCATCACAGTTCTGCCAGTCGCTGTGGCAGGGTTGATTTCTCCAGCAGGCAACGCAGGGCACAACCACATCCCACCATCTGAATGCTGCAGCCGTGCCCTGATTTAGAAGTTCATCACCAGCATTGCCAGGAGGAGGGGCAGGACTCCTGCAAGAGGCAAAAGGAACTTCAGGCTGTGCACTCACCCTTGCCCTCCCAGCCACAGACATGCAGCACCTCCGCCTTCCTCCCCACCTCTTTTTCACAGCAACAAAAACATAAGCATGACAACAGACTGCTATGGAAGACTCTTCGGCCTGTTTCAGGTTTAAGTAAAACACAGAAGGAACCAGTAATGTAAAGATACCCAAGGATGGGAGCACAACGATCTGCATGCAGTACATGTCACTTACCAACAATGATGCTGCTCGCTCCATCTGGAAAGGAAGAAAGCCAACATGTGACTCTGCAAAACCATGCAACACTTCAAGGCACCTGATTATAAAGCACTGAGCAGCTCAAAGCCAAAGGGCGCCCTTCAGGGCATCTGATTATACAGCACTGAGCAGCTCAAAGCCAGCACACGTGGGGAAAGGGAGCCCTGCATCACCCTGCACTGCCCTGCACCATGGGGGTGAATCCATCTGCGTTTTAGCAGATAACACTCCCATCAGCCTGCAAGGCTGTGATGCAGCCCAGTCCCGTGCTGTTAGCATGAGATTCTAAGTGGGGTTGTTCCAGGAAGTGCAGATGGCATATTCTGAGCTGAGCTGCCTCTTTGAAGGTTCAAAGAGAAAGTAAAAATAGGGTGTGTTTCTGTTTTTTTGCTTTTGTTTTTTAAACAGAGAGAAAACAGCAAGACAGCCACAGGAGAAAATCACCTCTGCACTCAGGAGGGGGGGTGCTCCAGACTCCACGATCCTGAGCCTTCGCTAGGCACTGAATGGTGCTGCCTCCAACCAGGATGAAGCCATCATTGCAGGAATAAACCACAACGGAGCCCTGGGGGAAGGCTGTGACCTCTGTGCCATTGTGAACCCCATTGCTGATGCTGGGGGGCTGTTCACAGAGAATATCAGAGCGCCGTCCTGTGGGGAACAGCACCAGGAGAGACTGAGTTCTTCTCCTAGCTGAAAATGTACACAGTGTGCATGGGGAGAAGGAAATACAGCCAGGGCCGTGCATGTAGGAGCAAGTGGGAATGCTCTGAGTGCTCCTGCTAAGTACCAGACCTCAGCTACTGCCCTTAGCCCGGCTCTGGAGTCTCAGCCCATAGCAAGACCTGGGAGTGACAGACAGAAGCATTTCAGCCATTCCCAGCTTCCCATCACACTGTGCATTACCCCACTTTGACATTACAGCAAATTAAGAGGATAGGGCTCTTACATCCCTGGTAACCGCAGGGAAAGAAAGCTCTCCCACCCAAAAATCAGGTGGTAATTTTTCTTTTCATGTAACTTTTACTCTCCCTCCTCAGCTTAATCTCTGAGAGTTCCATGATGCCTCACAGTACCAGTACTGAAATCCCAGCCCCATCCCACCCCCATGCAGCTGTTGTCCCCATGGCTTGGTGCAGCTTTCCCTTTTCCTTACTTTCACAGGATGGGAGATCCACGTCCCATTCAACTCCATTTCCCACTGCCACACATTTGGCAGAAGATGATCCCTTTAATTCATACCTAAAAGAAAGAGGGGAGGTTTAGCACACTCCAGAAAACAACCCAGCAATGGTTCTCCCTTCCTCCCATGGCATGGATGGAAGCGATCAGCCAGGAGCTGCCCCTGCTACGGAATGGGATCTGGGCCACTTGGGTGAGTAAGGGCACCGTGGTGCTGTGCAGGCTGCTGCATGGCTGATGTGAAGAGTTCCCAGCATCAGTGCTCAGCGAGCATTGCCTCTCTCAGCTCAGTTACACTCAACAGGCAGCTGTACTGGGATCTTGCATTGGGAACCAGGGCAGGAGGTGCTGCAGGTGGGTGTCACAACCTACTGGAGTCCCTGATTTTCTGCCCCAACTCACTCAGCATTGCAGGAGAAGGTCACAGTTGCCCCAAACAGGAAACTGTCCTCATTCACAATCCCGTTCTGTATTGTGGGAGCAGCGCATTGCTGACCTAGAGAAAAAGAAATTGATTCATACATTCTTGAAGCCAATTCAGCAAGAAAGCTGTAGGCGTGTCTGCAAACCCAGAGCTGGACACCAACCAGAGTAACCAGCATCTGGAGCAGGTTTAGCTCACTTGTATGGCCAAGCAGAAGAGCAGAGGTACCCACGTGTGCACAGCGCAGAGCCTGCAGACCAGGTGGCATCCAGCAGACAGGTGACTTCCAGGGACTTCCCATTCTTTGTGGTGAAACCTGGCTGACACCGGTATGTCAGCTTCGTTCCAGCCAAGGAGCTGCTGTTTGCAGCCCCTGTTAACTCAGCAGAAGGGATGTTGGGAGGAGGGCCACAGTATCCTGACAATTGGAGACAAAAGCAATGCTAGCTACCAAAGCTAACGTGGTCTGTGCTCAGCTGCACCATCTGCAGCACACAAATGCAAGCTTCAGGGCAACTGCTTCAGGAAGAAAGCCTGTCTGTACTCACGTGGGTCACACGTTGGCAGAGGTGGCTTCCAGGCACCGTCTGCATCACAGGTAACTGTCTGAGCGCCGCTCAAAGCGTGCCCAGGAGCACACTCAAAGCTCACTTGTTCTCCATACGTGTACTCAGTGGCAAAGCTGTTTAAATTCTTCCCATTTTCCACTTCTGGCTTTTCACATCTCACCACTGGAAGTGAAGTTGATAAGAACACTTGTTGCAAGAAGAAAAAGCATCACCAGGGCCACTACGTGAGAAGCTCCTATAGACAGTGGCACATAGGCATGACACAAGTACCCAGTGAGCAGTACACCGTGAAGAAACAGCATCCAAAGCCTCCTTGGGCAACCTGTGCCAGTGCCTCACCACCCTCTGGGTGAAAAACTTCCTCCTAATATCCAACCTAAACCTCCCCTGTCTCAATTTAAGACCATTCCCCCTTGTCCCATCACCATCCACCCTCATAAACAGCCGTTCTCCTTCCTGTTTGTACTCTCCTTTCAAATACTGGAAGGCCACAATGAGGTCTTCATCTGCCTACGCTCACGCAGTTCAGGTTATCACAGCAGCTTCCCGTGTGCTGAGGAACCACTGCACCAAGCCTTGTCTCTGACTATGGGAAACCACAGCACTGTGGAATCCATTTAGACTCAAATCATTCTCCTGTTTGTCAGCTGAGTGGAAAGAATTCATATGGGAGAATGATGAGAAACAAAGCAAAAGAAGAAGGAGAGGAAGAAGAAATTTACCTTTGCATTCCGGGGCTGGACCACTCCATCTCCCATTGAGGTTATCATCTGCTGTACAGTGAATTGTGGCATTTCCAATGAGAGAAAACCCATTTTTGCAGCTGTAGGTTACAGCTACCCCAAAGGTGTAATCTGTGTGCACACCACTGAACTGTCCATTCTCAATGGCAGGAGGTGGCTGACAGGGAATAACTGCACAGGAAAGCAATGGTAGGAAAACACAGAAACATTTCCATCAAATGTGAGGCTGAGGTCTACAAACTTCTACAAACGAACAAATGACTGCCAAGAAAAGCCAAAGGAAAAACGAGGAAGCAGCCCTAAGGCAATCATCTCAACCCAATGTCCTGAATGCTGACACTCCTTCAGATTCCACACATATTTTTTAGTGATAAAGCAGCAGAGATGCAGCTCTAGTCTGAGAGGAGAGGCTGAAGGAGAGGTGTGCAGCAGTAGCTTTGAGGACCTACACAAAGCACGTAAGATGCACTCACCTTCACAGTGTGGAACGTGATCCCAAGTGACACCACTGCCACTCAGAATGCATTGCGCGGTCGGATTCCCAACTAAACGGTACCTGAGAGCAAAAAGATTGAGCCTCTTAAAAATAAGTGTGAAAAAACTCGTGAAATGCAAAGCTGTGCAGTTTCTAATGGCGCTCTCTGCAGAAGCTGAGCCTCGGGAAACAACAGCCATCCAACCCATTAAATACAATTTCAGTACCTAAAGGCTCACTGTGGCCTTCCAGTATTTGAAAGGAGAGTACAAAGAGGAGGAAGAACGGCTGTTAATGAGGGTAGATAGTGATTGGACAAAGGTGAATGGCTTTAAACTGAGACAGGGGAGGTTTAGGTTGGATATTAGGAGGAAGTTTTTCACCCAGAGGGTGGTGAGGCACTGGCACGGGTTGCCCAAGGAGGCTGTGGATGCCCCATCCCTGCAGGCATTCAAGGCCAGGCTGGATGTGGCTCTGGGCAGCCTGGGCTGCTGGTTGGTGACCTGCACACAGCAGGGGGTTGGAACTGATGAGCACTGTGCTCCTTTGCAACCCAGGCTGTTCTATAATTCTGAAGAAAGGCAGCATTGGATGTAATGCTGGCAGCAGGGGGGAACACAGGAGCTTCCCCAGCCCCATGCTGTGCAACGGGGGGTCAGAAATGTCACCAACACTCCCATCACTGCTCCCGTTCCCCACATCCCCAGTGCTCCAAAGCCTAAGGGCCCTTAGCTGAGACACTGAGCTGCAAGAAATTTGCAAAGAGCTCACTCTGACCCCCAGAGCATCACCTGTTCTGACAGCAGGAGCAGGAGGAGCCCGGGCCCCACAGCTGCCTGCTCATAGCACCTCCTGCAGGAACAGGGACTCAGCCCCCAGGCATTAAAAGCATCCCATCCCCTCACTGCTGCCTCCATCCTCGACCCACTGCAGCCTTACCCAGCCCTGCAGGTGAAGTTTATCGTAGCTCCAAACTGGAGGTTGGTGCTGAAGTGAAAGCCACCATTCGGTATTTCTGGCAGTTCACACGACTTTCCTGGCAGGGCAAATGCTCACCATTAGTTGTTTTTTATCGCAGTCAATGGCACACAGCATCACGCTGCTGTTCAGAGTCACTGCAGAGCAGGAGCTCCTTTTCCTGCCTTCCTCCCCAGCACTTTCAGAAACAGAGAATCACTTCAACTTTCGAGGAATGGAAGGTTAAACACAGCCAAGGGCAAAGAGCACAAAAAAAGTTTACCTGATTACTGAGGCTTGAAACTGATATAGAAGTGAAATCACGGTCTGTAGGGGAGGAAAGCAGCGCAGAAGGGGCAGAAGGAAACCCCAGTGTTATGCCAGGACAGCGCATGGGGAATCTTGCTGCCTTTGTCCCTTTGTACCCTACTTCTCTGGAATTCTATTTCAGCGTTTGCACCGCATCAGCAGGTGGTAAAGTGAGTAAGGATAGAGTCCATGCCCGAGAGATTAACATGCCTCAGCACAAAGGGCAGCTCTGCTCGGGCACTCACAGTGCCCAGAACAGGGATTAACAGCGATCCTTTTGGGGCATCCCTCCCAGCTGTGTGAAACCCTGGGGCTTCCGGGGACCCCGCACCCACACGGCGGCACTCACCGATGCAGAAGTCGGCTTCTGACGCCCAGGTGGAGTTGGGCAGGCAGGTGACGCGGTTGGACTTGCTCACGTCTCTCGCGTACCCCGGGCGGCAGCGGTACCTCAGCACCTCCCCAACGGGGTACGAAGCGTTGGTAGGACCGGGGGGCTCCGCAAAAACGAACCTCGGCGGTTCCGGGCAATCACCTGCGGGCGTGGGGAGGCGATCAGCAGCGCTCCTCGCGGTGTTTTCCCCCTCCGCTCCCCTCGGCTCCAACTCACCGCACGCTCCGGGCAGCGCCAGCAGCGCAGCGCCGAGCCACAGCAACGCCGTTCCCACGGCCATCCTTGGATGCTCCGACGGTTGTGCGGCGATGCTGCGAGCAGCCCGGCTCCTTACAGCCTGGCTCCTTACAGCCCGGCTCCGCTCAGCACTGCTCAGCTCCTCACGACCTTTTCCGGAGCGATCGGAGGCTGCACCAGCGCCAGCCGCCGGTCGTGCTGTAACACGGCATCCTTCCGCCTCCGTAGGAAAATGAGGAGCCGGGCCCAGCACACACGCACACACATCCGCACCCACGCGGTCGCCTCCTCCCCACGCCGAGCCCCGCGATGCGCGAAGGTTTCGCCTTCAATTAGCGGCTGAGTCACAGCGAGGGCTGTGCGGCTCGGTGCCTCCATCCCCACCCCCCCTGTGCCCACAGCTACGGGTTTTCCTCCACCACCACCATCTCCATCAACGCCCTTCCCAGCGGCTGCGCCTCCAACAGCGCGACGCAGCGGCAGCCACCCGCCTGGAGACCGATTGCCTCGGCCTGAGGACGCGACTGCGGAAGCACCGGAGCGATGCGAGAGATTTTTCCCATCGCAAATGTGACAGAGCAGCCGGACTGTATGATGGCATTGCTTATTTCGTAGCCCTTTCATTGAAAAATATAACAGTTTTGCTGTAAATACTGTAGTTTTCAAACTTTTATCTGCAAGCTACTAAATGAGTCTTAGCAAAACAGTGATTAAAACACACAGTACAGAGATCTCACAAGGATGTGCAAATGCAGTGTTCTACATGGGATCATTCTCCTGGTGGAAAGAAATGATTACTGAACGTTAAAAGTCTCAGTTTAAGAACTGGGAAAATGTTCTACTGGCACTAAAAATAAAGTAAAATATTATAGAAAGGGAGAGGGAGCTGAAAACGAATAAGTTTGAACCTTCTGCCTCTTGACAGAGAGTTTCTCCATTGCAAAAATCCTGGTGCTTTTAGGGATCACCTGCAGCTGCCCCTTGCACACCCATCAGCTCTGCGCTCTGTGCTGTAGGTTCTGCTCTTCATCCGCAGGATTTGGCTTGTAAGACCTGAAGAGACAGAGAAGAAAGGAAAAAAATCCACAGAATAAACAGCAATGGAATGGGGATCACACGAACGTGCAGCAAATGTAACAGCCACTGCTCAGAGCTTAAAGTGCTCTGGCTCTGGGCAGCCTGGGCTGCTGGTTGGCGGCCCTGCACACAGCAGGGAATTGAAGCAAGATGAGCACTGTGGTCCTTTTCAACCCAGGCCACGCTAGGATTCTGTGAAATACCCCCACTGTCATTAGGAAAAAGCCAAAAGTGACCGAGGAATGAAGAGCAGAGCCCACCTACCCAGTCTTTTTCCTCTCACTGCACTTCTTGATGCTCCAAGCAATGAGCACAGCAGCTCCTTGGGGAGAAAACAAATGATAAACAGTAAATGCAGAGCGTAAGGTAAGTCGAGTGTGTGAAACATCCCTCCTGATGGTGAGAGACAGGCAGCAAAACTCAGTGCTCTGCAGCACTGTCCCCACCTAGAGGCTCCTTCTCAGCCACAGGAGTGCAACTCCCTCTTGTATCTCTGGCAGATGAGGACGAGGATCTCTAGGAGTGATGCCACTCTGAAAGGTACCATCCTCATTTATTTGCTGCTCTTACAGGCACCTCGCTGTTCATTTTGTATTTTAAAGATACTCGCTATTCCTGCACTCAGTTTCTTTTGCAGCAAGAATGCTCTGAGATTCACTACCTCTCATCTCCCACGGTCTGCCAAGGCCTTGAAACCCCAACGTTATCAGTGAAGGAGTCACAGGGTGCATCGTTTATGATCGACTTCTTTCACTGGCCTCATCCGCCCTCAACTGATGGAATATTCTACCCTCAGATGACCCACTGGAACGCGTGAGGCGCTGCTGCATGGCCCAACAACAGAGAAACCCAGGCCCCCACCAAACTCATCACTAGGAGCCATGGAGAAACCAACACAGTGACCCCATATGTTCAATAGCAAATCACAAGCATGTCAGGAAAAGATATCTTCCACATTAAGCTACTTACCAGTGACACAAGGGATGAGGACAAGTGCTGGATAAGAAAACAAAGAAACTGACATTAAAATAATTTTAAAAAAGCCACTGAGGCTCTGCAGTGAGGTGCAAGGATTGCAATCAGAGGCCTGAAGGCACACAGAGCCTTCCTGAGTTCTTACGTAGGATGTAGCGGCTCTCTGATGCCTTCTCTTCCAAATGAGGGGTTGAGTTTGTCACTGCTGTAGTGCCAGTTGCAGAGGGAGAAGCTGAAGGAGGAATGGTCAGAAGTGTTTAATGTACTGGAGATGAATTACCTCCACCTGCTCTTCTGCTACCAACCCACTTGAAACACGTTGCATTTGAAGGGAGACCTATGAGACGTGTTGAGCTGCTCACTGGTGGAGCTGGGCACCACCTCACAAGGCACAGATCCACAACAACTGATAAAATCCACAACATTCAATGCTTTTTTTTTTTTTTTTTAATACAGATATTCCGTGCTTCCAGCCAAGTGCTGCTGGCCTCCCTTACCCTGACACGTTGGAAGCGGAGTCCAGGCAACCCCATGTCCCCAAGTGAAACAATAGATGAAAGATTCCCTTGATGACAGTGTGTACCTGCAGGTGGAAAAGGCACATCTGTGCTCCATGCACTGACAGCCCCAGGGCCCCCCCCCCGGGGCAGCAGGCATCCTCAACACTCACCCTTCATCACAAACCACCTTGGCACTTGCAAGGAAGTGGTAATCTGTTACCTCAACAGCGCCGTGTTCTGGCTTTGTCGGAGGACCACAAGACTGCTCTAAAGAAATGGGAGCATCTTTAGGGCGCCGAGCAACAGAAATAGAGGAGCTGATGTGATTTTCGTGGTGGTGTTTCATGCTAAATGTTTAGAAAAGCAGCCATGTGCCCTGTGCTGAGGCTGCGGCAGGAGAAGGAAGCTGGAGGGAAGGATGCAGAGACACTCACTGTGACACAGCTCAGCAACTTCTGACCACGTTGAATTCTCACGGCAGGTGCTGCTGGGGAGTTCAGCAGTGCTGTTCTCATAGCCTGGGCTGCAGTCGTAGCTCACAGTGATCCCAACAGCATAAAAATTCTTCATCTCATCTTCTTCTGATAGTTTGGCAAAAGCCACGTGGGGAGGGCTCTGGCAGCTGCCTGGCAATGAGGACAGACAAGTGTACAGCTCCAAAGCAAGAAACAACAATATTTTGCATTCAGATGGGTACAAATGGTACAAATACATTCAGATGGGTACATGGCTTGTGCAGCCATGCACAAGCCTTTAGGATGCTGCTACACTGATGGTTTTAAGAAAGCAATGGATAATTTCTATGGCTTTAAAATGTCCACAGAGAGCTGCTTCATTGGAAAAGATTTCAAATGCTTGATTGTGCCTTCTTGGAGCTGCCCACAAACTGGGTGCCCACCTGCACTGCCAGCTCCCCAGATAGAACCTTTGGTGTGAGCCAGCACAGCCAATCAGCCACAGACTTTCCCACATCGTTAACTCCAAATTAAGCCCTGTGCTGTGCCGGTGCTCCCCAGCTATTTTTCTTCCCTCACTGCTGCGCTGCCCTGATGTATCTGTATTTATTAACACAGAGGCACCAGCTCCAAGGCGAGGCACAGAAGGGCAAGAAGAGGCTCCTCAGGTGAGGAAGCCCTTACAGCCGTGATTGCTAGAGCCACGAACCCAGTCCCAAGCAGCAAACTACTCACGGTCACAGAACTCCTGCAGGTTGGACCATAGGGAGTTACTAAGGCATTTTATTGTATCCAACCGCGATGGGATTTTCGATAAATTCTGGAGGCATCTGTACGTTACTTGGGAGCCCACAGGGAAGCTGTCCTTGTGCCGGACGTCCTCGGGGGGTTCTGCCCTGCTGAGCTTGGGCAGCGGCCCACAGTCACCTGTAAGAGAAGAAAAACGCATTCAGGAGGAGCTCCGCACCGAAGCGCGCAGCGCAAAGGAGAGCAGCGCAGAGGAGCTCACCGCACACCGCGGGCAACAGCGACAGCAGGGACAGCAGCAGCGAGCGGGACGGAGCGGAGCCCATCGCGGCCAGCGGGCATTTGGGGAAATCCTCCAGTCCCGGCCCCGCCCGGCCCGCAGCGAAAGAAGCGGAGCCGCCCTCGGAATCGGGGCAGCGGCGTTTTGCCTTCATCCTCCCTCTTGAGGCTGGGCGGCTCTCTTCATCACCCAGCAAAGGGTGAAAACTCCACGGAGAACTCAGTTCTCGTTTAATATTGTTATCGTTATATCTTTTTAAAGCTTTATTTCCTTTTTCAGTGTGTCTTGAGCTCTATCCAAAGCGTTTGCGGTGCGGCCGAGAGCTGTTTTCTTAGGGGAGGGGTCAGGCAGCCTGGATGGTGAACTCATTTTAGATATGTACGTGTGATGGCTGAGTACGTGGGGAGATCGCTGGCCACCTGCGGGGTGAATGAGGGCAGCGGCTGGGTTGCGTAAAACAGGAAGAAAATGCTCTAAACGCTGGGAAATCTCTGGTGTTGCCTTATGGCAGCGATCTCGGGGCAAGAAAACAAAGTGCAGAGCAGCATCCGACCCTGAGCTGAGCTCAGCTGAGCCGGTTGACAGCTGTGTCGCTGCAGCCACTGCGTTATCTCACCCTGCCAGCCCTCCCCGTGCGGCGGGGATCAGACCCAGCAGAAAGCAAAGGCAGAAGGGAGGGCAGCGCTGCAGCTGGAGCGCACCCAGGCGCCGGCAGGAAGAACCCGAGGTTTCCAGCCAAACCAGCTTGCAGAGCCGCGAGTGGGAGCTGCCCGTAGAAATGTGCCTCCATCCCCGGATCTTCACGGCCCTACGGTCAGCAGCTCCCACCCACCCAGCCCGGAGGGGCCTGTAATGCAGAGGGGCTCAGGCAGGTGTGTGTGACCCCCCCCCCCCTCCCCCATTGCTCACCTCTCTGATTCAAAGTGCTTTTTTGGGAGCACTTGCATTCCCCAGCGCTGCTGCACGAATTGCTTTTCTTTCTTGCTTCACTTCTCAGAAAGTAAACTTGCATCAGAATCAAACTCAGAGGTAAATATGGAGGGGTGAGGATAAAGAATTGCTCACCTTGTCCAGATGTCTCCAAAAGCCTCGAACAGAACAGAAAATGCACACAACTGGGCAGCTGAACTCACAAGCTAGCACTCAGAAACAGCCATCATTTATTATGAACTGTATATAAAGACCCAGGCACCCACCTATAAGGCAGCTACAGCACAGAATGGGACAGAGATGGCAGCTAATGATGTAACACTGACATTTCTGCTTTTCTCCGTTGCAGTGTGATGACATGAGAACAATGCTTGTGGCTGTTAGCTTTCCTGTAGTCTCAATGGAAAAATATAAGTGGCAAAAAGTAATAATAATAATTACACTTGATACAACAACAACAAAAAGCTTTTGCCAGTGAAAGTGCTTACAGTGCCAAAGATCAAAAGGCCAGTATTGAATTTCTTGTGCAAAGTGCTGTAGTTTCCTAACAGGAGGGCGATGGAGGAAGGCAGCACTCGGGTTGCACTACAGCCATGACATCCCCAGGCTGCTGCAGCCAAGGCAGCATGCGGGCATCTGAGTCTCCTCTGGGGGCTCCCCGTGTGCCTCTGTGTTTGTATCAACTGCTGTGGCAGCAGTTTGTGTTGCTAACGAGTAAGGAAACGAGTGGGGGGAAATTCTGACTGTAAAAGATTGTGACACCAAGGAGATCTGACCGAAATTCTGCAAACAGCATAAAGAGGGTTGGGGAAACCACAGCCTGCTCTGCTCAGAGGGATTGATGAGTGGATTTGTGAGCTTAGATCTAACTGCTCCAGGCTGGATGTGGCTCCGTGCAGCCAGGTCTGGTGGTTGGTGACCCTGCACATAGCGAGGGGGGTTGAAATTAGATGATCATTGTGATCCTTTTCAACCCAGGCCATTCTATGATTCTATGAACTTCTAACATCTCTGATGGAGAGGCAGCTGTGGCAATCAGCCAACGCTGGCGCCCATCATTTTCATCCTGGGAACATTTGAGCACATCACAATGTAGAAAAACATCCTTCATAGATGTGTGTGAGGCGAGGCTGGCATGACTTCCTTGTGCCAAAGGAAAATAAGTGAGTCTGAAGAAGCACAACCACTGCAGGAGGTGCCTCAGGAGCAGAGCGCAGGGACGGATTTAGGTGGTTTATACTTACAGTGCCATTTCCTTTTAAATAGAAATAGAAAACAGGGTGTTTAGGCCATGATACACCACTGAATTGGGACGGTGTGTGCAGGCACACAGGGAGAGCTCAGTGCCTGCAGTCGGGTTTCCCCGTGGCTGGGATGTGTCAGGGATCTGCTTTGGGTCACGGCCGGGTTGGAGCGGCTGCGTTCACCCAAACTCCTGAAGAAGTGCCAGAAATGACAAAACAATTAAAGAGGAAAACCAACAGGAAGAGGTTTTTAGATCTGTTTTCACTTTGAAGGCAGGTAACAGAGCAGCACAGAGGGTTTTTAGAGGGGAAAAAAATAAAAACAGGACAAAGCTTTTCCCTTTCCATCCCTGCTGTGTTTTCCAGGATGCTTCCAGCCAGTCTTTGTTACTACCAAAGGGCCAACATCCCCCAACTTCATCCCTCGTTGTGATCCAATAGGAACAGCAGGGCTGGGCTGGGCTCACACCCAACAAAGGCTTTGCTCCACATCTCCAGCTGTGCAGTGAGACCCTCCAGGGGTCTCTGGGGTTCCTATGCCATCCCCACTGATCATTTTCTGCTTACATTTCCTGCTTTGCAGCTGTTTCCAAACCGACACTCGCCACTCCTACAGGTAAAAGAGCCTTTTGCAGCGGATGGGAAATCGGTGATAGCAGCACTTCTGCCACGTCCAGGTTCTCCTGGCTGCCCACGACCTTTCTGGGGTGGAACAACACAGCGTCAGCTGGGATGGAGCTCAGAGCTCCAGGCTGTGTGCTGCAGCATCACTTCTAACAAGAGGTAAACAAATTAAACACTCACTTCCACAAAATGCTGCAGCTTTAGACCACCACGTGTTTTCAGAGCAGCCAGCCTTGGGGAAAACAGCAGAGATGCTGCGATACTTGGGAGAACACGGAGATTGCTTGCGGGTTCCAGGAGAGAAGAAGCTTTGGGTTTTGTACAGAGGCATCACAAATTTGAGAGCTGAGGTGGCACAGCTCCCTGCCATGGAAGAGAAACGTGGGAAGGAATGAGGGCTGTGGATACGGAGAGGGAACAAGATTTAGCTACATAGATTAGGTCCCTACATCCACTATTTCCTGTTTTTAATTATATTACTCTGATTTTATTTTTTTTTTTAAGATGCTGAGAGCATCTTCAGATCTAACTGAGATGATTTATCAGCCATACATCCTCACTTAGAGTTGTGGCTTTACACCAAAGCTCATTGGGCTTGGAGAAACCAGTCAGCACACTGGTGTACATTGTTAGATGAAATTGAGGGACGTGGTTTAGTGGGAGCTATTGGTAATAAGTGGATGGTTGGACTGGATGATCTTTTAGGTCTTTTCCAACCTTGGTGATTCTATGATTCTATGATTCTAAGGCATGGATGCCATGAATGAGCTCTGCTGGATGCCCTATGGGCTGCGCTGGGCTCACCTGGCTTCCTGGAGAACGAAGAAGAGGAGGAGAAGGAGTTGGTGTTTTGGAGTGACTTCTTATAGAGGCTCATTTTCATTTCCATTGTGAAAGTCTGCTTGGGTGGTTTGAGGTCACGTCTCTGGGAACCTGAAAAAAAAAAAAAGAAAGCCACAAAACTCACAGAATGGCTTTTATCACAGAGCTGATAAAGGGGAAAATTAAGTCTGGAAACGTGGGGTTTAATTCAGTTGGGTTGGAAGCACTGCAACTCACCCTGGGGAGGAGGACTCCTTTCCATGGGTTTTACTCCAAGTCTGACAGGTGGGCTTTTCTCTGTGGTAAAAACAATACACACTGGTCAAAGCTCTCCCTCTCAGACACTTCATCCCTTACTCTGCAGCTCTGCTGGGTTTCGTCTTCAGATCACAGTATGGCTCATGCCTGTGCTAAGCAATCACAGTTGGTTGCATACTGAGCACCAAACCCATGATAAATCCTTGATGCACAGGAAATCACCTTTACATTGGGGCACTGCTCCACTCCAGACCCCTCTTGCATTCTCTGCTCTCGTACAACGGATGCTCACATTCCCAATGAGTTGGAAGCCAGAGTCACAGCTGTAGGTCACTGTTGAGTTGTAAGCAAACTTTTCTACACCTTCACCATCGTGCCTCCCGTTGCTGATCCGAGGAGGTGAAGAGCAAGTGATTACTGCATGACAGAGAGCCAAGATGAGCGTTACTGAGAGCTTCAGGGATAATGAATGTGAAATGCTTCTCCTAAATCCAGCTAAGATATCTGAAGATATCTGAACAGCTAAAGATGGGCTGCCAGCACTCTCTGTGCTCAGCTTGCTGTGTCCTGGATCTTCAGCCCTAGAAATCTCAGCCCATCCCTTCCACTGCTCACATTGTGAGGAAAATACTGTGATTTTGTGGGAGCAGAGCTGCTGAAATGCAGCATCAGCAGCAGAATGGGCACTTCTGAGCTGCAGCGTTGGTGGCACGTAGCATGAAGGAAAACAACACCAATTATACCACTCTTATAGCAGACCTTATCTTGTGGGACCTACTGAGCTCAGAGGAGGATCAGATCAGCCTTACATTCACAGGTTGGAAGTTCACTCCACTCAACGTCATCTCCTTTAAGCCAACAGCGGATGAAGTTCCTCCCGTGGAGTTGGTACCTGGATGAAAGCACCCAATAGAAGAAACCTGTGTGAGTACCCTGGAACTGTGAGCGTTTTCCTCCCGGCGCTGATGTGATCAGGTGGGAATCTGCCTTTCGTGGACGTGCTGCTGGAAGCTGATCTCCTGTCCTGGCAGCACTCACATCTTGCTGCTCTGAAACGTCATCGTTTGCATACCAGGGATAATAGCTAACGTTGCTTCCATGGATAACATAATCCCTCCACCCTCGTGTGTGTATCCCAACCGTGGGATGTGCTGTCATTTCCCTCCTGGCCTCCCTAAGGGAATATTTGTAGGAAAAAGTCTCTGCTGCACTGGAAGCTGCTGCACAGAGGGGATGGAACAAGCAGGCAACGCCAGCTCTTGCTGGGGAGGAAGGAACAGAAGCTGGATATGAATGAGCTCCACTTTGCAAGCCTGCAGGTCTGTTAGCACTGCATATGTGCCCTGATTGGAAGCAGAGAGAGGGCATGAGTCAGACTGATGGGTGGGAAGCGTTTTGCTCCTGTTTTCTAGCTCAGCTTTAACGTTCAAACATAACCCCTTTTATTCATTGTAGCACAAACACCACAAACACCACAAACACCTGAAATACTGCAGGTAATCCGTTTTGAGGTCTGCCATTACAAAGTGAACCCACAACAGTCCTGCTGGGGTATTCACCCTCCAGCAATTAGGTTTCCTCGGGAAGACACCTAAAGGAAAAGGCTGCCATAAACCCAGGGCCCAGCCCGCTCACTCCATCTATGCCTCATCCCTTCCCAGCCCAAAGCTGGAATTCAAAAGGGAAAAGCACTCATCACCAAAGCACTGCAGCAGGGACAGCTGCAAGAGAGCAGCCCAGCCCAGAGCCACAGCTCCATGCACGAGCACCAGCAGAGCTGTGATCCAACACCAGCGCTGCCTCAGGACTCACCCCTCATCGCAGAGCACGTTCACATGTGTGCCAAACAGAAAATCTGTGGGTTGGAGGATCCTCCCTGCAGGTGGGGCCTCTGGGGGACCACAGGATTTCCCTGCAGGGAGAAGAGCAGAGTGAGCATCCATCGCAGTGCTTTGGCTGTGGGGCACTCGGCTGTAAGAAACCTACAGCTGCCACACCATCCTTCTTAATGCTGTATGGATTTCATTAGGGAAATCTCGTGCTTGGTCTTCAATGCTAGAAATCCTCCCTGCAAGTTGGCGCTTGTCCCATGCATATGTTAATGTCCAGCTGCAAACGTTATGTGAAAATCAAAACCCATGTGTTTGTGCCAACAGAAAATAAAGAACGCTACCAAATAAATGAAATAACTCCTGTATGAGGTCTTAAAGAGGAACATCCAGCTGAGCCTGCATGAAACGTGTGGCCATGGGGACGTGTTTCAGCACAGCATGGGGATGCTCAGCAGTAGGCAGAGGCTGTACTCACTCTGGCATAACTCCGGGACCTCTGACCACGTCAGGCTCTCAAGGCAGGTGCTGGTGGGTTGGCCTTCTGAGATGTTCTCATAACCAGGGCGGCAGACGTAGCTCACAGTGAACCCAACAGGATAGAAATTGATCATCTCATCCACCTCGGACAGGGCAGCAAAGTGCATTGAGGTCGGGGTAGCGCAGCTCACTGGCAACCAAGGAGAGCAGGTCTGAGAGCTGGCAACGGGAGCCGTGCAAAGCAGAGCCTGTGCAGAAAAGCTCATTATGGAGCCTTTGAAGAGCTCTGTGTGCTCATTGCAGGTTACTTCTGCTCTCTTCTGCTCTCTCAAGCTGCAGCTGTGCTAAATGCATCCATAAGCAAAGTGCAGCCCAGGATGCTCTGACTGCATGCACAAAACTGCTGGCACCACGCACCGTGCTGCCAGGAGCTGCTAGATGGGGCTCTGCAGGAACAGCAGCATCACAGCTGCAGCTCCACTCACCCATCATCAACAGCTCCGTGCCCATCTGCAGCAGCAAAGGATGCACCGTGCAGAGCAGCTACTGCAGAAGCCTGAAGCGAGAGGCAGCTCTGTCAGGAAAAGGGGGGTATTTACAGCCACAGGGATCGCGCAGCTCCGACCAGTATGAGCCAGGCAGGCACTGCACCGTGTCCAGCGCCCCGGGGATCCTGATAGCACCGTGCAGACACATGTAGGTCACCCTGGAGCCCACAGGGAAGCTGCTGAGCTGCTCGACGCCGGAGGGCTGGGAGTGGGTCATGGGAGGCGGGGGCCCACAGGCACCTGTGGTACAAGAAGACCTCGTAGGGTGAGAACTCCACCCCCAGGAGGACAGCTCAGGATCCTTCCCTGAACAAAGGCAGCAGGCTGAGCTGCAGCCCTCGGGGATGGTGGTATTGTCATCCCCAGCCTCCCAGCAGAATGGGGGGACCTGGGAAGGTCTCATTGCTGCCCAGCATGCATCCCAGTGCTGTACTTACCATGAGCCGTCGGCATGCCAAGGAGCCACAGCAGAGCCAGGAGCAGTGCAGGATGTATGGATCCCTGCACTGCAGCACGAGCCCAGCAGCTCGAGGTGTCTGGGTGCTTCCCTCCTTCTCCAGACCCCATCGCAGCAGTTCCTGCTGCTCTGCAGAGTGCTGCTGGCTGCCAGCAGCCGCTTTGGAAAGCTGGGAGGGGATGCAGCATCACAGATGCAGCCAAATCGGTGGAACAGTGGAAACCCTCCCATAACTCACACAGAGCTCAGCCCTTCTACAGGGACATTGGGAGCAGTCAGGGACCTGGGCAAAGCCTCTATGTCCCTCCCAGCCCACACAGGAATAGGGGAATCCTCAACCCTTTTATTGACACATTGGCTGAGCACAGATCTACCACAACATGATGCTGCCAGGACAGAAAGCTTTAAGCCCCAGGCCCCTGCTCAGCCATCTGCTGGCAGTAACAGCACAGCTTTTCCACGAGCTGAGTTACTGAAACTAAAATAAAAGAATTATCTTTTTTGTCTGTTAATTTTTTCCTGGCTGCTTGACTCATTGGTAATTAAAGAGGGATGTGAGCAGCTCCATCTGCACTTAAATAAACATGACTTCAGTTTAGGGCACACATACATCAATAGGAACACACAGTGCAGAACACCCTGATCTTATTGGTGCTTTCAGCACTGCTTGGGGAGATATGCTGTCTGTGGCTGCAGCCCAGTGTGGCACCAGGTGGCCACAGCATGAGTTTCCATGTGGCACAAGGACAGCTAACCAGCTCTACTCCCCATTACTGCATCCCTTCATCCATTTGGTGAAGCATGGGATGCAATAGCAAAGCATCTCTTGCATCCCATGAGATGTCACCACTCCCCCTGGGCATCGTACCAGGGATGATGGCAGAAGCACAGCACAGCCCAGGGCCATGTGTTCATTGCATTCCTGCCCAGTTTCCCCCCCTCTGGCTGCCAGGACTCTGCTCTTGGCCACATCTGCCTGCCCTCAACAAGCACTGCTTCATCTGCAGCCAATGTGACAGACCAGAGGACATCTGCAGTCACACATCTGTTCTACTGAGCTCCTGAATAGAGCTCCTGATTCTTCCATTGCAAAGATGCATGAAGGGATTATTGTTTATTGAATAATAAGAGAAATCATTGCTATCTGATTCGCTGTACTTAAGCCTGCACCCTCTATTCTTAGCATTTGCTTGCAGACACAGGGATGTGGAAGATGAGACCATCTCTCAAGTACAGAATCCTGTTACCTCTTAAATCCAGGGATAAGCAAGTGGGCTTTAGAGCCTGGTTTTGTTACTGCCCTGTCACTGCCCGTAACTAGATGAACAGAAACCATAAGATCGTGACACAGGTTAGTAGGAAGTGGTGCAGCTCAATGCTCACTCCATTGCTATGTCTAGAAAGGCAAGGTATGCAAACACTGGTAGCCTGGTGCTGGGCAATCACCTCTGCCAGGAGTTTGCTTTCACAGACTTCAACCCCACTTCTGGCTTAGCACGATTTATACAGGGACTCAGAGAAGCTCAATTAAACCTCTTGCTTTGCTTCCTAAAGCAGAAAGTGGCACACAGCGAATCAAGCATGTCCTATCTGAGGGTTAGAACAAAAAACCCCTCTGTGCTCTAGCATGTAGCATGGCAGAAGTGATCTGGCCCTATAGAAGCACAAACCATACAGTTCCTAGGAGGCTTCTTAAAGGAACTCTGACTATATGGACTGTGCCCACAGGGAAGGCTGTTTAATGCAGGATGTGCTCCAGGACCTCCTTGCTCAGTCCTTGCAATTCCACTTTCAGTTTTTGAATCTCCAGGAAGAGTTTTTGTATTTCCAGCAGAGTTTTCACATCTTCTGTAGGCACGTGGCAGTCAGAGACGACACTCTGAATATAAGCAACCTCTCCGCACACGTCAGCATCACCTTCCTTCTTCTGTCAAGCAAAGCAACGCCAAAAGCAGAGAAAGCCATGTGTGATTGAACTGCTGCAGATGGGGACCCACATTGCAGCTTTGAGGCTGCACCCCTTCCCAGTTTGCTGTGCACTGGCTGAACACAGCTGCATCCCCACCACAGCAATGAAAGAAAGGCTTTTTAAGAGGGTCAGAGTTACTTTTCATAGCAGACATCAGGCAGCATTCATCCAGAAACAGCCACACCACAGTACTTACACACTTGGGCAGTGGTGTCCAGTTGCCATCAGCCAAGCACGTGGCTGTCCAAGAGTCTTTTAACATGGCTTCTCCATCACCTGAGAAGTGATGGTATCCCTCGTGGCACACAAATGTGACCGTTGTGTTTATTGGGTACCACGTCTGATCAGTGCTTGTCAGCTTTCCATTGGCAACTCGTGGTTTGGGACACAGAACTGAAAGCAAACACACAGCAGAAAGCAGCTCAGCAAGGGGAACGTGACTGCGTGGGTAGAAAACCGAGCCTGAAATTGTGGGCGATGAGTCGGTGCAGGTGGTTTTCGATCTGTAGAAATGAGAAATTGATTGTTAAAGTCAGACCCACCTGGCTGGCATTTGGGCAGGGCTGGCTGCCAGCTGCCATCAGCCGTGCAGCGACTCTCAGCATCGCCGTGCAGCACAAAGCCCTCATTGCAGGAGAAGCGCACGGACGTCCCGTAGGGGAACGTGTGCCATGACAGATCCATCCTCCCCTGGGCAACCATGGGCCTGGGGCAGCGAACCACTGGGGAGAGAGCAGAGGGCTGCGTTAGGGGAATGCCTCATCCCTTGGGACACACAGAGGGTCGGGGGATGAGGGGCTCCTCCTGGTGCTCTGGCTTTGCTGTGACTCACCCCTGCACTCTGGGGCAGGGCCGCTCCATGTCAGGTTCACCCCATCTTCAGAGGTGCAGTAGATGGACTCATCCCCAATGAGGGACAGCCCTGAAGCACAGCTGTATTTCACCTCAGTACCGTAGGGAAAAAGTTCTGTTCTCAAGCCGGTGTGCTGCCCGTTGGTGATCAGTGGAGGGGGGGTACAGACTGTGAGAGAAAACAGATGAGATGCCAAAGGTGATAAGATTTTCTCTCTGCTGCTCCCACGTGCTGTAGAGAGACGCAACTCCCAGCTCCCACCAAGGAAGTGTTCATTTGGGCTCACCTTTATCGCAGTACGGCACCGGGGGTTTCCACGTCCCATCCGACCAGCATTGAGTCCTCTGGCTGCCCCACAGCACATAGCCTGGGTTGCATTGAAACTCCACCTGCTGCCCAACGCTGTACTTCTCTTGCTTTGCGCTCGTCTCCCTCCCGTTGATGATGGCTGGGCTTGGGCACTGCACCACTGAGGGACAGAGCCATCAGAAAGCTCCATGGATCGGGCCAGTCTGTTTCTAGTGCTTGTTAGCACTGCAAACCAGTCAGGCATCACTGTAATCACTGTGATTATGCGATACCACTATTTCCTTTTGTAGACAGAACCCCGTGGTTGGCTGTAGATGGCACCAGTAGGACAACACACTGCTGTTGTTGGTGCAGCTAAATAATTAGCGTGAGTTTCTGCTGTTTCTTTTCCTCCATGCCACACTTAGAACTGCAAAATTATTACTGAGAACCCAAACACTGCTAAACAAAGCCCTAGCAGCACAGCGCCACTGAAGGACTGAAAACTATGCTATTTCCACCTCATTAAATCAATGGTTTTGTAGGCAAGGAAAAGAGAAGGGAACACTCACTCTGGCAAAGCGCTGGGATCGCAGACCAGGTGAAATTTTTGAGACAAGTTGTTGTTGGAGATACGCCGGGGATCAACGTGTATCCATGTCTGCAGAAGTAGGTGATGGTGGAACCCACCAGGAACTCGTATGGAGGTCTGCGGTCGGCGTAGTCAACAGCAGGAGGGGAAGGACAACGACCTGGGGAGCAGCACACAGAGCCACCAGCTCTACCCCACAACCAAGGATGGGGCTGAGCTTTGCCTCTGGGGTCCCAGCCCACCTTGATGCACTTTTCAGCAAATAAACCCACGTGAATGCATGGGGAAAAGACCAAGAAGAAAGACAGTGCGTACCTCGGATGCATGCTGGTGTCCGTGGCTGCAATCTGCCACTGCTCAGACACCTCACGCTGCTGCTGCCCACAGGGACGTAGCCAGCTTCACATTCAAGCGTGGCTGTACTCCCAGCACTGAGGTTCTTCTCTGCAGGATTCAGCCACCCATGAGGAATCATTGGGACCGGGCACTGCACCTCTGCAGCAGCAAACAAATAGGAGTTTGCAGGAGGGCTCCTATCGGCAGATCTGATAAATGAGTTGGTTTAGCAAGCACAGCAGTTGGGATGGGGAGATTGGGGGTTAACAGCATGCTTGAGGAGCCATCAGCAGCAGGATTCTACAGGTACAACCCATGGCTGGTTCTGACCCTTCATTGCATTGCTTGCTCTGTGCATCAGAGGAGCACCTGCTGTTGAGGCAGCATCAGCTGCAGCAGAAATAAGGAGTTATTCCTCTTCTGGGGGTCACTACAGAGCAAATCACTGCTTGTCATGCAGTCAGCCCACAGGACGCGTGACAGCCATCACCATCCTGTGATTACACACCACCAACACCACTCAAACTGCAAATTATGTCTCTTTTAATTAAACAATTAAGCTATCACCTGTCCAATTGATTTTCCCCATCTAGCCACCATCCTCATCTCGAGCCTCCAAGCTGCAGGACATGCTCCAGCCAGGGGAATGATTCTTTGCTACTGCATTGATCAGCAGGACCCAGGGCAGTGGCGCAGCAAAACCCTGGACATGCTCAGCAAATCTCTGCACAAGGACCTGGCCCTGGGTAGCACAAGGATGAACTTGCAGCCCCTCATGCAGTGTAAGGTTACTGGAAAGCATTTGGGGTGTCGCTTTGCAAGCATCTACAGGTGCAGTCAAAGAGGAAAAATGTGCCATGAGCAGTAGGCACCGAGCTCCAGAAGAGCATCAGCAAGAGGTTAGCAGCACGTCCAGCAGAGGAATGCATCCCTAGCCTGGTTATCCCATGTTGGATTGAAAAGCAAAGCTGAGCCATAGCAGGAAGGGAAGGAGGTGGCATTCACTCACCCAGGCTCCCCGCTGGCTGCAGCACCAGCAGTGCCAGCAACGGCCCCATCCAGTGCAGGAGCAGCTGCATGGCGAGCAGCAGCCGTGCCACAGGACTGCAAAAGTCTCAGGGGAAGGGGAAGCAGGTGGAGGAAGTGGGGGACAGCAGGCGGGCCGTGCTGACGGCAGCACTGCATTCCTTCTGCACTGTGTGAGGATGGTGGGGAGCTAAGCTGTTACATGGTCAGAGCTGCTCTGCCTTCTTTCTGAAGCAGAAAAAGCCACAGTCAGTGCAGGGAACAGGGCTGCGTGTCCCCTTTGCCTTTCCACCTGAGTATATTGCTCTATACCACAGACAGGGCAGAATTACTGCAAACAAGGCACAGCAGTCATTAGAACTGCAGCTTTATTATAATCTAGTGAAGGAACAGCAGTCTGGTCACACGATATGAGTTAGCAGAGCACTTCCCCTTCGCTGGATGTCGCAGAAATAATTCAGCCACTTCTTTCCTCCCAGTTTTATTTCCATGGGCTGCAATTTGTGCAGTGGACACACGGAGGCCAGATCAGAACTGTCCTACTTGGCAGGAAAAGCTGGCGTTTAGTTTTGCCTGGAGGATTTCTCCATTGCACCAAGCAGCTCTGGAGGCTGTGGCTAATTAGGGCTGTTAATGCTTGTTGGCACGCAGTGATGGGCTGAATGGGGCTGCAGATGCAGAGGGTGAGTGGTGGCTCTCCATACACGTGTGTGACTCGGACAATTCTCTCTCAGTTCCATTCCTTCCAGACCGCACACCTCTCAGGACAACAGACCTAAATGTAAAGCTTTAAAAGGTATAAAGTGATGCACAGACCTAAGGCAGCGAGCTCTACCAGAACGAGCCAAAAGACTCTCATTCCTCCTATGACAGGAATCTGTTCGCTTCACTGACTCCCAGTCACAGCCATGAGCGGCCTCCTCTGGCTCCCAGATCCTTCTCCAGCTTCTGGATCTCCAGGTAGAGTTTCTGTACTTCCAGCAAAGTTCTCAGTTCTGCCAGAGGAATTCCGCACTCAAAAGTTTCCCGGATTTGACGAATCTTCTTGCACGCATGAAGTGTTTTCTTTAAAAGAGCCAACACAAAGACAGAGGGCATGAGCCAGTGCCATGGGGACCCACGTGCTGCACAGACCCACAGCTGTGCCAGCCCCATCGTAACAAAACACGTTCATGAAGGCGGACTGGTGCTGTTCCAAGCTATAAACGGGGCAAAACACGAAGCAGTGGAACTCACACAGTTGGGTGGTGGCATCCAAGAGCCACCAGCAGAGCAGGTGGTTAATGACATCTCTGCCGGATTGCTGCTCTGCTTGCAGGAGAAGTACAGGGTTTCATTAAACTCGTACTCTTCCCTGTCAGAGAAAATCTGTAGGTTCTCCTTGCTCTTTGGTGCACGACACTTGACTAGAAGGCAAATACACAGCATTATAACGTAACAGGAGGAGACGATGCCCTGCCAGCCTCAGTGTGCGGGGCTGGACCCACCTGGCTGGCATTTGGGTAGGGCTGGCTGCCAGCTGCCATCAGCCACGCAGCGGCTCTCAGCATTGCCATGCAGTGTAAAGCCTTTCTTGCAGTAGAAGCTCACGGATGTCCCATAGGAGAATGTGTGCTGTGGTGTAACCATCTCTCCATTCTCAACCACAGGCTTGGGGCAGCGAACCACTGGGGAGAGAGCAGAGGGCTGTAGTACAGGGATGCTCATATCCTGGGACAGAAAGTGAGTGGGGGGAATGAATGAGGGGCTCCTCCTGATGCCCCAGTTTTGGGGTGACTCTATAGACTCACCCCTGCACGCTGGGGCAGGGCCGCTCCAATCCAGGTTCACTCCATCTTCAGAGGTGCAGTAGATGGATTCATCCCCAATGAGGGACAGCCCCGCAGCACAACTGTATTTCATTCTGTAGCCATAGGGGAAGAATGATGATGTTGGGTTGATGTCCAGCCCGTGGGTGATTCGTGGGGGAGGGCCGCAGGCTATGAAATAAAGATTAAGAAGGAAAAAAAAAAAGAAATACACAATTATCATACTGGGGTAAGAACTCAGCATGGACTTAGAGCCCGTGCTCAGCCCCTGCCTGGCATCTGCTGGGGAAGACACCTCCAGCCCCACAGCCAGCGCTCACCTCCCTGCATCTCAGAGGTGATGCTGGAGGAAGGCTGCCCTCCCTGCCCCAGAGCTGATCACAGCTCCTGCCTTGCACATACCTTGCTGGCAGTAGGGTAATTTGGGAAACCAGTTCCCATCAGCCTGGCACGTGATCGACTCTTGGATACTGATCACGTAGCCTTCATCACACTCTATCCTTACTTGAGTCCCAACTGTGTAATCATTTTTGCTTTTATAAACCTCTCTTCCGTGGTCAATGATAGGCTCTGGGCAATGAGGTTCTAGGAGCAAGAGAAAGTATAAAAGGATTTTATGAATTTTTAGGAAGAACCCCATGAAGAAGATTTCCACCGAGAAGGCAGCTACGCAAGGCCACAGGTAGATTTCTACTGATGGTAGCAGACAGCTATCCTGTACAGAGTGACCAAAACCTCTGCCAAAGTCACAAATAAGCAGTCAACAGGTCAAGGTGATGCAGCAGCTCTCCTACCTGGAATGCACTCTGGTGCTGCCCGGTTCCACGTGCCATCATTTGTACACTGAAGCACAACATAATCATCACTGTCCTTGAAAACATAGCCAGGGTCACAGATAATTCGGACTCTGTCTCCCAACACATACGTGTCTTTTTTGTCCCAGGAGCTTATGTGCATTCCCCTCTTGGTAGCTGGATTTGGGCAACTAATTCCTGAGAAACACCAAACAGCAGCAAGTGTGAAATCATGGCATAAGTACCTCAATGACAGCAGCTTCATTTGAGGCAGAAGGAGAATGAATGGCCGTTTCTGGACACTCCTAAAGGCAGTTTTATTTTCTGGGCATACATATGAAGTTATTGCATCCCACCAACAATGCTGATGGGCACCATTGGACTCACAGGGCTTTCCTGGATGTACATTCCCCTCTCCAATGGGCACTGGCAGCACCATGGCATCTTAGTGATGGTACACTATTTTTTTCATGGGTTCAAAGGAGCAGAAAGCACATCTGGTAGATAAGGTAGACTGCACACAGATCATTTAATTGGGAAGAGCTTTGCCCAAACACAAGGATACTTAAGCTGAAGGAACAGGCACTTACTTCCACAGGGTGGTGGAGTTTCAGTCCATGTATAGTCTGGCAGACAACTGATGTTTTGCATCACCACTCCAGGGCTGAACTCATAGCCCGTCTGGCACTCATAAGTGATGACAGTCTCAATGGGAAATAAATTGCCTGCAAGTCTTGCTTTAACAGCATTCTGCACATCAGGAGGGTCATCACAGCTGCCTAGGGGTGAAATCAACACTCTGTGACATTGCCAATGAGAAAGCAGTGGGGCACAGGACACAACATGAAAGGATCTGGGGGAAAACGTGGGCTCGTGTGATTCTTCCTGAGGTTCACTTAAGGCAATTGTCTGAGCTCAGTGCTACTGAGAGTGAATGCAATGGAAGTAAAATGAAATGCAGTACCTGTTATTACAACGTATGGTGATTTACACTGACTTGTGGCAATGACGTGCAATTTCTAACAAAGCAAATACTCTCTGCCCTAATCTACCAACGACCTTTAAAAGTATTGAGTATAGGGAGGTCAGTCCCTCTGAGTTCTAGCAAGAAACTCATCAAGTTTGGGTCTTGGAACAAGACTTTAGCTAAGAGGCCCAAAGTCACAAAGTCCCATGCCTGCATCATCACCAGCAAGCTGTTGGGAAACAAAAGTGCAAGCCACCATGGTGCAAGAGGCAAAAACAACAGAATACAGCCCACCACCCCCACAGCCACGGCCTGGGTTGTGTCCCTGTGGGCACTCACTGCGCTGGCATTGCGGTAGTGGTGGATCCCAGCTGCCATCCTCCTGGCACATGGCTGTGTCACTGCCCAGCAGCACGTAACGGAATTCACAGTCGAAGATGACGGTGTCACCATAGGCGTACTCAGCTCTGTACCTGCTCTGCAGCCTGCCGTGCTCCACCTGGGGCTCCCTGCAGCTCACCACTGCGTGGGGGAAGCAACAGAGCTCAGGCGATGAGTGCTGGGTCAGTGGGGGATGATTAAAAGCATTGGAGCTGTTGGAGCAGTCAGGGTGAGCGGGGCACGGGCAGCCTGATCTGCTGTTGGCAACTGCTAACATAGGGGGGGCTGCAATTGGGGGACCTTTAAAGCTCCCTCCTACCTAATGAATCCACGATTCTTGGAGCACACATTCATCAAACAGGATGAAAATGGGCATGGCAAGGTAGCAGCATTTTTCAAGTCTTTGTCCAACATTACATCTTTTTCTTATTAATTGGTTTTTTTTTTCCCCACTTTATTAAGAATGAGAACAAAGGAAAGACAGCAGGTACCACAGCAAGCTTCTGAATCTTGGCAAGTCTCCTGTTTCTTCCATTCTCAGATGAATACCCCTTCTCAGATCCCCTATGGGCAGATTGCCACTCACCTTTGCACTCCGGGGCTGGCTTGTTCCAGACACCATTCACGTTGTCATTGGTTGTACAGAAAATAGAGGCATCCCCCACCATGGAGAACTGCTTCCTCCCCCTGCTGTCAGTGTGGCAGTGGTAGGTGACAGAAGCTCCGTAAGTGAAGAGCGCGACGTCACCTCCGTTGTGATCTCCATTCGCTATTTTTGGAGGGGGCAAACATGGAATTGCTAAAAAAAAAACGTTGAAAAATTCATGTTAATTAAACGTGTGGTTTGAAGATGAGACACAAATGCCCCAGGTGCCAGAAATTAGAGGCAGGTCTCAGGGCAGCTCTGCCTCGCAACTGGGTGGTTTGGGGGCACATCCCTGTGATGTGCAGCTGCCTTACTGCCAGGGAATGCTTCCATGCATGGAAGGAAAACACCAAGAAAAGTGTTTTTAGAGATTTCCAACATGCAGTGAACGACCAAAAGCCTTCTCTATCTTCATCCATCCCCAGTCCCACTCAGCAGGACTCTACTTACGTTCACAGATGGGAGGATTTCCATCCCAAGTAACATGCCCATTTTTAATCACACACCTAATCTGGGAATTTCCAACCAGTCTGTACCTGTGTGGAACAGAGTGGAGGGAATTATTTGTCAAGTGCAATTCAGGTTTTTTTTTAATTTCATTTAGAACACCACCTTTGGCTTCCTTGGAATTAAAGCTGATCAGGAATTTGCCCAACTTAACCAAACTAGTGGAATGGTTGATAGCAACTGCAGTGAAACTATAACTGTGACAACCTGTTAATTATAGCTAACTATAATTAACTATAACTAACTATAACCATAAGCTCCGACTTCAGAAGTGAAGTGTTTCCTTCAAAAATATATTAAAATATTGGGGATGGTTTAGCAGGGCCCTGAAGAGTGAACTGGAGCTTGGCAAGAACTAGGTGATCTTTAAGGCCCCTTCCAACCTATGGCATTCCACAATCCTGAGAACCATTTCAAAGCATGAAAGGAAGAAAACTCCTTCTTCAAGCTTTCAAAGAAGAAGTTAAAAAGTACTTTGATTACAGTCTACCATTACCTACACCAGCATAAGGTTTCTGATAGAACAGGCTTTAACCTAGAACAAAAGGACTTCAGAAAACCCACCAGGGAATATAAAGGCCTTTTAGCTTGTATCTGATTTGCAGAGTCAGTGCATTGGCTCTGTAGTCACTATTTCACAGGAAATTGGGCTGGACATCCCCTCAGGGTCACAAGGACCTGCAGGACCCCAGGTACTCCCAGCTTACCCAGTGTCACAGCTGTAGTTTGCTGTGGACCCAAAGGTGAACTGCTGTACTTCCACAAGCCTGCCATTGGTTGGCTCTCCAGGGTAACTGCAGGGCTTTGCTGGGGGACAACAGGACCAGAGTTAGTTCTGCAGGTTCATGGAGAATCAGGAACACCCAGCAGGAGAGCAGAAGACCTCTCCAGTACTGAGCAAGCAGATGGACAGCAGCTCTCTGGATTTCCCCTTCCACTCTAACTTGTGACGTGACCCATGTTGCTGTCAAGACTACAGGATTCTCCTACTGAAAGCCTGAAATACTGTTATTGAACTAAGTGCTCACAAGTACCTGAGAGAAAAATGCACTTCTGAGCACAGCCAGAGTCAAAGGTAAAGGGCAAGCAACATCCAGACAGATCCCACTGCCACCACCTCCCCACCACCAGAATGCTGCCCAACAAGCCAATGGATTCGCCCAAAATCAGAAGCCAACCCCAAATGTACTCACGTAAGCAGAAGTTGTTCAATCCTTTCCAGCTGTTCTTTTCACAGATGTAAGTGTTCCGGGCTCTGTAATTCCTCACGTAGCCTGGCCGACATCTGTATTCCACCACTTCAGAGGTGGAAAACGTCCTGTTGTGCAGGTAGTCCTCCTTCAGTTCTGCAAATGAGAACCGTGGCGGAGCACCGCAAGCACCTACCAACAGAAACACCATCAGGAAAACGCTGGGCAAACTGCAAATCTGACAGTGGCTTGCTCTGAAAGTCCAGTCCATAAAACTCATTGAAGAGGGAAGCAAAGGGGAGAAAAGGGCAGACTGCAATGGGGATGAGCATCACTCCATGTATCACTCTTCACTCCTCACACCTCGTCCAGCACTTTCTAAGGATGGTAACACATCCTAGACCAACAGCTTCCTTATCCTCAAGTAGCATACAAGTGAGTGCACCTTTGTTTCCTAGCGTAATTTTACAGCCATTCTGCACAGAAAGCAAAAAGGCAAAGGAAGACAGTTGCGATCAGATTCCCAGGTCTCTTCAAACGCAAAGGCAAAGAGGAAAATAGGATCAAGGCTTTGTGAACCTCAGGAAGCAGTTTCCCCTGCTCAGCTCACTTCATCTTTGCTTACCCTGGGTGCCCACCACCAGGGCAGCAGTGAGGAGCAGCACCAGGATGGCAGCACGGCCCCTTGGTCCCACTGACACCACAGCTGGCACCATCATCATCCTGACCACGTTGCAGATGTCACAGCATTCTTTTTCGAGGCCAAATATCTTCAAAAATAGTGGGGGAGGGGAGAAAAGCGCTGAGTTTACTCTTGGAGTCACCATGGCTGATTGCAGATTCTAAGCTGTTCCTGTAGGCTTTCCTTCACTGGTCTTTTCTTGGCACATTTGAGCTTGAGTTTGCATATTTGGCCGCTCTAAGGATCAGAGCACTGACTTGCAGCTCTCCAGGATCACCCCTTGTGAGCCCAAACCCTCCCAGGGTTACACACACTCCGAGTGCCCACCTTCCTCCTGAAAGCAATACAGCCCACCTTGGTACTTTGCCTAGATGTGACTGATGAGAAATTGCTTACTGAAAGAAAGGAAAGCTAAGCACATCCTAATAAAGGTTACTCCTCCCTTTTTCCACTGCCCTAGCTGAGCTCTTCTTGCTGCTGATTCATTGTTCTGGCTTTCCTTCACTCCCTATTACAGCTCTTGGTTTAATTCAATTTATTTTACTTTTCCCTTAGTTCAATCGAGCTGCAAGAACACCCCAAAATCCCACTCCTGGAGCTCAGCTCACCTTACCTGGGCTCTGCAGGCAGCGATGGGTGCATCCAAAGGCACTGACACAGCCCTGCTGTGCTGAAGGAGGGGTTCTGATCCACCCACACGCTCAGAAATGGCTACACATAGCCACCTGCATGCTCTGCAGGGACCAGACCCGTGCCAGTTTGCCTATCAATGATTAACTCCTCCTAGCAAGAAAGAAGATGTTTACCCAACCTACAAAACAAAACGCTAGAAAACTGAATGCGACCCAAGCAGATGTTGAAATTGTTTGCTTTGTGTGCAAAGCTGCCAGTCGAAACAGTCTGGGGGTGCAGGCATCCAGAGCTGGTCCCTGCACAATGCCCATGTGTGTGCTCAAGATGATGGCATCCCTCAGGGCACTGCCGTTCTTACCTGAAAGCTTTATGGCAATGCCCACAGGGTTTCCTCACTCAGCTCAGCAGCACTCTGGGCTCAGCCCCTCCACTGATGCTGCACACAATTCCTACTGTTTTCCACCAACAGCGTTGGCAGAGGCCACAACCATTTGCTCCTTTTGCACTTTGTGCATTTTCACTTCAGCTTCAATTGCTATCACAAATTCAACCGTGCCCTTTTCGCCCCGGGTTGCATTTCTCATGGCTGGTTCTGCCAGAGCAAAGATTTCTTTTGGCAAAAACAAACAAACAAAAAAAAACCCCACAAAAACCCAACCATCTCGCATCCTCAGTCCCAGAGGGAAACATTACCTTCACAAAGCCTGCCTGAGCCCCAGCCAAAATGCAGAAGAGCAGATTTGGTTCTCTAAACCACAGCAAGCTGGGCCTTGTTCAGTCACTCCCAGCAGGCAGTGACCTCTGCTGACTATTTACAAGAAACCCAGTTAATCCCAAACCCAAACATGGGCTCTCCTGGTTTATTCTCTCCAGCTGACACAGGACAAGCCCACCTGTGTGTGCTGAAGGCATCGGGACACAGCTGCACCCACAGGGCCATGCAGTACCTCTCATCTGTCCCCACCTCACAGCTGGGTAAGCAGAAAGAAAAGGGTATTCCTTCATGTCATCCAGGGTGTCACTGCAAGATAGAAGTGGGACTGCAAGAGAATGAATGCTATTAACGTCATCAGAAATAAAAGTGCATGCACAGCTGCCAGAGGTAGAGCTTCCCTCTAAACCATGTGCAAATCCAGATCTCTGCTCTTGGAGAAGAGCGGAAGGAAGAACTGGAGTTATCCAACATCTCAATCAGCACAGGGATCTCCAAAGTGATTTCACCCATTGCTCTTCTAGATGTTTTTTTCTAGAAAAAGAGATTTGCTCTTAACACAACACCTCAAGAAATCTGAAAATGTGAATTCTGCTTCCTCCAACATCATCATTTTCAACATGGATTACTTAGGGAAGAGGATGGCACCCACCTCTCCTGCTCCCAAGCCCCCTGCCCCAAGCTCACCTTCACCCCCAGTGCTTCCCAAGCACTCCCTGAGCTGAGCATCACCCGCTGTGTGCTGGTTTGGTGACGCAGTTATAGCAAACAGTCACAGAAAGGGAGAGAAAACAAGATTTTATTTTTAAAACCTCTGTATTGTAAATAAATGCTCATGGGATAATTGTGCGTAAGTGCAAAGAGTACACAACACAACAACTCTGCATACATTGCTTTTTTTCTTTAAAACCTAGAAAAAAAGACCATTAGAAAGCAGTAACACAGCAGAACTCCATGAAACACAAAACATCACCCTCCCCACGCACAGCACAAGGATGCAGTTTGCAAGCAGCACACAGTAATGCAGAGCAGCACCCTGAGACCAGCACAGAGCACCTCTGACATCAAAAGCGGATGGAAATAGAAATCAGGGAGATACAGGAGTAAGATCTGGTGCTGGTGAAATGCTCACAAAGCAGGCAAGCCCACCGCTGGACATTCAGCCCATGGTGAGCTATTGGAGTGTTTGAACACAGCCCAACACCACAGCTCCGTATGACCAGCAGTGCAAACCCCCGTTAAGCCTAAATTCAGGTAAATTGTGCAACCCTTATTTATCCTGAGCTGTTTGCATGAGCGGTGCCAGGGCAGTCAGGTGGTTTCAAGGAAGTGCCTGGCACCCAGCACAGGCAGAGGCTCACCTGGGACCTGCAGCACCCACGCTGTCACCTACCATTCACCTGCACTGGGAATTTGCCACTGCTCTGCCTTACAGACACAGGTATTAAGTTAAGATGCAGTAGGAGAAGCTGTGCTTTGGCTTAAAGCGCTGAGGGACGGTCTGGCTGCTGCAGATGGCTCTGTCCCAGCACCAGCATGCAGCTGCTGCAGCATCGCTTGGGGAGCACAGCAACCCACAGCCAGCCACCACTGCAGAGCAGACATTAAGCAGCAATTAAAAACTGATGACTACCGACACTCATCAGCTACATTCATGAATTCTGGCAGGAAAAAAATGGCTGTGCCTCTTTACAGCCATTAGCTCCTTAACGATACACATACACCTAACCCCTCACCACCAGTTATTACAACACATTGTGCGTGAACAGCTCACAGTAGGCATCTGCTGGTGGTTCTGATGCTGCAGCTTTGCAGCCAGCCCACCCCAGCATGTTTGTGCATTGGAGGATCACTGCTGTGCTATGCAGCCTATAGAACTCTTCCTTCAACTTTTTGTTTCTCCTTTCCTTTCTCCTCCCAGCCCTGGCTTATTTCTAACAAGGACAACTGCTCAGTGGGAACAGCCTAAGGAGTAAAACCAATAAAACTCTGGTTTTTTTACCCCCTGAATTTCATCCCTCTGGAGCATAACTGCTTAAGATCAACATAAAACTTCTGCAGACTGTACATCCTACAGCGTTTGGGGCTTCTGCTGTGGCCTCTCATCTCAGCTTGAGAGAATAAAAGCTGTGGGAGTGTTTACAACACAAATCCCCACGTAAGCTCAGCCCACTGAGCACAGGCAGAGTGTGTGGGGCTCAGGTATCTGCGGATGGGCACTGATTTACACACTTCACACACACAGCCTGGGTCCCATGATCACAGATGTTGGAGTCGTTGGACGGAGCAGGTCTGTAACAGCATCCTGCTCAACCCCAAATGCCCATTTCTTCACCTAATCGCAGGGCTGCAAACCTGACAGTTTTGCCCTAATTTCAAGGGGGACATTAGGAGTGAGAGAAAATGGAGTTTGGCAAATAACTCGTAAGAGAAAAGTGAAAACTCGGAGTGTCATCACCCCACCTCTTGGCAGGGCAACCCAATAACAGGCAGCCAGCACTGAAGGAGTGCACCACCTGTGCCCTAAATACTTCAACAGCTTCAGCTCCACAAAAGGCAGCATTACATCAGCAACATTCACAGCTTACTCACATGTGAGTACAGAAATGTGCTGTGGGTCTGAAAATTGGTACAAGAGATGAGTAAAAAACCATCACACAGCACACACACACGTGGCCCCACTGCTGCTCCTCACCTCACCCACAGCCCGGGCCCTTCACTACCTTCTGACAACAAAAACATCTCAAAATGGGTATAGCAATAGGAAATGCTCTGCAGAATTAGCACGACTAAGCTTTGGTCAATGAATCCACGATTCTCTGATGCATCTATGAGTGCAAAACATCCAAGCTGATCGTGAGACGTTTTGGCTAAAGTAAAGGGAACAGGACAGTAAGCATGGAATGCAGGAAGAAAACAGTGCTGTGCAATGCAGAGTGAGGAATTTTTGCTGCAAGAGAAAAGCATCCACAAAGCCCAGGAGAAAAGAGAACAGGGTGAGGCATGCAGTGGACAACCAAAGCAGGGTTTGAGCCCAAAAGCAGCTTGGCTGTTCCCAGATGGCAATGGGCAAATCCATGTCCTTGTCCCCTGCAGTGGGTGATCTTGTAGGACTGAACAATTCTGTAAGTGCCTTTTGCCACAGCACATGCAAAACCCTTCCCAAAGTAAAGCAAGAGGCTCAGGTCTGGGGGGATTCAAAGCAACAGCCATGGAAGCCAAGCGATACCTGGAGTGCTTCTGCTTGTTAAATTGCACTGAGTAACTGCGTTTGAGCTCAGAGATGATAAAGATTGAATAAAACCTGGGAACTGGGTCTGATGAGAACATCTGCCAAAGAAACGTTGCTTCAGCAAGCAGGGAGAGGCCCAGAGGCGGCCCTGAGCAGCGCACACAAAGCATGGGGACAAGCTCACTCACATGTCCTGCTGCTCACACACACAAGCACACACACGTTAAAAGCAGCTGAAAAAATCTTCTCAGGAAGTTTTCTGCAGTGCCATGGCAGACACCGAGTGCTCACAAGGACAGGATGGCTGCAGGAAGGCACTGCTCACTGCGCTCCCAGCTGGCACTGTGTCCCATCAGGCTCCTGCTGTCCATTGCAGCCCTCCACCTCTAGGCCAGCCAGCCTCTGTGGAGAGAAAGGCACAGGTTGGAACACGGCTCAACCCACGGGTGCTAAACCAAAGGACACCACAGAAGATGCTTCACAGCACAGAATCCAACCAGCTCCGTGCAGTGGATCTACCTGGCTGCATCCACCCAAGGATCTGCTAATGAACTTGATCCTGAGCAGATAATTTCTTCCTGCTTTGCCATTCAGCCTCCTGCAGAGCTCTCCCAGCTGCCCCAAGCCTGGGCATGCAACCTTTACTGAGCACCATGCAAGAATGAGGCTGATCGCTACTCAGGGTCACTCTGTTTTATTCCTCTCCGCAGGAAATTACACTTCCAGACAAATGTTAGAAAAGTCACAGTAATAAATTCTCCTATCAGCCACAATGAACACTTCTGGTTCTGATAAAACATCTTCCAGTGTCTCACCAAGGGCCACAGAAGGAACACGCATCAGTACAAGTGAATGTTGCATTCACTAAAACCTGACAGACACGATGCCCTGCAGCAGCTGCTGCTCATTCCACATCCCAGAGCACAGACATTGGTCTCAGAGACCTGAGCTGCAATGCACAGCAGTGCTTTGGACACTGCAAAGGGGTGTGCAATCAATGCACACCATTTGTCTTGTTACCTCCTTACCCAGCCATCACTGTTCTGCACTAAAACAGCAGGCACAGCTCTCAAGCCAATTTGCTGACAATTAGCAGCAGGCATCAACATTTCTGTCCAACATTCAGGAAACTCAGACCCTACATTCTTTCCACTTGTGATAAGAAAAATATAATATCTGAATAGCTTTCCCAGCAGTGACACTTAATAAGTAACCATCAGTTAACTCACAATAGCTGCTCACATGCTGTTTTCTCAAGCAAAGCACCACTATTAAGAGAGGGTTTGCAGAGGAATGAAGGAAGTTGGACCAAACTCCCTTCCTGGATGCCCCTGAGGAATTATTATTATTATTATTATTTTAAACAAAAGGGAAAGCAAACACTTGAAGCATAATGTTAGAAGGGTAGTTTTTCATAGCTGGCATATGCATTCGTTTTCTAAACACAGCCCCTTGCAGTTCAGAGAACAAAGGCAAAGCTGGAGGACTGAAGCTGTGGATGTTATGAAATGATGCACTGCAAGCTCCCCCAGCCCAGTTTCTTTCTGCTTTTCCCCTCTTCTTCACCATTAAGGACCCTGAAAGCTGGGATGTAGGCAACTTTGGGTGAAACACTGCAGTGTTTGCATTGCAGAGGCTGGGCAGCTCCCAAGAAGGCCATGGTTGCATTCAACACCACTCAAGGCTGTGTGTGCTTCTGCAGCTTTGGCAGGGTAGAATTGCTTTACCAGTAAAACCTCTCCGCAGCAAGTTAAAAACAGGAGATGTAAATTTAAAGATCAGTCCTGTGTCTTTTTATCCCAGGAAATGTGTATACATTGAGGCTCTACAGGACGACAGGGAGTCTCATGGAAAAAACAAACAAACAACTGGAAGAGCTTCACTTCAAGGACAAAGTGCAAAATCTGACTTTTGGCCAAGTCAAAAGCTGCTCATGCCAGTAGGAGTAATGAGATCAGGAGGAAACTCATCTCCCCCCACAACAGCAGAAGCTGGAGGTGAGGCACAACCTCCCCAACTGAACCTTCATCTTCCTTCCATCCATCAGGAAATGGAACCAGCAACCATTCCCCTCTCTTTCCACTAAACCAAGCTCTCTGCATTTGAAGCCAAAGCACCAGCAGCAAGAGGATGGGCCCGCAGGTCAAAGGCAGTCCCATGTCCCAGGGTCCAGCATTCTGCAGTGCAGATGCAACACCCAAAGCTTTCCAGAATGCTCCCAAAGATGGGTAAAAGCAGACTGGATCTTGTGGTCGTCCCAAATGCATGGGGATGGGCTGTGCAGGGAAGCACACCAAGAGCTATCCCATAGTCAGGTCCCAAACATGAATTGCAACCAGCTTCTACAGGACAAAAACAACAGTGCACGAGCTGGATGAGGTGAAGCATCTGCTAAGCCAAGCAAGGGGTCACCCCAGGGTCTGCCACAGCTGCTGCAGCAACAGCACAGCAGGGAGAGCCCAAGGTCTCCTGGGTGACACTGGCTGCTGGCTCCGTAGAAAGGGGTATATAGACAAGAAAACACTCCTCCTGAGCAGTGGGTGAAAGCTAGCCCTGCCCTGCTCACCCCAAGGATGCCCCCAGGGGGACATGATAGAGGAGGCAGCAGCAATCCTACTAGCACAGCAAGGCTCACTCACAGAGCTGCTTCCCAAACATCCTCCCCAGTGCAGCTCCTAATCCCTCCTCTCCCTGTTGCTCCATCCATGCAGCTCACCCCAGGCCACAGGAGAACACCACTGGTACCACCTCCTGCACTGCCCTGTGATGGACAGCATCACCTTAAGGGTGACAGCACAGAAGGGTTGTGGATGGAACTTCAGCCCTGCTAGCACTCTGCCACCATCAAGGTCCCCTTAGTGACTAATTACTGCACAGCAAGACCTCCTTCTGCTCAGTGCATTTGTCTTTTCCCAAAGTAGCTTCCATGCAACTTCAGCCAAGAGAAGTCCTACTTACTAAAGCACAACAGAACGCACACAAGCTGCTCTCAGCGGTACTCACAGGCAAGCATTTCCCACTTGAGGCTGCAAAGGAAAAAGAAACAGCATAGGAGAGCTCAAAGTACACTTTAAAGGTAGTTTACAAGCAACAGTAACAGCAGTGAAGGAAATGAGGAAAGAAGGGAAGCAACCCAAGGGGTTCAGGGTAGGGAGATCACTGCAGGCTTGCACCTGAGCTGCAGCAGCTCACTGAGTGGCTCCATCCAGGGCAGAGCTCCAGGACAGCACTCGCCATCCCTGCCCAGGAGCTCAGTGGCTCCTGAGCTTCAAAGTTTTCGATGCTACAGCATCACAACTACAAGCAGCACAACTGCAAACAGCTTGAAAAATATCAAGCTGTGAGATGTCTGAGATTAAAGCTGTTTATTGTTATCTGAAAATGAAGCCCCCTATAGAAGAGCCACAGTTTTACTGAGATGTCTCACACTGCACCGAGGGGAACAAAATGCACAACGACCCCAACCAGGAGCCCCCAACCTCCCCCCTCCACCTCACGTGATGGGACACAGCAAAGAGAACCAATTTTCAACCTGCAAAGAAGCAAGTGGGGCTTCACATACCACCCTGATGGGGATCTATGTGATTTCAAACCAAAAGAAATGCGAGGTGGCAAAAAACCAAGCAGCACCCAAACACCAGGAGCCCAACCTTTGCTCAACAAGCTGCTGGTGGGATCCATAGGAACGTACATAGGCACTGAGCACTGGGATTTCCCCAACGGCTCTACAGCTAGAGCAGCACTTGGCTGCACCAACACATTTGAACAGAGATATTTGTAACTCTTTCCAGTCAAGCTTTTGTTGGAAAGCACGGCCCAGAATGAACCACCCAATGGTTCATTGGGTGGATGGAACAATGGAAGCTTGCCTGCACGGGACAGGGTTCTATAAACCTCTGGCATCACAATTCTAGCTTCATGGAGAGATTTTCATGCATTGCCTTGTTTATTTTAAGAGTGCCCAATGCAGAATGATTCCCAGTGGCGTTTGGGTATTTGGGGGTACTTCTGCCAGGACTACAGCCATGGTTGGGTGACATGGGTGGCACGGGAGGGGAAGCAGAGCAAGGCACCACCTGGACAGTGGCTTGCAGCCGGGGTTGAGCAGCTGCACCTCGAACCTGCAGGTCAGTGGGGCCGCTCCCAACGCTGTGGTGCCGCGGGCGCTGCTCCGTGGCCGTGCTGGCCAGCGGCGTCAGGCTGCTCCTCCTCATCCTGCCTGGGCTCTGGATCATGGGAAGGCAGCTCTGGTTGCAGGTGGAGGACATCACAAGGAAGGGAAAAGGGGAAGGAGATGTTACAACTGCAGTGCATCCCCGAGAGCCTCTGGCCACGAGCGGATCCGCGGTGGTGGATGTCCTACATTTGCTTTGCTTGCAGATTTACTTCCTTCTGGGTTCGGAGTTAGTTTGTGTTGGGTTGTTTTGTTTTTTTGTTTGTTTGTTGCTTACTGATTTTTACAATTGATTCAGGAAAAAATAAAAAATAAATAGAAAAACTTCCCTTATTTGTATTTCTGCTCTCAAAGTAGTTTGTTCCCAAGGAAGCAGAGCAGGAGCATCCTCCAACTCCTCCAAGCAGCACCAATGATTTCAGCACAGGAATCACACGAGCAGCAAAGCAACAAGTCTGAGACAATGGCAGATAACCCTTCTTCCTTGGAGCTCTTTCTAGAACCTCCTCCAATGCCATGGGGTGGCTAAAAGCCTCCATGCACCACTGGAGCTGAAGATGTGCTCAGTTCAGATCAGCTCCCCTGCAACCTAATGCAGTGGTAGGTTTTGTGGTGCTTAACTGGGGAGCCTTACTGAACCAGCTGTTCAGTGGCATTCCCCAATACCTGCAGGCACTCTGCAAAACAAAAGCATGCCTGCACAAGTGAGCACAAAAACAGTGGAAACTTCCACAGAATGCTTGCAAAACATTGGTGAGATCCACAAAGACAAGGGCAAGGGCAGAGAGCCACCAACCAGCACACTACAAACATCCTCACCTCAAAGGAAGGGATGAGCCCCATGCTTCCCTCCCACAGCACAGCAGCAGCCTGTCCTGGGGCTGCTGACCCCACAATGCACCCCAAGGTGCAGCCTTACAGTGCCTATGGCTCTGCAATGGGCTGAGAGCTCAGGAAGGCAGCAGGAACTCCCTAACTACTTTGTGTTAATAGCACTAATTCCAAGCAGACACACCAAACAAGCCTTAACAACGAGACATAGCATTTAAAGGTGTACATCCTAACCCAAGTGGATTCAGTTTGCCTACTTCTGCCCCTGTTCCAAATATCTCCCACTGTCTTGGGAAGCACATACAACTCTACATGCAATGAGTTCTGCTTCTGAAGCAGCCTTGCTGGCACTGAAAGCAACCAGGCACTTATAGCAGGGAGAGTTTCAATTGACTTATGTCCACAGAAGGCAAATGTTGAGCAATCACATGAACCACGAGGCAGAACAAGGCAGCTCAACTTACTGAGTTCAGGGAAGGTTTGTCCCGGTGGGTGTTCACTGCTTCCACGTTCAGGCTGATCGTCTCCACTTTACAACCTTGCTCAAACAGAATGGGGAGTTTATTGGAGGAAGTGCATTTCCTAACCCATGTAGAATAAAATCCTATTATAAGTGCACGCCAAGTGAGCAGAAGGTTGTTACTTGTTTCTAAACTAAAACAAAAAAAATCTCAATGAACAGTTCATCTGCATGGAGAATTCACACTTCAGTTACTTTCTGGCTTTGACCCTCACTGTGAGAGCTCAGAGCCTCATCCCCTGACCTCGAGTGTCTCCAGGGATGGGGACATCCACCCCACTTACTGTGAAATGCTTTGTCCTTGTATCCAATCTACACCTCCACCACACACCATCCCACTGCTCCCACCGCCATCACCAAAAGCACTGACAGCAACAACTGCTGTTCCACACACAGCTGCACCCACCACCCAAAGGAGCCACGTACCGTAGGCGACCGGGGTGAGCTTGAGGATGGCATGCAAGGGGCAGCGCAGGTAGGGCAGCTCATCTGCAGGAGAGGCAGCAGCATCAGCTTTACCTTCAGGAGCAAAGGTTCCACCACAGCCCCCCAGCGGCGCTCAGGGGAAACCCAACCCAAAGCACAGGGAGAACTACAGCAGCTCAGCACTGCTCAGCATCACACTGCCCCAGCAGCATGCCCCAGCTTCCAGGGGCCTGGTGTTTTCTCTTTAAGTGACCTCAAACAGTGCCCTTCCCACAACAGATAGCTCTGTGCTGATCAGTGAGCAGTGCTCTGTGCAAAGTGAGGAGGAGCCAATTCCCATCACAGAGCACCTTGCACGTAGTGTCTCACATGTGTCCTGCAGAGCATCGTTGTGCCATGGAGCACTGCCCTCACTGCTCTACCAGAGCACAGTTTCCTTAAATCAAAAAAAAAAACCCCAAATCCCATAGAGATGCCCCTGGTTGAAGCACTTCTGGAAACGAGGGCTGAGCAGAAAGGCAGCAGGGCAGGCACTGAGCAGACAGCACTCTGCCCTCACGGGGCACATCCTGCAAAGCTCTGCTGAAATGCAATGGTTAAACCATTTCAGAAATGGGTGTTTTGTGTTTTTTTTGGGGTTTTTTTTTTTTCTTTTTTAAAGCAGTTCCTCCATTGTCAAGAAAAATCAAAACAGCAATTACCAGACACCCACCCAAAAACCCCGAAAAAGAGCAAAAATAGAAGCCAGCCCCCACCAGCATGCATTTATTTTTGTACCTGCACTCTTATCCAGAAAGTAAGCCAGGAGGCACCTCATCACTGCCTGGTGGGAGATGACAAGGACGTTGCCCTGCCGCTCCAGCTCCATAATTACGGGCTCCAGACGCTGAACCAAGTCCTGGTAGGACTGCAAAACAAAACAGGAATTTTTGTAAGGGGTTTTTTTTATAAACAGACTTGGAGCAGAAGTAGCAATTAACACAGCTTCACCTTCAGGAAAGTATCGGTTAAAGCATCAAACTGCAGAAGTGATGGAGTAAATAGAGGGGAAAATAAGGAAACAGCTCTGGGTGAAATTGGATGGCAGCAACCCTCAGATTACAGGAAGTTCAGGTTAGTGATAACTCTTAGCAAGTGCAGTTTGAAAAGAAAATAAACCACTAAATTACACATTTAAATATGGCTGTAAAGTAAAACCAGAAGTGACTCCATCCCCACCCACAGCCATTTCTCTCTCCCAGGGTGATTTTCCATAGGGACAACTCAGCTTCAGCCAACTGAGAGCAGCACAATGAACCTGCTTCACACACTGCTGGAACAGCAAGCAGTGCTCCTTTCCTCTAAGAGAGCTGGGTTCACTAGGGCTTTTGATTTCTCATGGAAATACTGGGGACAGAGAGCTGAAACCAAGCAACGCCCCTCCATTTCACTCATCACACGTTGCCCAATGCATACTGCAGCACTCTGCTTCTCTTAAGTGCTCTCACCTCTCCTCCAGGATAGCGATAGAGGTATTTCTCCTGATCCCTCAAGGCAAACTCATCAGGGTATTTGGCTTCGATCTCTGCATATGTCATCTCTTCACACACCCCCTGCAGGAAGCACAACTCCGTGCAGCATCACTTCAGGAGGTGTACAGCAATTCAGTACACAAATACGAGCACAACACCAGCATTTCTTTTGCCCTCAAAAACAGAGTGAGAGTGCCAACCTTCACCCAGCAGCAAGGCGCTGCATACACCCCACGAGGGCGTGGGATGCTCAGTGTCACTCCTCCCAACACCAGCTGGAGTGCAAGGTCTGCTGCTGTGCAAAGCTCTAACCGTTCCAGGTGCTTTCAGCCCTAGTGAGAGACCCCTGATAGGGGTGGAGGGCGTTACGCACAGCCATGGCTGGAAAACTTGAGCGATGGTCAGGAAACACTTCTATGCCCAATTTAATTATTTTCCACCTAGAAAAGCAGAAGGCTTCACCGTGCCCCACTCACAGCATCAATCTCATTGAGGATCTTCCACTGTTCATAGGTGACCCCCAGTGACTCAGCTGTCTGGATGGTGCGCTTCAGCTGGCTGGTCCACACCTTCAGCTCCACAATCTCCTGCTCCTCAATGAACTTCTTCAGCGCCTGTGCAAACTGAGAGAGGGCAGAGGAGCTCAGGAGCTGCACAGGGCAGCTGCCCCCCACACCTCCTTTGCAGTGCAGCCATCTGGGTGCTGCAGACCCTCACCTGCTTGCCACGTGGTGACAGCCCAGAGTCCCCTCCAATCTTGCCAAGGAGGTTGTATTCGCTCTCACCGTGCCGGCAGAGGTAGATGGTGCGTGGCTGCACGTGGATGTTCATTAGGTAATAGACGATTTTGCTCTGGATGTAATCTTGGACTCTGTTCACTAGGAACCGCTGTCCCACATTGATCACTTTAATGAAGGAAAGATCTCTGGAGTCAACATAAAATAAGAACACCCACACGCCGGGTTTGACAACTGACACACGTGCAGGCGTCCCCCAGCTCTCTGCCCTGAGTTAAAGGCATCAGCGCCACTGCGGGGACACAGGACACACCGTGCTTGCACAAGGAGCATCACATTCAAATCCACTGCAACCCAAGGGCATCGCCTTCGCACGAGCAAATCTCAGCTTCGGGAGTGCTTCAGCACAAGCATTGCAAGTCTTTGGGCACAGAACACAAAGCAGCAAAGCAAAGCAGCTCAGGGACAGAGCACAGCCCGGGCTCGCTGCTTACTTGTCGTACTCATCGGGATCAAGGGGTTGGTACGTGACCTTGTAGCACTCGATTCTCTTCAGGAAGTCATCCATCACATTCTCCCTGTTTCTTTCGGGGTAATCGGGGCTGGAGACTTTCACCTCCTGTCGAGCAGAAAGAGGCACGTGGGGAAAGCTGAGCAAACATGGCAGGGAGCAAAAGCAGCACTGAACATCATCATCTTTCCCTTCTGAAACGAGTCAGCATTGCTTAGTGCTGCCCGGTGGAAAAACCTGCTCCTGGCAATGCAACAAAAGGCAATGGGGAGCACACTGCAGTGCTTGGCCCCGGTGCAGACACAGCTGCCTGTCATCCCATGTTCAAGGTCAAACACTGTCCGGCTTCAGCTCACATCCAACTTCAACAACTGCACCTTCAGCTTTTACAACCCATAAATCTTCAATAGTATTTACAAGCTGAGATGTAAGAGCACTATGGGGAAGCCTCCTTCAGCCCCCAGCCCTCCTTGCAGGAGCAGCAAGGTGACACACGGAGCTTCAGCCCCCAGCTGGCACCTGCAGCAGAGGGAATGCCTGCAACCATCAGCAGCCATCTGAGCGGGATCCCGACCACCCCGCACTGTGCACATCATCCCTAATGCCAACAATACAGCAGCAGTGCTGTGAGCAGAGCTGGTGACCTTGCACAGCACGCAGCTCCGTGACACAGAGCCTGGCAACGTACCAGGATGTTGGCAGCAATGACCTCCGGATCGTCGCACACAGATTCCACAAAGAACACCTGTGAAGGAGGCAGTGAAACATGTTTTAGAGAACCAAGAGTTCTGGTTTAAATCACAAGTCAAAAACAACTCCAGCACTGTGATCACAATCACAAATTAAATACAGCAGCGCTACCTTGAAAGCATTTTCCTTAGCAAAATTTAAGATCAGGTCCCGTCTTTCCCGAGTTGTGTTGGTTGCATCGAACACCTATCAGAAAATAAGTGGCAATGAGAAAGTTTATCTGCAGCTTCTTAAACAGCCCCAAAGGATTAGGGGTTACATTTGGGTTCCCGAATGCCCTGGGCAGCTTTGAACAACCCAGATACGAAGCCCCCATGGTGTGTTTGGCTGGGAAGAGCCTTACAGCTATCTGCCCACACTCCTCCAGGAGGTACGCCTTCACGTCCTGTAGGGCCACCAAGGCACATCGTCTGCAGGAGAGAAATGCAGTGTCAGAGCAGGTGCAAGGCATTCAGATTGGAGGTCCTCCAAGTCTCTGAGATTGGGAAAAATTCAGCTGGCTGTTCTCTCCTCAGATGGAAAGAAGCGAGGCTGTGTGCCTCAATTCCTGGGGGCTCTACAGAGCTCAACTCTGTTTAAATCCCCATTTTCCCATGTTCCCATCCCTGCCCTTGGGATGCCCCTGTTGCTGCCTCTACCAGTTGAGGCTCCATGCAGATCCCCAGCCCCACTGCCCTCAAAAAGACATGTCTGAGGGCAAAAATCCACACCTGGGAACAGCACCCGAGGTACCCCCTACACTCCCTGCTCCCCTGGGTGCTCCAAGCCCCTCCTTTCCATCTATTTCTCCTGATGCCAATGACATTCCCACGCATCCAGGGATCCTGCCAATGGATCTGCGCTCCGCACCACCTCCTTCCGTGCCATTCAATGTTATTTTGTGCTACAGAAACACACGGGCTGCCAACCCCAAGCCTAAGCAGACCGCAGGCCATCTGCACGGCCCCATGACGCCAACTCACTTGCGGATCTCCATCGCTTCTTTGTTATCGTGCCTGAAGAAGTCATAGGATTTGTAGGATTTGACAGCTTCCCGGCGATACACCCCTAAATTGAACACTTGGGACACAAAATAACGCCGTGCTGACATGGGTGCCCACAGACACCCTCCCACCTGTGGGCAGGGGGCCGTGGGGGCACACACCTCGGGTGGGCACCCCGATCCAGTTGAGGTAACGTGTCAGCTTCTTGGAGACGTAGGTCTTGCCGCGCGCTGGCAGCCCGATCATCACGATGAGGGTGGGTGAGTTGGTCATGTAGGATGCCCACGCTGCAGGAAAACGTTAGCGTGGAGCCCAGCGGACAGACAGAGCCGGCCGTCCTGCAACTGGCTGCGACTCCTAATGAGTGCTGCAAGCGGTGTTAGCTAATGAAAGTGATTAGCAGCGGTGCACCTGCTGCAGCTAATGGGGCTAACGCGGTTCTCGGCGGGACAAATATTTACCCAGGAGACACGGGCTGCCAAGGGCAGAAGAAAAATGGCTTGAGGATGGAAGAAAACATGGGTTTAAGCAGACGGTCACGGAAAACAGGAGGTCAGGAGGTAGCAGGGCTGCAGCGAGGCTGAGCTGAGGCTGTCAGCAGCACGAAGGGCACCGGCACAGCGGGGCTTTGCCGCGCGCACTCAAACCCACGCGTGCCGTGGGAACCGCGCGTTTTGTTAAGCGAATCCGACAACCGCTTTTTTTTTTTTTTTTTTTCTTTCCTCCGCGAAAAGCGCTCCGTGCGCGGTTCCGCCCCGGTACTCACAGCACTTCTTCTCCCCGCCGCGCTGGGCCCCGGTTCTGCCCCGCGGCGCGCTGCCGCCGTGCCGGTACGCCGCCGCCATGGCTCCGCGCCGCCGCGCTGCATGCAAATGAGATGTAAATCGCTCCCCGGCAAGCGGGCGGGAGAACGGCGCTACGCCACAACCCCAAGCGCGCCCTGCATGCAAATGAGATCGACACCGGCCGCGGCGCGCGCCGCCCGCTCTGGCAACACCGCGATTGGCCGCGGCCCAGCGGCCAATGAAACAGCGCGGAAAAAGATCTCGCGAGAACCAGCGGGCGCTGGGCCGGGGCGGAAACGGAGACGGGCGGGGGGAGGAGGAAGAGGAGGAGGGAGGAAGAGGAAGGAGGGGGCGGCGGCCGCGCGAAGGATGTTGCGGCTGCGCTGCAAGGCCCGGAGCGGCACCCAGCCGCTGCCCGGCCTCACGGCACACTCCCGTCTCCGCGACATGCAGGCCGCCCTGGCCGCCCTCACCGGCGTCCCCGCCCCTGCCCAGCGGCTGCTGCTCGGCTTCCCTCCGCGGAGCCTCGACCTCAGCGACGGCGAGCGGCGGCTGGGCGAGCTGGGCATCCACTCAGGTGAGGCCTGCTGGGCGGCAGCGCCTGCGCTTTATGATCCCGCTGCCCCGCGGGCTGCAATTAGCTTAATTAAACGAGGCTGTGACCCAGCGCGCCGGGCCAGGGGGGGTTGGAGCGGAGCGCCGGTTGAGGCTGCGGGGTCCCCGCCCTGGAGGTGCTCGAGAACCGCAGGGATGGGTCGGTGGTTGGGCGTGAGCTGTCGGTTCCTTTCAGACCTTAGGGATTCGGTTCTGTGCCGATCTGTGCGCTCAGCTCTCCCCTCTGTCTGACAGGAGACACGCTCATCGTGGAGGAGGACACGTCTAAGCCCAGCGCCGGCTCTCCGGTCGTGGCCAAGAGGATGATGGCGGTGAGGGAAGCGGTCCCCGTGCTGGCCAGGAGGGTGGTACCAGCTGATAACTCGTGTCTGTTCACCAGCGTGTACTACGTGGTGGAGGGAGGTGTGTACGACCCCGGCTGTGCCCCGGAGATGCGCAGCCTCATCGCACAGATCGTAGCCAGCGACCCCGAGGCGTATTGTGAAGCAGTGCTGGGGAAAACCAACAGGGAATACTGCGACTGGATCCGGAGGGAGGAAACCTGGGGGGGAGCCATCGAGGTTTCCATTTTATCCAAGTTTTATCAGTGTGAAATCTGTGTGGTGGACACGCAGACAGTCAGAATCGATCGTTTTGGGGAGGATGCCGGGTACACCAAGCGGGTCCTGTTGATCTACGATGGGATTCATTACGATCCGCTCGAGCGTAAAATCCCCGACTCGGACGTTCCTCCCCAGACCATTTTCTCTACTTCTGATGATGTTGTTCTCGCACAAGCCTTGGAGCTAGCAGACGAAGCCAGACGGAAGAGGCAGTTCACTGACGTGAATCGCTTCATGCTGAGGTGCATGGTGTGCCAGAAGGGACTGACGGGACAAGTGGAAGCCAGAGAACACGCCAAGGAGACGGGACACACCAACTTTGGGGAGGTGTGACAACCTGCATGAGGATGGTTACATCTACTACCTCACTCATCCGGAATCAAATTCCGGATTTCCAGATAAGCTGTATGTAATCACAAAATTCCGTTCACAGAGCTTGAAAAGCGTATAAACGATGGCCAGGATGCACAGGTTTGTGGGGTTAGTGACTTTTCCAACTGATCTGAAATAGGTTGTCTTCTCGCATGCTAATTTAGAGTCATTTGGCAGGTGAAATACACTGGCAGCTAAAACCTGATTTCTGAAATAATCTTCTCTTTGTGTGTGTGCTCTGAGTGGCCATACAGAACCAGGCTTGTTCAATACTAGTGTAAAAAGCGAGCCTCTAAATTACTGTATTAATCTATTAGTATTATGTTTTCAGGGTAATTAAATTAAGGGTTTAGGAAATGTGTGTATCAGCACTATTTATACTAAAAAAAATAGACTCTGTGCATGGAAGCAGCCCTGCTGCTGCTCATAGGGTGCACAGCTTTTGGTGGAAAGAGCATCCCTAAAGCTGCCCTCCACTATGTTACTATCAGAAGTAGAATGTATTGTTTGTGTGAAGTCACGGCTTTAGAGGAAGAAGTGGCCTTTAAGCTTTAAGATAGCCTTCTTAAAAGTAACGAGTAGGTGGTTAAGTGTTGAATTAAACTTATTAATCCTCCATAGGTAGTTTTTAGTTGCTTGGAAAATAACTATCAGCCCCTTGGTGTTTACACTGCATCGGAACATAGGCATGTTACTGGGAATACTTGGGTTCTTCTTAATATCTCAACTTCTGGCAGGAGGAAAATACAGTAATTAGGGAAGTATCTTAATTTGCATCTGTCTAATACATTGGAATGGTCTTCATTTGGCTGTAGCTGATCTCACGGCCACAGTGTTACTAAGCTGTAGCAGATTCCAAATACTGTAAATGAGCACTTTAAGGTATAGTTCTCAGTTGTTTTTGCTGGTAAGAAGTCTTACCCTTTTTAGAAGGACGGAGTAGTAAATCCGGAAGGGAGGCCTGAGGTTTCTTCATCTGCATTCTGCCTTAATGTGTTTGATTTGTCAGCGATGACTGTCGAGGAGCAAGACTTTAATTCGGATAATGAAGGATGCAGTTGAACTGTCAGAACAAAACAAGCTGGGTGAAACGCCCTACTTCTCACTCTGCTCAGAATCAGGGAAGGTGGATTTGATTTCATCAATCTTACCTCGCAGCAAAGCTGTGAGCTTAACAGTAAGTGCTTTGAGGACTTTTAAAAGGTGCTGTAGAGGTGCGTAGTACTGAAGGGGATTTATTTTTTCCTTTGTAATGCCTGTAATACACATTTGTTTTAAGGAATTTTACAACGTTCTTAGCCTTCTATCACTCTGTTTCCAATTACCTCTCTTGCTCTTCTACAAATGGAGAGCAGGAACGTGCATCTTCAGTTTGAGGCAGAAACAAACCTGCTTTCCAAATGGAATCAATCTTAGTTTTAAAGGCCTCTGCTCATTGAGGCAAGTAGCTGAACTCCTGCTGAGAAAATCCCGTTTTCTGTAAGCAGCAAATTGAGGTTCTCAGCTGAATTGGACTTTGAAATGCTGAGGGGATCTCGCAGGAAACGGAGCGAAATTGTGTGAGTGCTTTGCTAAATGGAGGCAAGAATAATTAAGGATAAAGAATAGAATTGCCAAAAGCACTATGGACCAGTTTTCATTTTATCTCAGTATTAAAATACGTGTTCACACTGTTGGGAGTTTCCAATAGAAAACCACTTTGCTTCCAGTGTTAAACCACAACTTTGCTTTTCATCCATCATGAGAAAAAAACAAATCATTACCAACAGCCCTCGAGAAGCTTACGAACCTAAAGAGGGAACTTGAAGATGACACTGATACGACTTGAGACAAAATGCTGTCTAGGAATGAGACCAAGAGAATATCAACCCTAAATCATGTTCTCAGCTTTCACACTGAAGAGGTGAGGTGCCTGGGACGAGGAGCTGTTCCTCACCGTTTGCCATCTGTGACATGGACAATACCTACCTCAGAGAGGTGTACTTTGGGTGTCTTTGAAACAAAAGTGCTGTCAAAGAGGAAGATACATATTTATTGTCTGCCACGTTTGCAACGGCGTGGACTTTTGGGAGCAACACTTGGGATTTTTTTAGCTTTGTATCTTGGGTGGATTTCCAAAAGCCTGTCCAAATACTTTTGGGGAATTACTTCTCAGTTGCAGTATTTTTAAACTTAAAATTAGTTGTATTGAACCTGGAGTGTTTAGCTTTGCTTTATCGTGTCTGCATAGCAAATCCACTAACAGAGCAGGAGTTCCATGCGAGGGAGATGCCTCAGAGTCACCGCTTGGGTGTTTTATTGAGTTGCCTAGAAAATAAAATCCCTTTGGTTTACAAAATATCAACGGGACAGCTGTAATTTGTGTTTGTAAACGTTGATGTTATCGTGTGCTGACAAACTGTTTCAAAGAGCAAATAAGTGGGGATGTGGACAGAGCTGGAGGAGCTCCTGAGCTGCGTTAGAATGGGGAGTTGTAAAAGAATGGAACATCAGGATGATTTTTTAACATCTTTTTAGCAGTGTTTATCTGCCCTTAATGATGCAGCTGTGGCAGTACCACAAAAATGGGATCCTGGCAGCAGTGGGGTGAATTTCTGAGCGTCGCTGATACGTTTGCACTGAACTGTTGTTACAGATATTTTAGAATAGATGTGTTGTGGGCTCAGGTGGAGGCAGGCAGCCTGTAAGCTATGGGTGTGTGTCCTTAGCAATGCCACTTATTCCCATCCAGGTTGAAATTAAACACCAATTTCCTCACTGAACGCTTCAGCACAGAGGTCAGCAGTTACTCAGGCCCTGGAAAATGAAATTCTTACTTCAGAGGTGGGCTTGGTAGAAGCTGCATTGTTCATCTTGGCTTCCTTGCCTGTATTAGATGTCAGTTAAGTGAAGAACTTCAGTTTCCCAGTGCCTGCTGGCCACTTCACCAGCACTAAAATCCTTCCTTAAATAAGAAGAGCCTGACACCTGCATCACGTGGCCTTTTACAAACACTGCATTGTAGGAAGAGATGCACATCTCATGGATTTAACAGCACTTTAAAAGTTGGTCTGAATTTATGTGCTCAGCAGATACCGAGCGCGGACTTCGCTATGTCAGCAGCAGAGCAAATGGTGTTAGCAAGTGATTCTCAAGTCTTAATTACCACTGTAATACAGCCTTCCACTTCATGTACCATCAGTGCAGACCATTTGGAATGATATATTTCCTTAAACACGTCACTTGAACTGCAAAAATTGTCGATGCACCAATAAACATGACTGATGCATGCACCCTTGTTTAGTGTAGTCTCTGCCTCAGCTCTTGAATGCCAGGTTTTTGCTCTATTCACTGTTGTTCCACCAGTGCATTTTTTACAGCCTTCACATCTGTAGCACAATCTTTGAGTAATTTACATCTGCTTTCCTCTCTGTCTCATTCACTTTTCCCTTTGGTACTAAGGGATGACCATATCAAGAAGGGCTCTGTCCCACAGCCCTTTGAGGACAAATCTTCACTTTCAACTTTTCCAGCCACATAATATATAAAAATACAAAATCACATCTTCAGCAATAGAATTTTATGCTTTCAAAATAGTAAAATACCTCCCTGATGTACTCTGGCATCAAGAGGAGTGACCAAAGAGGTTTACACTCTTGCATTTAGATGTACAAGTCATTAAACAGACATTCGGACTTCTCTGTTTAAGTAACATCCTGTCCATTTCATGGAAGCAATTGCCTACATGGGCAATATTAGGAGGAAATCAGCCTAAGTCTGTATTTCCCCAGCTATAGCTGTGGCTTGCTGGGATAATGGCATGGCAACTTCAGTTTGCGAAGCAGTTACTTTTCCATGCCTTTAATAAGTGCTTAATTCCTCATATGACTTTGAGAGAAAGGGGAAAAGCAAAATTCTCCTGATAGAGCTGATAGAGCATGAGTTGGTGTGTGATTCCTTGGTTCTGGACAAGTCTGCAGGAAGAAATAGTGGGCAGAAGGAAGGAGCACCTCGCTGTGTGGTGCAGGGTCAGAACTCACACTGCACCTCCTGTTCCCTTGTGGCACCTGCAGAGGAATGTCCTATTCCCACCCCAGTTTTTCAACAGCAACCTGCTCAAATACACAACAGTGCAACAGTTGTGCTCAGACACAGCCAACAGAGCCCTCCAGAAGCTGCACTTACAGCAAAGGAACACAGCAGCCATCGCTCCGACCACGTCTGACCTCCCAGCATTGTTTGCTCTGTCACAGAGGAAGCAGGAGTGAGGGGACAGGCAGCAATGAAGGCAACATCTGATCTCAGCAGAACTCTGCTGACTGCCTTGCACGCTATGCCACGTGCCCATGGGCCAGCCAGCCCTGCACCAAGCTCAGCTCAGCCCTGTCCCAGCAGGGAATATCTTTCATAAGAGGAACACCACATTTTCAGCTTGCTTTAAGGAAAATTGCAGCTCTTGGTCATACAAATTAAATGTCTGCCTGGGTTGTAAATGAAGCTGCGCCTTCAGTCTTACAACCACCATCAGGTTTCACTCTGCGCCGGATGGAGCAGAATGAAGTTCCTTTCAGTTTGCTCAAATCGAGATTTCACTCCTCTGAGTGTGAGCAGCAGATGGGTTTTTGTAACAGAGCAATGCAATAGGAGGGTTAGCAAAATCAGGTTGGCCAGGACTGCAGTGCTCTTGTGGATTATTTTTAATCAGTACCTTGGGGAAAGTGCTGGGAACTGCATTGCAGAGCCAGAGCTGCCTCCTCGTTTGTAGGGTTAATGCTAAGCAAGCCATGGAGATCTCTACCTCTTTTCTCTGAATTGGAGAAAATAAATTGGGATCCTTCTCAGTTCACAGCCATACTGAGACCTCCTTATTTCTCTAAGCCAGAGGATTACCCAATCTCTTCCATAATTAGTTTGTCAGCTCTCATACATACAGCTCGGTGTGAGGGGAGGGTCCAGCAGCCCTGCAGCCAAACCCAGGTCAT